GTTCGTTATCCTAAAGCTACAGTTTATCAATCAACTGGCACAATACGGTTTAGCCGTTTCTGAGATTAACCCTTTTTGTCCATTCAATCCAAATCCATCCAACCATTTTTGTCCCGCACGGACATAGAAAAACAGACAAAAGTTCTGACAATTATTGTTTTGGAGTTTATTATGTTGCTACAGTATGATATAATAATAGTTTTTTTCATATATTATCTATATATTAATAAGCAAAAACTTTGTAACCCTGTGCGAACGGAGGAATATGACTCTACGCATACTATTTTCATTTAAATATGTATCAAAATATTCAATAATGAATGAAATATTACATGATTTATAGAAACATTTTTGGGCTTAGTGAGTGAGGTTATATGTATAAAATAGATAAAAAACCTACTCTCAGATCTACCGAGTATACATATAAAATTTCATAAAAATCGGTTCAGCAGTTTAGAATTCCATCGCAGACAAACAACGTGACTCGAAATTTTTGACGTCGACGTCTCTCAATTCATTATATATTTTTGCTACTTTCATCAATTTTCATAATTCTTCTTTTATTTGAAAGCTAGAGTTTTTTATATAGTCGTATAAATTTGATCAATATCTGACTAGTAGTTTTTTAGTTTTCTTTTATATTACGATTGAATATCGGTTGTTTTGTGGTCTGAAGACTATTATTTTCTCCACGGTTACATGCGGTTAATATGAAGTCATATTTTTCTACACTTTTATGGTCTATAATTAACGGCATTTAACGGTTTACTGATATATACAATATAGTCATAAGAATAATGTATGTATGTATGAGCCGGGTCCTACTTTACGCTATATTTTTTGTCGACTCGCGAATACATTTATCATATCGTTCTCTTGTCAATTAATGTGAATAAATTATCTTTACATTGGTTAATTGAATAATATACATATCTATTATATATTTATTTATTTACTAGCTGTCCCGACAAACGTTGTTTTGCCATATAAATTAATAACACTTTAAAAAAATAGGGGTTGATGATAGAAGGGTGAAAATGTAGGATTGTATGTATTTTTGTATGTTGTATCATAAAAAAATAGGAACAAAAAATTTTGTCTAAAAAATCATAAAAAAAAATTTGGGGTGGACTACCCCTAACATTTACGGGGATGAAAAATAGATGTTGGCCGATTCTCAGACCTACTCAATACGCTCACAAAATTTCATGAGAATCGGTCAAGCCGTTTCGGAGGAGTATGGGAACGAAAACTGTGACACGAGAATTTTATATATAAGGTTTAACAATCTAATCAAGTACACATGAATAAGTTTATTATAGGCAGATATGAGTTATGATGACAAGGGACTTGCAAGTAAAAACTATGTACATAATTAATATTGTATTATAATATTTTAATACATATATTTACGTCTTTATAATATTTTTAGCTTACTTTAAACAGAAGAATGTTTACAATTAGATGGTAGGTAATATCAATATTAAAGTGTCTAAAACCATATATGTATTACTTTAAGTATTCGCTGGAGTATATCTCAGTAGGTAATTAAAAATATCTTAAAAATATCTGTTGTTAAAATAGAAATGTTTATTTCAAAATTAACCAAAATATATTATATTTTCTCGTATGTTTTCAGTCGCGACAAAACTAAAACAAATTGTACATGTATGTATTTACAAAAAAATAAGTATTTCTGTGGTTTGACATCCGCAGTACAAGCTCTGCTTAGTTTGGGACTAGATGACGCGGTGTTAATCGTCCTGGGTTATTATAAACGTTGCTGAGATGTAATTTTTGTAACTGAATGCAATAACTTAACGGTCTTTAGTTATTCGTCACGGAGACAATGGAGTAAGTAGATCTCTATCAGATAAGAGTACATTAGGTACATATATATATGAAATGTACGTAGGTATACATTTATAGAGATGTATTCGAGTTGAGGATTCATTTTCCGAATACTGCCCTTCATTTTATTTAAGTACTAGCTGTTCCCGCGACTTCGTCCGCGTGGAATTTAACTTTATTTTACTGATATAAAAGTAGCCTAAGTTACTCCTTATTACATCAGATACCTGCCAAAAAAAGCCGTTGTTTCCTTGGGAATTTATAAATATAGGTATATGTTAAACACATTGTTTTTACTGTACTGCAACGTATTAATGTTCGGTTGTTACAAAACTGGAATGTAAACAAACCAACGACCAGGTCCATAGCACCTGACAGTTATAACCATCATGTTTATATACAGGAACAACACCACGAACACTTTGTACAAAGTGTAACTCAATAATCTTTCTATCTACTTACTTACATTTGCCCTCCATTCCTAACGGAGATTTAAATTTACCAGCAAATCATTTTACCACGGCCCCGAACTATAAATGTTATTATTTTTCAAAACACAAAGCGATCAATTAAACTTTATTCATATGACCCATTGCCTGTAAAAAACTTGCATTCAAATTAAAAATGAATACATACATATGACATTTATCGTTTAAACATTAAAAAATATTTTTGTTAATATTTGATTGAACTACAACATTCTTTTCACAAACTCAATTAACTGTCTATCAATAATTATATTGTATTGAAAAATAGAATACGCAGATACCTTTTCGAATCAATCAAAAGTCATAACAATCGCCGGATTCTTTCATTCGCATTATTCGAAAATCATCGAATAAATTCATCGAAAACGAATCGGTTAACGAGCATATTTATTCACTGACGGTTAAAACTAGTAGCACGTTCATACCTACGTTATTGCACAACAATTTTAAATTCTACCGTCCAAAATTCATTTAACGATTAAAATCCAACTCTATTACGAAGAGATAAAGTTACTTGTAATATTTGTGTATGATACAAATCGTAAGTGGTTTCGGACAACTTTCTACGCGTCAATCACAAATTATGATTTTGACGGTAATCGATAGGTTATCGGTAGCTCGATCTAGCGGTCAGTAGCAGTAACTAACGACATCGCTCGCACGCAACCCATCACGTTTCTGACGGGCGTAAGTACCTATGTACTGCTTAATTATTTCTTTTTTAAGTTCAACGACTCGCTCAGAGATAAATCTGTACAGGTATTTAAACTGTGGGTATGCGTGATCATTTCAAAGTAATAAACTATCTAGGCAAATAAATTTGATTTGACTTTTTGTAATTTCAAATTACCAAATAAACTTCACTAAATGCATATGAAAGTGTATACGGTACTTACACAGGACTACTCATCAAAGAAGTTTTTTAATTTTTGCCTGTCTAATTTCTGAAATGGCTGGACCTATTTTGACGGAACTTTCACTCGCAGATACTTAATGTCATAAGTTGTAACTTAGGGTACTTTTAATTATTTTAATAAAAATCATTAACTACCCCGCAGACAAAAACGCGGGTAACAGGTTGTTTTATAATATGCAAAACGAAAGTTAAGTTTTAAGCAGATGAGACACTGGTAACATAATATAAACAGCATCTTAGACTAGTACAGTGGTTTCCAATTATTTCCCAAGGATATGGTTTAAGGTAGACTGTAAAAAGTTGTCTGCGTAGGGATCCCAGTCTAAGCTATTTTTTTTTAATAAATATTCTTTATTGCACAAATAATACAATGATTATTGGACAGTACAGCAAACCCAATAATAATATATAGAGTACTTTTGTCCATCGCGTAAATTTATTGATCTAACGATGACAAGAAATGTACAATTTTCAAATTTATATTTTCCTTATATAAACTAAAGAGTTATTAACAATGATACAATAATTTAGAGACAATGTGAGCAATATTATAGACAACCACCATTGCAGTCACATGTTCATATAACTAAATATAAATAACTAACCATTAAAAGACACATATATGCATACACGCACACTCATATACACATAACAATTACAAAAAAATGATAATACTATTAGTAAGATGTCGACGACCTCGGTGGTCCAGCGGTCTAGTACACCGCTTTACGACCGATGGTCGCGGGTTCGATTCCTCGCACGGTACAAACATTTGTATTCATGAGTGTGATTGTTTGTATCGGTCTAGGTGTTTTCTATATATAATATGTATGTATTTAAAAAAAAAAAAAAAAATATCTATGTATATATATCAGTTATCTAGTACCCATAACACAAGCTTTAGCTAGCTTAACTTGGGTCTAGATGACGCTGTGTGAATTGTCCTGAGATTATTATTATTATTATTAAAGTAAGATGTGAAATCCATCTTACAAGACATCGACCCAATAAATAATATCAAAATGAGTTTACTGGGTTAAGTAGAGTGTATTTAGAATTTCAGATCCCATACTGTGCTCTATTGGCTTCAAATCAAAAACTCATATGAAAACAATTAATATTGTCGATTGATGTGATGGTAAATATGGCACGTATTATGTAGCGGAAAAGATGAATCTGTGCCTCGCATCATTTATTTTAATCATATCCGTTGTAAATTTCTTGTATCGACGGCGACGAGTGTCCATAATTAAAATTATACCTACTTACATATTAATATGTGAGCAGAAACTTTATACCTCTTACTACGAAATTTGCGCGAACCGAGGTGTATGAAATTTCGCACAATTATAGTTTATATGGAGAAGGAGTGCAGACTTATATGTATCTATTTTTTTTAATTATGCATAATTATTCACACCTGAGCATGCTAAAAACGAAATACAGAAATGGACTTAGTACCCAGTTAAGGTTAAAATTGTATAAAATTACGTGACATGAAACCCAAACCTACCTATCACATTAATATTAAAGAAATGAAGTTTATTTTATTAATTTTATTATTTTCTTTGGGGAGAATTATTTAATTAGTTAAGGGTTCGCTATCATCTAGCAAATAAAATAGGGGTTCGTGAAGCCAAAAGTTTGAGAAGCTCTGGATTAGAGGATATAAATTCATTAATTGTATACTTTTAAACAATTACTCTCCAGTATATTAGGTGCTTTATTGTGAAAATTTGTTACAGAGCGAAAAGCAAAAATGGCGGTCGGCTGCTCCGCGAGAAATTGGAAAAGATCGGCCTAAACTTGCCAGCGGGACGGCGGAAAGCTGCCAATGTCACTCTCCTCACATCTCTTGTGGAAGGTAACAAAATATACCAGCAAGATATTAACTATATTCAAACTAATTATAATAAAGAGAGATTTTGTTACGAAAAATGTAAACTTCGGAACTACTGCGCCAATTTGCGAAATTCTTTCTCAGTTCTTGCTAACCTGCCCATGCTACACCCGCCTTGCTATCTCTATGACAGGGAGGACTATCTTTGTGATGAATTTTCACATATTAAAAGAAAGAGGGGATGAAAATTTATATCCTATATATGTATTTTTTTTTAACCTCCAAAAATAGACCTTAGTCTTTCTTAAGGGGCCAGCAACCATAAGTTGAGGCGCAAGTTCGCTTGTAAACTATAAAGTTTATACCCATATTTCACCTCCTGTCCTTTATTTCATCCTATCCAATTGGTTACAGCGGAGGCAGTGCACCTGGCGCGGGACTTCGGCTACGTATGCGAGACAGAGTTCCCTGCGAGGGCGCTCGCGGAGTACCTCGCGCGGCAGTACGCAGAACACGACGCGCGTCGCCGCAGGGACCTACTGCAGGCCACCAAACAGGTCACTAAATATAACAAGACCGTATAGAAATAGAAATTTATTTATTTTATTCAAAACAAAACAAAGATTTGCAATTAAAATTAGTTAATATGTGCTAAAAATCTGGATAGCTTTATGTACACTCAAGGCCATCTATTATACAGTATATAACATGTATGGTAAATTTACAACTGATATGCAAATATTAAATTTTACAAGATATGGTAAATTACCAACAAATATATTTATGATTAATAAATAATTAACAAACATAGCAACCTTTTAACAATCATATTCTCCTATATGAAATAAAAATGCTGTTGTCTTTCAACCCCTGCCTTCTCTGCCAGGTGACAAAGGAGTTGATGGACCTGCTCAACCAAGACCGATCACCGCTCTGCAATACGAGGCCGCCGCATCTCCTCGAGCCGGCGATACAGCGACACCTCACTCACTTCTCACTCATATCGCACGGGTTCGGCGGGCCTGCCATAGTGGCCGCACTCACTGCCATACAGGTACAAACTTGTTTATTATTCTATACTAAAAAAAATCTGAAGTTGTTAGAACTAACTTGGTAACAGCCATAATACCTTCTTCTTCTTCTTACGGCCTTATCCCATTTTCATTTGGGGTCGGCTCTCCTAATCTTTCTTCTCCAGTGGTGTCTATTTTGGACAGCCATAATACCTAAAATTTTAAAATACCATCCTGACCATTTGGATAAATGGCGGTCCTCCACAGTGCATTTTTCGAGAAACTTTTTGCCACGCACAGCCATATTGGGGAATCACCTTCTAGCAATGGTATTTCCGAACCAATACGATATTGATACCTTCAAGAAAAGAGTTTATCTCTTCTTAAAAGGCCGGCGACACACTTGCATTTCCCCTGGTATTGTGGGTGCTCATTGGCGGCCGCAATTACTTACCAACAGGTGAGCCGAAAGCTCGTTTGTCCCCTATACTATAAAAAACTATTTTCAACTGAAAATAGAAACCTTAGAGCTAATATATGTAGATAGTAATTCTTTTGATTTTGTACAACATCGTCTGCGTGAGGACTTCTATTCCAATGCATCTATTTCAAAAACCATGTAGGTACATTGCTTTGTAAGACGTTTCGATTGAAGAGGCATGAAGTATTTAAGTTAAGATAAAACAGTAAAATTACAAGGTACCTACCGAGGCGTGGCATGGCATTAATCCGGAATGGCAATGCATGAGCCTCGGGCGTCACATGGTGACGGGACGTTCAGGTGATGATCAGTTTTTTAGCTATTTTAACGATAAAGAAAATATAGGCTTTGAAATATATCTTGAATCGAGTTTGATAAAAACATTTTTGTATTTTATACCCCACTTCTTGAGAAAGGTTGTTTAGTTTAGTTAAGTTACGACATTTAGAAAACGCTAAAAATAATACAAACATAATTATTTGTGCCGCACTAGAACCAAATCTGCGACAATGAGAGTATTGCAGTTGGCTAAACTATTACATCATCTAGAAACTAGAAGGAATTCTAAATTCTAAAGATCTAGAATTGAACAATCATCATTTGGTAATTAGAGTTTAGAAAATATTTTCTTTTAATTACAGAATTTCCTGAACGAATCACTCAAGCATTTAGACAAATTATACCCACAAAGCGGTATGGTGTCATCTTCAATGGACAAGACGAAGATGGATCCCGATATCAAGAAGTAACATAAGACGGACGACGGTATCGTCGGTACATGCCATCCTATATGGGAAATAGTTATGGGTATGACGTCACTTACGATAATACGGCACGTCATTATGGAAATGGCCCTACATTAAAATAGAGTTCTTAATTTAAAGACTTATAATCTAAGTCCATATATTCTAGGACTATAAGTTAAACAGAACTCTGAACGCGTAATGACATCTTTATAAAAAATTAACGATATTTATTAAAAATCAGGAAAAAAAATATTAATTTAATTATGACTAATAGATAATTACTTTTAAAATTTAAAAAAATACTGAGGCAAAAGCATCCGACAAGAAATGCTTTCCTCGAATGCCAATATACAAAATATCTGACTGCCATTAAATGTGAGATTGCGTATTTATTTTTATGAACGCGACACGGACGCGACCCGCATACGAATAAAGTGCAATTATAATACTCGAGATTGTGAGAATTTGTATATATATAGTTATAGATATAACACATTAGTATTAATAAGCATTTATAATGTAGGTATACATAACAACTGGTTTCTCATTGTTTTTGGAGGCGAATAATTTTAATATTTAAATTATAATGTTTCGCATCTCAACGTAGGTGGGACTATGGATGTTTGTTATACATTCTATAACATTCATATCAGAGATTCTGAATACAAATTACAAATCATAGAATAGAAATCCTTATTACAGTGAATGAGTTTGTAAATCTTTATTTTGATTTGTAAATCGATATTTTGCAAACTTGAAGTTAAATTCCGTTATTTTTTAATGAGACATTCAGACCCAATGATACCTGCGACAATAAATTTGATGACTTTATTGTAGATACACGGGTTCTCAATAATCATAATAGAACAGAAAACAGTTCGTACTATAATCAGTTCCACCTACGCATCCACCGCAATAAGAACACATATCAAATTGTTATTGTAAATATATAGTGGTATCGATACAATAAAATAGAAATATAACTTCCAGGAACATTATCCGTGTGATACGATTAAAACATACAACTTGTCTGAGGTGAAATAACAACAAAGTAATCGATAATTAAATAAACAAATTTGACGGCTAAATCCGAAATTAGCACTTATATGGGCCCATCCACGAATTACGTCACACAAATTTCGGGATTTATTGACCCTTGTATGGGCCCATCCACTAATTACGTCACTCAAATTTCGTGATTTATTGACCCATGTATGGGCCCATCCACTAATTACGTCACTCAAATTTCGTGATTTATTGACCCATGTATGGGCCCATCCACGAATTACGTCACTCAAATTTCGTGATTTATTGACCCATGTATGGGCCCATCCACGAATTACGTAACATAAATTTCGTGATTTACTAATCCTTGTATGGGCCCATCCACGAAATACATAACATAAATTTCGTGATTTTTATAACACCTCCCCATACCTGATAGTTGGTCATATTACATTTTAAAGGTCGGTAACACGTAGGTGACACCCCTGGTGTCTCAGGCGCACATAGGCTACCGTAACCGTTTAGTATCAGATGTGCCGTATGCTTGATTGCAAGGTACGTAGTATAAAAGAAAATTTCTTTTACAAAAAGAAAAGAAAACGAAAAGAAATATTAACAATGTTCTTTAATAGTTAAAATTTCGTCTTTTAATACGTAGATATATTTGATTTTGTAAATGACGTCACATAATTTGAGACCCCTCCCATCCCCTCGTCACAGAACGCATACATGTTGTATGTAGGTATGTATACATAACAACATGTATATACATGTTGTTATATTATATATATGGCGTTGTTAGTGTACAAATTTTTTTTTTTTTTTTTTTTTTTATATCATAATTTGAGCGCGTTTGACCGCAATCTCACCTGATGTTAAGTGATGATGTGGTCTAAGCTGTTACACGCAAGCTCAAATAATACCTATTCACTCTTGACTTAAAAGACCCAATGTTGTAAGAAATTATACAAATACGAGTTCAATACAAGCTTCTTAATTGTGATAGCGATTTCAATCCTCAGACAATTTGTATGAAACCACTGAACGTGCATAGTATATAATTTGTATTTAGGATTAGTAAAGCTAGTGATTTCAATGTGAACGTGTGCCAATTAGTTTTTCAGTTGGAAATCGTCCCGTTGATTTTCCAACGAGTAAGTATTTAATATTTATTGTTTTGTACATAATTATAATGAAATGTGCTGTTTTCTTGCCTAAAACTTAGTTTTGCTGCAGTGCAGAATTACAGGTACAGAATAATAATATCTTGTTTCTATTGTCGTTATTAATTTGCTCAACTAGTAAGTGGTACTTAATTATATAATACTGTTGCTAACAATTCTGATTTAAAATAGATTAATATCTGCAACAGTTAATGAGGAGACTTTGTAAAAAGTTGTCTTCGTGGGTACCTGGTCTAAGCTATTACAGCCGTCGAGCAACTTGCTTTGTAACCAGTGTTTCACTTAAGGGTGGTATAAAGCAGATAAGAGGCATAACATCTTAGATCTCAGGAATGGCAATGCATGAGGCGCATCACGGATAAATGACAAATGAAATGATAACATGATGTTCGAGGTGCTGTTCATGTATATAGGCGAAGGTTACCATTTACAATCTGGTAAGTCTTGACAAACAGCCATATCAATTAGATTAAAAAAATAAATTATACGTACAAAAAAAATATATTTTATTTGCAACTTTCAAATGGTTTATAAAATATAAAATATCAAAGCCATCGATTTTAATATATTATACATAAGAATTGTTAGTAAAAGCATTACATAATTAACACCTAGCCCATTGTTATTCATTATATAATTAAATAGCTATCATACAAAAACATCCATAATAAAAATTCCGGGAGCAAGTCTACGTCATTGTAATAAAATAAGTTTATAGAATACAGTATGACCATTTTTATTAACATGGCATAATTTACACGCAACTTTTGATTGAGTTACTACACACACTACTACACTAGTGGATAAAAACTCAATAATAAGAACTCAAGTAACAAGAAATTTCCAACAAACTACCTAAAAAGAGTTTTATGTTTCACAAACCCTTCGAAATATAAAAAAATAGTAAATACCAAGTGGCCGATCGAATAAAAAACAAAAACTGAAGGAGAGTTACAGTAGCAGCCTGTAAATAAATGGTCGGCAGGATACAGGTTTAGTGGCATTTATTTTAATTTTGAGAATACCAGATAGTTGTAATATCCAGAGCCGTAAAACATAATTAAAAAAAACATACATTGAAATATTTTCTGCAGAGCAATGCGGTTTCGAGGTATCTTTTTATATAACAAATTGTTGACGTTGCTGTATGGATTGAACGTTATATACTGTAATTTGACTTGCTCATTAAGTACATATTAATGTCTATGCTTACAAATACTTATAAAGTATTTTTTTAATATTATAATGAATAATAAAGACTACTTACATGTACATCAAAAATAATGTGTACGTACATAAACTGTGCCAAACGATTTTAGAAAAGTTTTGTGATGAAATACAAACGAATATAAATAAATTTTACTAACTCTCCTATTAATTTATCGAAAATTTTTGTAAATAAATAATAACAATCCATTACAATTTAAATTATAATTTTAGTTATATTTTTGGCTGAATGTTGAATCTGTCTTCATATTGTGCTGATTAATTACCTCATTGTCTTAAGGATTTTTGTATTGCCAACTATTAAACAAGTACCTAATACCAACATTTCAGTAAAACGGTCTACACACGCTACTAAAATCAGGGCCAATATTGGAGCAGTAGTAGGCAGCGAGCTGAATCGCTTCATAGGTTTCCGCGTGTGTAGCGAAATCATGGCCTCATGTAGTAGGATTCGCTAAGTCTGTTTTACCTTCACTACCACTACTCCGATATTGCCTCTGATTTAAGTATCATGTATAGGTCATTTAAATCGATTAATATACAGAGGAAATTCATCCAAATCTACTTGTATTTTTTTTAATAAATAATATTAAATCATAAAATTGTAATAGTCATTTCATTCCTTACACAATAAAACCTACCATCAATTTTGACTTATCGTTCAATTATTTCGGATTAAGCGCAATTGTCCCTTCATGTATTTACTTTATTAGATATCATTGTATGGACGTATCGTTTGAATGAAAGATAATCTAAAAAAGTGTTTAGTTATATCTTTCATACAGTCCATCCAACTCTACTTTATGTAAGGTTTGCAATTACATATGAACCATTTGGTAAAAATCAAGTTATAATTTAATGTTTCCTACGTAATCGTTAAACTTTCTATCAATTTGACATAACTAAATGATGTCGAACAGTGTTAGATAGGTAGGTAGAAGAAAATCTAATGTTTCGTTATATGGACTTGACTTTAAAATATCTTATGAAATATAAAACGAAATTGGGTAAACAAATACACTCTGTAGATCACCCAAGTGAGACAAGTAAGTGCCATGTCAGATGTAGGTATTGCTAAAAAATCGTATATCTATAGAAAATAACATTATATGAACAATACAATTACCTAATGCAATCAATTATGTTAAAAAATTTCTGTACCTACTTCATCCTTTGAGTCCTAAATACTCAAAGGATCAAAGAAAAAGATATGATCCTAAAAAGGTAGTATTATTTTAAGTTTTATGAATCTTATTTGAGAATTAGGTAATTTGCGAACAATATTGTCACATAGCCCAGAAAAGGGAATCGCATCTATGAAAATTGTGAATTATTATTTGCTCATTCGTTGTAATGTTTCTTTTTATCAATATTCATGACTTTGGAATGTAATACAAAAAAAATTGTCAGTTTTCGCAAAATTATCCAATCATCACTTCAGGTCTGTGACAAAGACGTCATAGAAAAGCAATAAAAATTATATGAATAACAAATTTGGGTAAAATTAGCACAAAACAATTGATAGCAACTACTTAATTAATAATTATTATGAATATTACTGTAATTTAAATGAATGGTTTATAAAATAAGTCTACATTATTTTTAAAATGTCTACTGTACGTAGAATTTTATCATTTTGTAATAATAATTATGAAATTTTTAAATTACCTTTGTGTACTTATCTATTTAAATTTTGTTTCGTGGAGTAAAAGAATGATGTTACACGATTTGTTTTTATTCATTAATATTTAGCTCATTCCCGCAGTTTTAGCACATTCCTGAAATTCCGATTCCATTCCGAATCCAACAATTTATAAAGTAAATTCCATGGTTTATAATAAAAAAAAATTAACATTTCAGGGAGTGATGGAATAGTTAATAATCGTACTAAACTCTCTGGAACTCTCTCTCTCTCTCACCATGGTGGTTTTTGTGACCTTTGCCATAGAAGCTTGCACATTATCATCCATTAAATATATAACGTTTCAAGCTGCGTTTTTTATTGATGCCATGAAATGGAGCACCCGCCTGCACAAACGGGGCACCAGAGCAGGATGATAAGATGAATTTGAGATCAGGTCAGTTAGGCCATCGTGACAAATTTATGATGGTCACCAGGAATTTGTCACGATGGTTTCCAGTAGGAACCACGTGGAGGTCAACCTGACATGGTACATAGCTGGCAATAGTGTAATTAGCTCACTAACAATTCACTTTTCCCCTCAAGCTGCGTTGCGGAGGTTTTTAAAAGGTAAATCGATGAATTAGTTTCATTAACAGAATTACCATATACATAGATGTCAGTACCGGATTAATCATTAAGCAAAGTACAACACATATGCCGAGGGCTAAAAGGGAAAACAAAAAATTTAAAATATTCCGTAGAGTGAAAAATTTGGATCATCAATGACAATGAGTATTGTATTATTAATTTTTTCGTTGTATGCTGTCATAGGAACAGAACCATCTAGTATCGAGTAGTAGAACTAATACTAACAGTATTTCGTTAAGTACATTCTTTCGTAAACTTTAAAAGAGCTGATGATCTTCAAGCGACTGAACAGTCCTATTTATAAAATATTCTATTAGATACAAAATTGGATTCAGTAAACTCTATTCAATGCTTTCTTTTAACAGAGAATTGCATTGCCTATGAAAATTATTACAGACATTAACTATCCGTATATATGTATAATATAATATACGGATTAAAGCTGTCAAGAATATCATGGATATTCTACGAAAAGTAAATATTTATTGATAACATAAAACTAATGACTAGGCATCGGACTAAATCTTTTAATTTAAACGAATTTTAAACCAACAACAGCAATCAGTATCTGTGAGCAAGTAATCACTCCGCTCCCTTCAGGAACTATTAAGAGACTCATGAACATTTTTTTGCACTAAACTATTAAGAAACTCAAAAACATTTTTACACTGTAAAACGACATTATCTTAACAATTCAACACATATAAAATAAAGTAAGAAAATTAAGAACATTAAACACATGCAGACATGTATGGGCACAGTTCCCTTTGCCTTACGTTATAAGATAATCAGAACCAAAAAAAAATTACATCTTAAACTTGCTTTTGTTTTCATTTGCTATGGTTATTTTCATATGTGTAACTTGTCGTTGTTTGAAAATAAATACCCGCCTTTTTTACATTTTTCTCATATATCGCAGCAAGGTTAAAATATTATTTTCATGAAATGGATTTCTCTGGAGAAATTGAAGGGACAAAAAAGTGCTTCAACTGCGACTATCAGCTGTACGACAACGTAAACATAAATTACGACGAAGCAACATCTATGATAGCTCTCTGGAATAAATTTCAAATATTGGTCTACGAAAATCGCAATTTGGAGAGTACAGCGAAAATATTTATGCCAGATTTTCAAATCCATGATTTAATTGTGTGTAACAACTATATTGTATGTCTGGACAATAATCATTGCGTTCACACAACATCATTAAAATTTAAAAGCCCTGCTCAAAAACGATTTAAAACTAGTTTCCAATTAAAAGTACAAGATGTTGCGGTGTTTTCTCGTTACCATGAAGACTATGTTCTATGTCTACAATATGAAGCCGAATGTTACTACCTCTGTCTTCACAAACTTAATGCAAGTTTTCAATTAGAGAAAAAAGTTGCAATAAAACACTCTGGACCGTGGCCTTTACCTAAACCTAATTTAAATAAGTGTTTACTAACATCATTTCATATTGAACCAGTACATTTTGATTCAATAAAGAAAATTTATGAAGTTAGTGAGACAGTGTCTATCGACTGCTCCATTTTATTGATGTCTTTTGACAATTTAACAGTTTACAGTTGTTTATTTAGCAATAAAATGATTGAGGAACAAGTTACAATTGTAAAATTATACACATGCCCTTCAGAAATATGTAATATAGAAATTATAGCAAAAGAAAACTTATCTCTATTAATTTCATTAAAAATGGGAACTTTAATAACATTAGAACTACAAGACACATCCATGGAGCCAAAAATAATTCATTTGAACACAGCAATTTATAAATGTTTAAGACAGAATGACAATATAATATACACAGATGGTGTAACAATGTGGTCATCAACAAACACATATTCAGATGTCAATATAAATCTTCGACAGTTTATTGTGAATCAGGTTAAAGATTTTGCTAAATGTGGAGATTATCTAATATGTACATCATATTCTAAATTGATATATGTTATACCACTTGATGATGATACATCATATATTAAAGCATCAAATGATCCGTACACACCCGCAGAGAAACTTCTAAATAATTCTGAATATTTATATAAAATATTAGAAGAAATTGAGATGAACAATGATGTTATAAAGAAAGTTCAAGAAGAAAGCAATTATATTACAACACTCTCATTATCAAATAGGCAGGATTTAGTGGAGGACATAATACAACACAGCATTGTTGTATATGAGAATTATCAAGAAGCTATACAGGATAATAAAGATTTAATACTTGCAGATAATATGTGGGAATATTTTAAAGCAGATACATTATTACTTGTTGTTAAGATTACCACAACTACACTGCAACATATGTTCGCTAATATGATATCTAATTTATTAAATGATTTAAAGATACATGTAACACTATCAAATGATTTAAAAATACTTAAAACTACAAGTGTGAAGTTAAAAGGAGCATTGAGAAAAGTAAATATATTAATAGGGTTAAATAACAAAAATATCAAAATATTTGAAGTGAATGCTTTAATAAAAATTATAGTAAAAATACCAGGTGCTCATGATCGCAAACAGTTTTTATGGGCTACTTTGTATAAGAAAGAATTTCCATTAAATTCAGAGCATTTCATAAAAACTGCTAATGATTTTACTAATATATGTCATATGAATGAATCAGGTGATACAATAGAAAAATTGATATATAAAGTAGCATACAATCAGCATAAGCATATATTTCAATTTATTGATGTATCAAAAACCAAAACAAATTCCTCAAATTGGTCTTTGTACTTGAAACTTCCAGTCAATTATAGAGAGATATTAAAAAATGACAGTTACTGCAGAAAACACCTAAGTGTGAGTAGAGCAAACTTCCTCGTTGAAGAATATACAAGGGAGGAATTTTTAGATTCCAAAAGTGATGTATCATTTGATATTGGTGATGAAAAAGTTAAATTAGAAATAATCAATGATGATCCTACATGGCCAGTATTAAAAATTACAAGTGTGAATATAAAGTTATCATTTAACATAAGGAATTTCTTTTCAAATATAATTTATAATAATTTCAAGAGCCACCGCACAGAAAGAGAGTATGTGATCTATAACTTATACACTGTCACAGAGGTGTGTTAAATTATTAATTTACTTTTTATTTATTTATCTGTTATCTATACATACAAGAAGACTTGTTTGCAAGTCGTACGTTTAAATCGTGCATGGCCAGAGAATATCTACTGCATACCTTTTATTCGTCAAAATAAGACACTACCAAGCAAATATGTTTTGCAAATTAATTTATGGCTAAACTACTGGACCTATTTTATATATTTTTAAGATCACTGCTTAATCATTATGTAATATTTATTGATAAATTTTGCATAATATATTTCTATATTATTTTTTTTTCAGACTCTTCAAAGGGATTTAAAAGCATGCATTATGGAGAATTACTCCCTAGAAAGATTCCGCCCACTAGCAGAGCAGTTTCAACGGAGTATTATAGGTGCCCTCCCTATATGATACTCATTTGTTCACGCAAACGTGATTTGTAATTTTTATAAAGACTGAAGAATTCAACATTGTCCTATGATGTTATGATCATTTGTAAAAATATGATTCCTTCCCATAATTGTAATAAATAGTGGTCAATTAATTTTAATTAGCAGATTGAATACATGTTCTCTATTAGGCAATCCGTCTGTCTAATGATTAATTGTATCAGTGATGACGCACCGCTAAACCGCTAGACCATCTAGCAGTTTAGCTGTGTGCTAAACCTTCCATTTCTTTCCAGTGGCAATAGGTTCGAATCCTCGCACGATGCAAACATTTGTATTCATTAGTATTGTATCGTTCTAGGTGTTTCCTATGTATAAAAATATATTTTTGTATTTATATTACTTGTCCCATAACAAGCTCTCCTTAGCTTTGGCCTAGGAGCTGCGTACAGTGGAGGTTTATTTTTATATAATTAATTGCATTGTGATATTGATTATTATTGATGTTAAGTAAAACTGTGATGAAATAATTTTAATTCAAATTAAATTACAGAAATCTTATATCTTGTTTTCCTGTATAAAATGTATTGTATATCCTTCCAAAATACAATGTGTATATTAATATGATCTGGTATGTATCTTAACAGAAACTTCAGTTTTATTCAGATAAGTCTTTTTCTAGTCAAATTTCATTATGATCCGTTCAGTCGTGAAAAGGTAACAGACACAATGTTTATACGTACATTATTATAGAGATTATCTATCAATCCCATATTAATACATATTGTTTTTATTTAATACGCTCTAGAAAGACGGGTCCTGGTCATTATGTAGTACAGTAAGACAATGTAATGACATTGTCTTACTGTACTGTAAGGAGAATGCTCCTTACGAAATCTCTCGATTTGTTTCTACTGGCTGCCATTCTGGTACACTCATGGAGTGGACTACATAACGATAATGACTTGGTCTGTTCATCACATAACTAATTACGTGGGGGAAAGGGGATTGTTAAATGTGGACTGATAACCTCATTGCTAACAAAGTATTGTCAGATTGACCTCCACGCCTTTCGCCCTGAATACCAATGTGATAAATTACTGTGAATTTGTGAGCTACCTGACCTGACCTTATGATCATCATCCACCACTGGTGGCCCGCGTAAACCGTTAGCTCAGACGGATGCGCCCTTCCATTAAAAAAACTAGGTGGAATCAATTGATAAGTCGTCAGAAAATAAAAAACCATAATATATTTATTATACTCTATTTATATTTAGACCATTCTCCTGAGGAGTTCGTTGATCTTGTCCTCACGGTTACCGAAGTCACCGCCGTCGACGTAATGGATTGTCTTCTTACGCCAGCCTCCGGTCGGATTGTTCAGCTTGAATGGCCATAGGAAGTTGCTTGCGTACTGCAATTATACAAATAATATCAGATTAATACAACTATTTAGGGCATGTTATATCTTTAGTAATTTAAGATAGGATTTTACAAAAAAATCCTAGGCAATAATATAATAAGATAAAAAAGTTGAAACGGTAAAAATTTTACAGATATTTATATATCAAAAATGTAGACAATGAACTCTTTTTATAACTCTCAACAGCGCCATGTTTCTGCAACCCTATCCCAACATTCCACTACACACAGTAATTGTTTCTTGAAAACGGCAAAGTGTCATCAGCGTGGAAGAAAACTTGATTATTATTCTTTAAAAATTGAAGTCTAAATTCTTGTTTCAGATTCTACATTTTTAAGGCAATATTAATAATAATATTTATATAATTTTATTGTCATATGCAAGAACTGGTGTGGTAAAGTAGTTTTAGATACTATATTTACCTTGAACTTGTCACCAACAGTGAAAATCTCGTGTATGAGATCTTCCACGCAGATGATGTTGCTCTTTCCCAGCTTGTTCTCTACTATTGTGTTGGATGTGATCGGTACACGCTGACCGTTCACCTTCGCGAAGCCGCGTTTGTATACCAACTGAAAAATAAAGTATTATATTAGGCATATAATGAAGACCTTACTTTACAAGATCATTTCTATAGTAGGTTCTAGACAGAATGGCAACAACATCTATTCGTGCAGTGCATATATATAGGTGACGACTGCTACTGTCGGTTAGGTGGGCCGACAGTTTAATTTGACATTCTAGTTACATAACAAAAAGAAAATATCAGATGTTTTTAACAATTTTCTGCATTAATAAGAATATATTAGAGCTACAAAGACCAGGAAGTGTCCTGGCTGTATAGCTAGTCATCACGACATTTTTGAGGACTAAGATGTCATGCCTCTTATCCTGTTTATTAAACACTCTTAAGCAGAACACATCTTATAAAGCAAATTGCTTTTCTGTCAAAATACATGACACTTGACACACACACCAAATTTTTACAAATGAAACGGAATTTCACATTTCAGCAAATACATCGCTTAATATTTAGTATCACTTACAAAATACAATAAAAAATAGCAGATAGTTATGCTCACCTCGCGAACACTCTTTAGGTTAGGGTAACCCCAGGTGATGTAGGGCTCGGCGATGCGCAGCATGTTCACTGTAGCTTTGTTGAGTCGTACGAATACTGCATTGTTAATCTGACGCAATCTGAACAATTGCAAGACTTTGCGCACCTATATAGTATAGAAGATTATAAGATACATTTTTAGTATATTACTAACAATATTTGTACAAGAATATTCTATTTTAAGATTAAAAATAGCCACCCACAACAGTTACATATAGGTCTACACGTATTATATATATAAACCTATTGCTAAAAACTGTATTAAATAATTAAATCTGTTGCGTAGTTTAAAAGATCTAAGGGAACAGACTGCCGAAGTGACTTCATTTTATACTATGTAAGGATGAAACAATAATTTTTGGAAATATTTAATGGTCTATGAGTATATTGGTTATATAAACTATATGCTAGTTCCCCATCAATACAAATTAAAGTAAACTCTATGTTATATGGGAACACCTGTTACATGTCACAAAACTCTAAGTTTTGTTTGTTTCACAACTATAGTATCTAGATTGGTAATTACCACATCATTGTTTAATCAGTATCAATAATCCTGAAACTAACATAGTCTTTTCAAAATGATTTATTAGTAGTTATCTAGATATAATTAAAATAAAAATTTATCTTGTGTATCAAAATCAGCTTACCTTGGGTGAGACCTGATTGATACCACGGATACGGATCACAAATGCAAGCTTGGCTTCACCGGGCACATAGTAGTTACCACGGTTGCGTGCCTGCAATACAACAGAATATTGGTCAAAATTAGGCATAATCCCCACATATCACACTGCAGTCCAAGAAAGGCGCGCATTGCACGAAATTATGGACTTACTCTTGTACAACCTTTTTTATGGCATGCCCCTTTACTTTTCGTTCTTAAAATTATTGCCCCATAAAGTAACAGGAAGAATGAGCAAGAAACTTGTGTTGCTCTTTTGATTAAATGCTGTTTTAAATAACTACACATGTATGAGGCATGCAACATTCAACATATAATCACTAGGCACACATTCTGTGTTCAATCAGATAATATTGACAGCATTGTGAATTTTAAATCTTATATATAAAAGTCTCTTGTCACAATGTTAGTTACCATACTCCTCCCATAGGGCTTGATCGATTTTTGTGAAATTTTATATGCATATTCCGTAGGTCTGAGAAATGGCTATTATCTATTTTTCTTACCCCTAAGTGGTAAGGCATATCCACCCCTAAATATATTTTTTTAATTTCTCAACATATTTTATTATTATATAGGATTGAAAAATACATACAACCCTAAATTTTCACCCTTATATTGATCCTATTTTTTTAATAGTGATTTTAATTTACATGGCAAAACAATGTTTGCCGGGACAGCTAGTACCATTTACAAACTCTTAAACTTTATAATAAGCCTCTTTATAATGAAAGTGTTCTCAAGGACATTTGTATCTTAAAAAAACCAACATCAATTTACAAACATTACAACTTAATGAATGTGTATCTCGACTCAGCATGGAAACAATGGTTTCCAGGGCTGATTTTCAGTTGGACATACAAAATGCAGATATTCTCACCTGTCTGGCTAGCCTGATCTCATCGCGCTCCCTGATACGGTATTCCTTGACGTATTGCTCAGCTCGTTTGAAGATCTCCTTCTTCTTTTTGATGGCTGCTGTACGCCTCTTGAGTGTGACCTGAATTAATACTATTTTTTAATATTGTTCCAAATAATAGTACAGATTTGAATATACAATAATCAGAGATATCAGAATTAAATATTACAGCATCTTTATCAGATGAACTATGCCTTTGAATTAGGAATCATCATGATATGACAAGCTAAATAGTTTAATACACAGTCAGCTCTTATTAAATGATAATTAGCCTATATTCAACAATCTTCATTTTGCTAATAATTATATTTTATAACAGCTGTGGCCCTGGCATAAATCACCTATATGTTATTCTGATGTATAAGCTACTGTAAAATTTCCTCAAAAACTCTTCAGTTGTTTTTGCATGAAAGAGTAACAAAAATCCATCCATACTCACAAGCATTTATAATATTAATAAGATAATCTAACTAGAACTATGCTAAACATTGTTGATAAATCCATGCTGTTTACATAATCACACATGTTTTACAAAAGAATTTTGAATCCTGTGATATATTCAATCTTAATGATTTATTTTTAAATCCATTCAGCCATATAGTAGTAAAAAGGTAACAAATTAACACACACACTTTCACATCTATAATATTAGAATAAAAGAATGCATTGGACACAAAATAACAGTAAGTGCTATTACAATCAATGCAACTGCAATCCTTAAGACTTATCTAATGAGAAACCACATCACTTCATATTTGTATCATTATTTAAAGTAATTTGTAATACTTAGATGCTGTTGCTGTGATGACATTATTATTACACCACCATACATAAAATTTAATACATTACTTTTCGAACCTTGGTATATTCAGAATAACAAGTTACTGTTTTTATAGTCACCTGACTATAAAAAACAATTACACTATAATTTATAGTTTCACAACAACACCCATGTCAGGATATTTTATAACCATAAATAAAAATAGTTAAAATATTAATTAGTAAAATAGTGTTTACCTGTACACGGCGAGCTCTGAGCGCATCTCTGCGTTTGCGGTGCTTAAGCACTGACTCGGGGACAGCGGGCAATTTCTTGCTGCCTTCCTTGCCCTTCACTGGCGCCTTCTTCTCAGCAGGCTTATCAGCCTTCTTCTGTGTTGTTGCAACCATTGTGCTGAAATTTTCGATAACATTTCTTTAATAACAATTTAAACATGAATTAATACATGAAATGTTACAAATATAATGTAGTATCATTTTAGTATGAATTGAAAAATAAGTTTAGTAAACAATATCTTGAATAGAAATATTTAGAAAGATTTGGGATTACTACTACTTGCAGAATAATTATGGTCTTTGACCAATATTAGTCATAAAAAATCGAAATATCTCTTACAGTCACACTATTTCTTAAAGTCAATAGAGCAAACAAAGAATATAGTTTTTTATTTATTTGTTCCCGATTTATTCATTATTATACTTATTCGGATTTGTATATTGCAAATGCATAAAATATTAATAAATCTACGAAATTATAATCCCTACACTTCGAAAGAAGCGTGAAGTAACTATGAGAGGTTAGGATACTGAAATGAAAAAATATTGATATTAGTCCCTATCTTCTAACTATAGTTGTTTACAACACATATCAAAGTTACGTCCAGTTACAAAATGTTCTAAATATTTTCTATAAGCATTTGATTTCAGACATAGTGAACAACAAGAGGCTTTGGAAACGGCATGACATCCATTCAATTTCATTATCACTTTACACAAAAAAATCACTGAATATTTACAAATACTGACACTATACAGTGAAGATATTTTTTATTTTTACACAAAATAGGACCAATTTAAAGATATAAATATAATTTTATAACAACCTGCGGGGCAAAACTCCACGCGGCACGTGTGTCAAATTCAAAAGAACGACAGAGAAAATAGAGTTCCGGTGATCGCCATTTTAGTTCTATTTTTATAGTGGCAATATTTGTATTAAGGCAATTTTTCACTATGCTAATAATCAATTTCTATATTAGATAAAAAATAGTATCCTCTGTAGTATCATTGTTTGAATGTAAATATCGCAATAGTCATATTCAAACAATGATAACATATTATATAAAAATGATAAAAGTGATTTTCTGTACATATATAAACACGTACATTTATGACACGTTCCTGAGTTGACTTATTTCCTGCAATGTGGCGCGAACATACAAAACTCAGGACATAAGTACCTGTAGAATGGTATTTAAAAAAAACGATCGAATAAACGTCTCCATAGCAACCCTATTCATGTTAAGAGAATATAATTTTTAAGTAGATTTATTACCAGCAAGTAATAATAATTGTAGACAGTATTCTGAACATTCATAAAATATACACTCAAAATACAAAATGGTAGAAAAAGACCCTCAATTGAGCGCTCTTGAAATAGGCGAATTAGATATGTTTGTTGAAAGTATGGAACAATCACATATAGAAAACATTGGAAACCAAGCGTAAGTAACCACAACATCTATCAAAAACAACTTTTTTTATTATTATTACCTATGTTACAAAATAAATATAAGTATCATTAAAATTTCAGCTTTCTAAAGTTAGATTGTATGTAAACGAGTTTGTAGGTATATTTTTTTATTTATTCAGTAAAATTGTTCTTAGTGTCGTATCCCATATCTACTTACTTCTAAAACTAAGTTACAATGTAAATTGCATTGGGTATACCTTATTTTTGTTACTGCTTTTACTATTATAGGTGGTTAGACTGGCATATTAGACTGCAAAAACTTAACCAACAGGCTGTTTTAGAAGCGTCATCTATGCAAGAGGAACTGACTAAAGAAACACTTATATCATGTGGAAAGGTACATTCATTATTATAAAAATTATCTATAATATTAAAAAACTTATCATAAAATGACAACCCTGAGATTAATCAACCCATGGATGTGCGCGTCTATCGAACGAAACGGAAAATTCCCTGTCGCTTGTTTTTCGTCTGTGTATTTTTTTAGTTGAGTAATATAATTAGGTATGCCCAATAAGTTTTAGCCAGAGCTTCACAAATTCACGATCCGCCCCGAGACCGAAGGCTAGGTAAAATACTTATGAAACCGAATCACTTTTATGAAGAAACAAAGATGACTAAAAATTAATTTTGGAACTATTTATACTATAACAGATTAACCACATCACGATGCAGTATGAAATACTACAAAACTTTTATTAAATCCTGAGAACTTTTATTAGCAACAGTTTTCAATACTAATTATTGCTATAAAGATGATTAAGGCGCTTGTCAATTTATGATTCAATCTTCATTTAATATACTCCCGTTTATTCCAATTTATGGCAACACCATTGTAAAATACTTCAGTGATCTTAAATTTTGGATATTGAATTAATTCCACGTTATTTACACGTTATATAAAAGCGTTAATTCATTTTTTTCAGTTGCCTGTTTTAGTTTACGAAGCAATATGTATACAAGTGTGGCGTATGAAAATATACCCACAGATACTCAAATTGGAACCTGCGCCCGCTAATACATTTGGTATTTATATGGTGGTAACGTATGTTTCATATTATTTGGCTACTACAGGCACAGATAATATAATATTCTATAGGTAAACTTTGTAGTAAGTTATCTACGTGAGTACATTAGTCTCACCTGTTTCGGTCTTTAAACAGATTTCATTCGAAGAAATATATGAATTATCTACATGATAAAAGACTCGTGCGATGCCCTGACTGCAACGCATGTAAGCTTGCTATCCTTATTCTCAATTATCCCATAATTTCGTTACTAATGGTATCATTACTTATCGACTCTTAGAGTTGTATTACAGGCGTCACGTCGTGATGTCGATAGTGCTGTTCATATATTTACTTATGCTACTTTTGTTGGCCGCCATAGCAATTAAATAAAAAAAATACAGTTGTACCACGAGGCGGCGGCTGTGGGTCTTCTGGAGACCGTTCTGTTCCATGAGGACGGTGCGCAGTGTATCGCCGACGTGGTGGTAGACCTCCTTAACTACGCTGTCGAACAGCTCACCAGTATGGTAGTTTTAATTGAGTAAGTCATTATTACTATTAATAATTATTATTAATAATAAAATTATTATTATTATTATTATGGGTCGCCCATTGGTCGAAATTCGGTCATAGTTAATTTAAATTTGAAAGTTAGTACAACACCTACTGATTTTTTTTAATTACACTTTTTAGCAAGAATCTTGTTGTTACACTGTGTTTATGTGCAATACTGTTTTTTTTTAAGTTAATTAAGTTTTTAAACTTTGAGTTAATCCAGTATTGTACTAGGTATACGATGTATGTGGATACCATTAGAGAGTTACAGTTGGTAACATTATTAATTTGTTTTTTATCTGCAGAACTGTCATTCACTTTTTTACTTTAACATAAGTAACAGAAATGATCAAAATAGCTAACATAGTCAAGCTCATGTTTATAATTGTTACATTAAAACAGAAATGGCTACCTAAAGCCAGTGACCGCGAAGCAAATGGAGTGCGAGACGGCCGTCGAAGAATTGGACCGGCAGAAGCGCGATCTGCAATTCGACATCAGCATGAGATGCATTTCTATCGTACGGTGAGATGTGTTTGGGCACAGCTAGCGAACTTAGATCTAAAAGGTATTTTTGGAAATGAAAACTCTTTTCGTGTCAGCCAGTTCCTAAAGACGTATACATCACGCGGGAGTTGGCCTTCAGCCTCTCCATAAGTTCTTCCGCGGGATTGAAGTGCTAGTGAGTGCAGACACTCACCCCCTATCGTTCGCTGAAGTTAAAGACCAACTGCGGCCAACAGCATTAGAATAGTTATATATAATAAATTATGCGTCTAAGATCTGTACCAACTAACAAAAAGGTGAAGACTGAAACGTGTGAACAGATCTTCATAATTTGTAACTAAGAACTATCTCGGTCACGTCATCCTTTAAACAAAAATAAAACACATCATTAGGGGTCTATTCATTTGACAATACGACATCCCTCTTTTGGCGTCACGGCTTTAAAAATCGAATTGAGAACCTCTTTTTTGGTATCGAATTTAGTTTTAATTTTAAATTATTCAGCTACATAACGGAGCATATGGAGGCCGCAGGTGTGGGTGCGTCCATATCGACCAACTTGTATAAAACCAACGACGTGCCATCACTACTCGCGCATCTCCTCAAACTGGAACCGTGGAGGAAGATAGACGAGAAGGGTGACATGCAAACGTTTAACTGTAAGTACCAATTCGGCACTCAATCACATCAATCAATCAAAATGTCTTTATTCATGTAATCTGAGATATAAATCTAACGCAATGTACTTCGCGCCTATAACTCGCAAGAAACTCTGCTTCATTTAGTATTGTATTTGTTTGGGAATAGGGTAAGGTCAATCTCCATGCGGTAGCTCTGGAAAGTATCGTAATTAATTCGTCACAAATTTGGGATGATTGGCTCACTGACCTGACTTCGTACTCATCCAACTTTCTTCCACTGGTGCACAACCCTGATATACCATCACTGCAAACGGTAGCACGATACCATTATGATCTACTAAATAATTTCTGTTTACGGCCTTTTCAAAAAGAATGACTACCCCTGCGTTTTGTCTGTCTGCAAAATAAAAAAAATTAGAGAACCGTGTTGTTTTTATGTTTCCATTCATCATCCATAATGTATTATACTACCTTCTAAGAAAGAATTAAGATAACCGTTAAATATATATTTTGCTACGATATTACTTTAAGCAGCTTCCTTTGCCTATACATGCAGTTGGTCGTTGGAATAAGCCGAACGCAGAAGAAGCAATTCAACTGCACCGTAGCGCCGCTCAACTGTGGCTGTGTCTGCGACAGCTGGTACTCCAGCCGCGTCTGAACCACTACTACACGCTCGACGAGTGTCGCAGGGCCGCCTTCTGCTCGGTCAGTATTTGTTTTTTTTTAAATATGATCATGGAATGGTGCACCCGTCTGCGCTAACGGTTTACACTGGCTGGACACCAGTGAAGGATGATAAGATGAACATGAAGTCAGGTCAGTTAGCCCATCTTAGCAAATTGCAATTTATCACGATGGTTTCCAGGAGTAACTGCGTGGAAATCAACCTGACATGCTAGGAATGGCGTTCTTAGTCCACTTACTAACAATCCTCGTCCCGCTTTATTTCTGTATTCAAGTTTTAAAAATAAATATATGATGCTAAAGGAACTACTTTTTTTACGAAGTAGAATGTATTACAAGTTTTGGCCTGGGAACCTCTCTCATCAGCTGCTTTGTAAGCTGTATTTTGTTAAAATCTGGCTGTGATATTGCAAGATAACATGCATGACATCTTAGTCCTCTGGAATGGCAACTTATTAGTTACCCGTGATACCGTCACGGGTGTCACATGATAACGTAATGTCCGTAGTACTATTCATGTACATAGGCGCCGGTTATCACATACTGTGGGCCATCAGCTTGTTTGCCATTCCAAAAACAGCTTTGCCATTACATGTAATGTTCTTATCTTTGCCATTACTGAGCTGTAATATTTGAACGCCATCAAGGACAAAGACGATCTTATCTATAATAACTAATTCTCACAATGGTATGGTCTGTCCACAGCTACAATCAAAGATAACCGAAGTGATGCTCGACCAAATACCACCATTGGGCGACCTCAAGGATTTCCTGTGCAGATTGTCGGTGGGAGACTATTCAAGTTTTCACAACCGCACCAACGGCGTCAAGAATCCTGGGTGTACTTTAATTGAAATAGTACCGCAGGTAACGGTAACCAATGCTCGTTGGAATAGACGTGTTCTAGATTGGAAACCACGAATTGGCAAACGAAGTATTTGAATTAAAAAATAAATCTGTATTATTGTAAACATGTACCTACAACGTTTATTTAATAATATTACGAGCTGAGTTTCTTGTCAGTTCATCTCATCTCGACATAATTAGACATACATTAGTAAAAATATGTTTTTTTTTTAAATAAAAAAGAAATCAAAATCACAGATCAAAATATTTTTATTGGACACCACACAGCTAGGTGGAGCGGCGACATACGTAGAGTTGCAGGTAGTAACTGGAAGAGAAGTGCTCAGTGGCGTAAAGACGTCTAGCAGTCGACTGCTGTGAGCTGACGATGACCAATTTTTTAAATATTTACAGATAAAAGAAACGTACATGAAGCAAATACACAAACGCACAAAATCCATTGCTAAAGCTCAGTTGGAGCACTTCCATATGGACGGTTCCGAGGAATCCCGCGAGATGGCGCGGCGTCTGCTCGACTCGTATACTAGCGATGCGGCGCTCGCGCTTGACAGCGGCGGTGCTAAGTGTGCGCGGTGTGGTGATGCTGCCAGCAAGAAATGTTCACGGTGCAAGACCGAGTGGTACTGTGGCAGGTATGTGCTCATCATAATACTTACTTAATATTATATATGCAATAGTAACTCTGTCTCCTCTTTAACGTCACACCTACTGAACTGATTCAAAATTATATTTGGTACAAAGATCGAGTAGACCCTGAGAAAGGACAGGCTTCTATAAAAAGTAGGTATGGTAAAAAATTAAATGGGAACATTAAATTGCGAGGATCTCTTTCACCGTCCATTGCGGAAATTATACCATAAACAAAGTCTGGCCTTAGAATTTTCATATAATTCAAATCCATCTCCATTAATTTCTGTATTGATATATATTAATTCTGTCTTGTCTCACTTGCGATTGACATGCCACCTCACTGAACGATACTCTACTGTATTATTCATAGTGATGTTTTATAATAGGAACATATACAAGTACGAAATGTTGTGTAACTCATTGCACATTTAAATTAATAATTAATTTTATTTATATTTGCATTACAGAGAATGTCAAGTGCAGCAATGGCCGAAACACAAGGAAATATGCGATCAGTTTGCCAAACTTTGTGTGTAGAGATTATAAGAGTTAATACCTATTTAAAAAAATAGTTATTTTATGCTAATATATTTTTAAGCATTGTGACTTAGCGTTTATTTATATACCACAGATAACATAATATGTTTATACTTACTTAATGATCTTTAGATATAAACAAAGTCGCTGTCGCTGGTCTGTTCGCTTATCTTTTAAATTAGGTACACAACATATTTTAATGCAGTTTTTAGCATGAGATATTGACTCAAAAAATATTTATATGTATTTATTATACATGCGTGTTATAGAACAACACGAGAATGCAAAGGTTTGTAATGCATCCGTGCGAAGGCAGGACGGGTCGTAAGTTTTTATAAATAAAAGTGTAGGCCAATTTTTTTGTATTTTTATTTTAAATTTAACTTAGACATCTAGATTAGCTTGAGGACTTAAGGTAGTCCTTGAGCACGTCCAGCGCTGGTGTCTCCTCACCGAAATCCTAAAAAGGAAAAAGTGTATTGTATATAGTATTGAAAGATGAAAATGACATTAGATTCCTAACATACAACTATAAGGCATGTAGGTAAATACAAAAACACCGTGAATTTAAAATGCCATTGACCTCTAAAATGTTCTTTCCCCAATGTCATATTTGACTACGCAATTATATATTAAGTAACATTTATGAAGTCGGAGAATCTAACAATCGCTATTAATATTTTTTCACAATACATTCTTGTTAATGATCTGATTTCATTTGTATGAGACACATATAAATGCCCCACACGATCTTAGAACACATAAAAAAGTATAAATCCTTACACTAATTAAAATATGCATTATAGTTAGCACACTATTCTCTTGCAAGTATCATTAATATACTAGTGAAATATATATATTACTAATTGAAAAAAAAAAGAAAAACTATTATTTTATATAATAGATATATGTGGACGAATTTTGTACGAATGATAGGAAGGTTACCTGTGCAGAGGCAAGGCACCATAGGGTCATTCATTTATATAGCGCTGAAATATTTTCACTGACAACCCATAAAAGTTGCCTGTGTTCGTGCTAAGCGCAATTATTTGATTTAAGCATTTTACAAGGCCTCATATTGTAATCTTAAACATCCAAAATTGCCATACTAAGGCAATTCTTCTATTCATATTGAGTTATGAATCCTAGAGATCACATGTTAATATGAGTAGACTACAGTTCTGTATTGTAATATAGTATTGGGTGGCCTATACATTATCACCATGTAAAATTAGACTAACAGTAGCACTATAGTTGTAAGAAGCCTATTTTGACACTCACTTTGATAACCACACATGAGCAGCCGACGATCTTTCTAGCCTTTCCGTCTTTGTCGATTTTGCACAAACCGGCCCATTCTCCGAGCTTCTTGTTGTTATCCACCTATAAACAATATTATATAGCTTAAAGATTGTATATTCACTAATCAAATGCGTTATATTTGTAAACCAGTAGACTAGATCGTAACTCCTGAATCTGATCGGAGATCGTGAATTTCTTATCACCTACAATATATAATTACCAGCGTATAACCATTAAACTGTCAAACTCCAATTAATTTGTCTATTCATAATAATACAAGTAGTGGTTCCTATAAAAAAATTACTAATTTCTTAAATTAAAGAAATTGAATATTTTTTATTGGAAGTTGTCATAATTACTTTAATACTTTTCTATTATTATGATTATATAAAAAAAAATGTGAGACGTATTGTTTGCAATTTATTTTTATTGATATAGATGTCAGCATGCTAGGAAAGTTGGCTCAGCATAGTGAGAGCCACCATAGGGGCATACTAATCACTCTGCGCTCCTTAGGCCAAACCAAACATTGGTGTCGGGCTGGCTCGTGCGGAGCGATCTAAAAGCACCAGGTCATTGATCCTAATCCTATCCTAACGAGACTATCACCATTTTAATGTTTTCCATCACCATCAGAATGGCTCTCAGGATGATAAGTGAATAATGTAGTCTAAGCCTGCACAATATTACCAGGGATAAAAGGTTTTGCAAAGGGTGAAAGGGGAATACTAGTAATGTGGACTATTGATCTCATGTTATAAGTAAGGTTGACCCCCACGCGCTTTCCCCTGGAAACCATTATAAATTCTTCGTGAATTTGTCACAATGGGCTATGTGACCTGGCCTTATGGTCATTATCATCCACCACTGGTGCTTTACCAGTGTAAACTGTTAGCACAGGCGGGAGCACCATTCCATTATCATCCATGAACATAATATATCTATTATTTACCTTGACTAATGCAATCTGATGTTCATTGCAGAGAGCCTGCACAAGCTTCTTGTATGCAGCCTCGTCACAGTTCTCTGCTAGCACACACAATACAGCTTGCCTCCTACAATTAAATATATACTATATGAATGATATAAAATAATAGTAAACCCAGTTCTGTATTAAGTGTAGTAAATTCTTTCAAGTGATCAATGGCTTTTGTTATAAAACAACACCTGCATTTTTTTTCAAACTGTATAGAGAAACAAAGGAAAAAATATAATACAGAACCTTTGTACAGAGTAACAAAGCTAAAACTGTTTATTGTATTATGTACAGGAAGAAAAGTGCATAGAGAATTGAAACATTAGCTATTCCTGCTACTAGGCACTGTAGTAAACTAAGGAATTAGTAACTTCAACTACATTAATTGTTTTTCAGGTAGTATTTATTGCCCACCATAACCTATAATACTAGGACAATAAACAAAATATTAAGTACTAGGAGTCCCAATTTGGACTTGCCATAAACAAAGCCACAGGCCACTTTATATTAATAGGTTTTTTTTATAAAACTTTATGAATTTCATAGACCTTAATTGTGGGTGTAATATTAAGTGTGGGTTTTAAACGCCTAGTGTAGTTTCTGTACAAGATTTATGTTGGAAATATATAATAACTCTATATTTATATACTTTAACTTTTTACATGTGTAAATTATAAAAAAATAAAAAATAATTTTACTATTGATAAAACACATAGTTGTGATTAGAGGTAGGGCATTGCTTGTATTTGGGAATAGTTGATCCATTGTTAACAATGTATGGTCAGGGCCTCAGGACCTCCATGTAGTCCCCTTTGGAAAACACTGTGGTTAATTCTTAGTCAATTAACCGTGATGAACTAATTGACTTGACTTCATGCTACCATTCTCTGCTGGTGCCTTGTCAGTTTATATGCACAGGCCAAGGCACCTGTTATAAATAATACCTACAAGTTTTTACAAAAGTATTGTAGCACATCTGGGAGGCCACAGACTTGCAAGTCAAGCACTGTGGTACTATGTGTGTGCATTATTGTAGGCAATGGAACAGATCAACCATGACTTTGCATCATAGAAGATATTTCCAAATAACATACAACTAGAACAGCTGTACATTAAGTGGATATTATGGGGGAGAACCATTGCCAGATACATCCTGTTTAAGTAAGTTTATTTACATTACAGACATATATTATACTAGTTGTTCCTGCAAACATTGTTGTGGTATACAAATTAAAATCACTATTATAAAATGGTGACGGAAGAGTGAAAATTTAGGTGCAGCATTCCATTATGATCCAAAAAAACCCTTAACACTTAGGGATATGAAAAATATATAGTACCCAATTCTCAAAAACTTTTATAAAAATTGGGCAAGCCTATGTAATGGTAATGAGTATGGTAACTAACATTGTTACACAAGAATTTTACATATATGATATAAACAATTTATGCTACACTGATATTAGTGGTAGTCCTGTATATGCTTTTTCATAGTAGGCATGCAAATTTTTATTAATAGGTATAACAATTACACACTATTATTACTAATAATTACAAATGAAAAAGTAGAGTTACTGTTTAAGCTCTAATAATGTTAGTCATTAATGATAATGACTTGAATGATAGCAGCTCATGGCTTGGTGCTACCTGACAACAAGTTGTTACTTGCTGAAAAAATTCAAAAACCGATCAATTATTATTTGATTTATCCACAACAAACAGGTGAAAAATGAAATATTTTCTATCACAACAAAATTAATATGAGGCTAACCTAAAGGTATAATGAATGAATTAAAAATATTAATGAAAATAGTTCAGAATTGATAAATAAATTGAGTATGATACAAATTGATTTACTGTATTTTCATAATAATCTTACTAATATCATAAATGCAAGCATGAATAAATGGATGTCTGTTACACTTTCATGCAAAAACTATTTGATGAAATTTTACAGTGATATAGCGCATAAAATCAGATTTACACAAATTTTACAGCTGAAACCACAGGCACAGCTAGTAAACTATAATTTCAAGTAATATGAAAATAATGTAAGAAAATTGATCACAAACTTGTCAAGTGCTTTAGCCGCCTCATGGAGACCATGGACAAGCCCACCATGTATGAGCGCAGTCTTCAGGACCTCCTGTAGGGCTGTGTTCACATCCATAGCACCGCCGCTCAGGACGGGGTTGGCGGGAACCTCACTGAAATAGGCAACATTTAGTTATTTACTCATCTAATTTTAGGTTAAGTATGATAACTTGTTTTATGTTTTTGATAGAAAAAGATCTAGCATCTAGCCTACAGTATCTTATTTTCACTATGAGTCGTTTAGAATATAAGCAGAGTTAACTAGATTAATTAATTATTATGTTAGAGACAGTTTGAACACATTTTATAAATAGTCATTGTGAAACGAATTTGACTAAGTTTTTTTTTACTAACAACAATATTTAAAGATTATTTAGACAACACTTTGGAAAAGTACCATTGTTTAAATGTGAATTTATTGTGACAAAAATTAATTTAACCTACAATTAACATAAAAAGAGGTTATGTTGACAACATGTTTCAATAATTATTTGGCTTAAATAATACTAAATTAGAACACTAAAACTTATTACAATACATAGAAGATATTATAGTTATGTTTAATAGGAGTAAAAAGTAAAGAAATTTATTATAAACAATGATACTCACACATCGACATCAGCCATGGTTTTCTGTGTTTTGACGACCTGAAATACGAAATACACTCAGCTATAAGACACATCGACATGGATTTTTAACTATTAAAATAACAATAATGTTAAAGATCACTAAAATACTTCGAGATTGGAAAAAATATAGATCAAAACGTTTGACACTTTACCTACGGCACCGGAAAAAGAAATATTAGCGTTGTACAATATCGATAAATGATATTGATGAGAGTCAAGAACAGTGTTGTTGACTATACTATCGTATTATTTTTTTAAAGACAAATTATGAAGTAGCAAAAAAATAATATTTTTACTTTTCAGTATAGAAGTTTTAATATACAATTACAACTAAACTACTAACTAACTATTATGTCATCATTGGTACTTAAAATACCAAAAGTTACTCCATAATATCCTCCATAAATGTGCAATTGGTTATGTGCGACAATAGTTGCAAATTAAAAGTATATTACTTTTATAAACGTCAAAATATTTTTGTTAGTATATCTAATAATCGATATCTGCAGACTATGCTCAGCACTTTGTAGACACAACACTAACGAACAAGGCAAGTGACAAAGAGAGAGTTACCATTATTAAAAAAAACCTCATTACGGTATCCAATGTCGAAATATTTATTGCTACATATCGAAATATTTATTTTAATATACATAGAAACAAAAATTGGTATTATTTTTTTGTCTATATATTTCTTCCGAATTTGTACTTGGTGTGGAAAATGTATGTAATAATATAAGAATTGACGGTTTTATAATTGTAGATCCATTACTATGATGTCATATGCTCGTAAGTTGGTAATTGTTTTAAGGAAAATTAAATATAATTATATAAAATGATAAAAAAAATTATCAACACTACTTTTAATCAATAAAGAAATTTTATTTATCTTAATAATGTCATCAACTCCTAAGCATAAACAGAAAACTGAGTACAAATAGGGGCAAGTTTAAAACAAAAGAGAACCAATGACAAAGTCATTTTCATTTTGAAACGTTTATATAAAATTTATTTCAGATGTTTATTTGTGATTGAAATCGTAGTGTTTATTAATTTTGATATCATAACAAGTATTGTAGATTTAGTTTTTTATCTATATAATCTATATAATGTACATAAGATATAAATATTTTACCTTAAAATCATGAACCGAAATCCTGATATAATGTTCATGGCCGAATATATTAAAAATGTGTTGTATTTTGCTACAGTACGACCAGGAAAAGTACTTAAAAACACAGCTGGAACGCATTACTTCACCATTGATAATGATTTAGTTTACGAAAACTATTACTCAGACTTTGGTCCTTTAAATCTAGGTTGTGTTTATAAATATTGTAGGATATTGAATGAAAAATTAAAACAATATTTAAATAAGCAGATTATTATTCATTATACATCAATCGATACGAAGAAAAAAGCTAACGCAGCATTTTTGTTGGGATGTTATGGTGTACTTTATCTGAGCTTAACTCCAAGAGATGCCTTGAAACCACTTATGGTACATGGTCAAAGTTACAGGTCACTAATATTGTTTTCACTTGTACATATTTTTAATTTAGTAGCACAATCTGAATAGATGATAAATAGAAAACGCTTTGATTTATATTCTTTCATTTAATAGCTTTATTCCATAGAATAAGACTCCATATTTTTAGTAAAATTTTATTTAGTATATTTTCTTTGTGCAAACAATTATTTGTATAAAATTACAGACCTTTTCAAGATGCGATACAAGGCGATTCATGTCATACGATTAATCTATTTGACTGTTTACAAGCAATAAAGAAAGCGCGCGAATTGGGTTTTTTTAATTTTCAGGATTTCAATTATGAGGAATATGATAGGTTAGATAAAATACAAGGCGGTGATCTCAATTGGATTGTTCCAGGTAAACTAATTCCCAAATTTGGCTATAAAAATATATAAACATTATTTAAATTTTATTACTACTGTTCTGGATGCTCTGAACCCAAAAGTGTAAAATATTATTATATTAAAATAAAATACTTGTGTTAACCAAAAAATTCTTACGTTTTTATTTTTTTTTCTTGAATATTCAATAAACTTATTTTCAGGTAAATTTTTGGCATTCATTGGTCCTGTGGACTGCAGTGTCTCATTGTATCATCCACCAGAGATGTACATAGATTATTTTCTCGAGAATAAAGTTAAAATTGTCATCAGACTTAATAAACGATTATACGATAGTAATATGTAAGTGCCGTCTTTTGCATTTTCATGCTCAATAATATTATTATACTAAATAGACTAAAAAAGTATATTCTAGTAACTGTAGTCATCAAAGACCTTTCTTACCCAAACACGACGTTCAATTTAGAACTAATATGAGTGAAAAGTATAAATATTTTTTAAATCATATTCTGATGTAAATAAATAGTTTACTTCAAATTTATGGTTTATTTAAAAGTATTTATATTACACGAAATGTTTCGACTACGTATTCCCAACATTGCGCAGATACAACGTCTTGTCGAATATGAGTTATAATTAATAATTTCCCTGTCTATATTTTTATAAGTGTTGTGAATAATTAAAAAAATTAATATACGTAAATTTTTGTTCCTGAGAATTCAGGAGCTATGCATATATAATTTCAGCTTCAGTAATGTTGGTATCACGCACTATGATCTATTTTTCCCTGATGGTTCATGCCCACCTCGGCATATACTATTCAAGTTTTTGCAGATCAGTGAAGGAGATGATGGGGCTATTGCCGTTCATTGCAAGGTTATGCATTAATAGATTTTCAGAGGCTTTCAGAGGCAAAGTACAATAGGCTGGTAGATAGAGATTTGTAGATAAATGTCATAACTTCACGTGTAATATGTATCCTACAACCGAAACATGGCTTACAAAACAAGATGCTTGAAGGCTGAATTGGTGACACACTTTAGTTTGGAATAAAATAAATGTCGTACGTCATAATCTGTAATTGCACTGCTTGTTGTGAATTCTACAACAGAAATAGGGTACAGTAAGTAAGTAGCTACCCATAATCCTAGCTTGAGTAGTTTGGGACAGAATAACATTGTCATATGTAGTGCATATTCCTTAATTTAATAATACTTTGTTGTCATGATTTATGTTGAAACTGATGGAGTAATTGTTTAGGCAGGTCTTGGTCGCACGGGCTCGCTAATCGGTTGCTATCTCATGAAACATTATCGAATGACCTCTCACGAAGCTATAGGCTGGATGAGAATTTGCAGACCTGGTTCCGTGATTGGCCATCAGCAGGTTGATACATATTTTTAAATTAGTGTTAATCTATATTTGTTATATAATGATAATTTTTATGTTAAGTCCGGTTATTGCTAGCTGGTAAATGATAATAGGTTTAATTAAGCATTAGAATCATATATTTTTAAATTTAATTATGTTATACTAAAGCGTACTGGCGCGATGGCGTGGTGGTAAACTACTCAGACTTAGGTACACTCAAGTATCGTGTGCTCAAATCTTGCTAACTGAATTTATATTTCTGACTGAGTCTCTGAAAAAGGCACACCGTTATTAAATCAATTAATCGTGAAGGCGGCGGTAGGCTCAGTCCCTGCCTATGCATATCAAGTGTTGCCTTCACTACGATTGACAATGCCTCTGACTACCTCATTTGGAATAACAGTCGTGAAGATATGTCATTATCTTTAGACCATTGGCTCTGGAAAATAATTAAATAATTAATATTACAGAGTTGGTTAGAAGAATTGGAACCGTGGCTGCTAAAACAGGGGAATATTTATAGGTAAACAGGTGAAGAATTTGTTAATTGGTAGTTACATTTTTACTATCTATTATTAATCGCTGGTATACCAAATATTATCCATAATGCAAGATTTATAATATTTCTAGAAAACGCATTTACCAAAACACGGAAAAATTCCCTATACACGAATTTGGGGTGTATTCGATTACTGAAAAGACCATAAAACAAAGGCCGGTAATATTCCATAAATCGCCGTCGCCCCCACCGCCTATGCAAAGAGAAATACGCTCAGACTTTATGCCTGTTAGGCCACAAGCATCCAGAGTTCGAGAAGGTATTGTTATATATTTAGTATTTGTAGATGACGTCAAAACTGTAACCAATCTTGACCAGGCCCTAATTTTAAGAAACCCGGGACACTTAACACTTAATGAGGCAGTAAGGAGACCTCCGCGATCATTACACCACTTGTAGATATAACCAAATTCAGTTCTCAAGTCCAGTACAGGGTGAATCATATTCTAAACAGTTCTTATATCAAACAGTGTTATTTCATATCGACAATTTTATAGTTTTTTTTAATATACACTATTTAATCGATTTAAAGTAACACTGTTTATGCTATTAATATTATCATCTCATGACAACGCACCGCCATTTCGCAAATATATATATATATTTTAATACAGTGTTATTTTAACTCGGTTAGGTACTTAGTTTCGCATTGCCTTATTATTTTAGACACTGATTGTGTCCTATTATTTTACAATCAGAAAAAAACGAAGAAGAGATATTCCTCACTTCTTGCGATTTGACGACAAAGTCTGTAGCTCCTATGACTCAAATCAAAGGCTGCGTAATAAAAAATGAAGTAAATCTCGAAGAATGTAATGAGAATGATCAAAGTAGCGAACAAAACATGTCGTTTTGGAAAAAGTATCTTTGTTGTCATGCATGTTTCACAACATGTAACAACACTTTATGGATGTTGGCGGTGCGTTGTGCTGGCGTTACTCCCAAATTATGTGAAAATAGTATTTTTTGCGACTTCATAGACAGGGTATGTAACATTCAAGTCAAAATTATGATACATTTTGTCGATATAATTTGATTTAAATGTACATCCTTTTTATTTTGAGGTAGCTCCTTATAAAATGGCCGAAAAGGAGTCAAGTGACTGCCGTGTAAGAGTTCCAAGAGTAAACAGCCAAAAGACGCAAATTCAAAGGTAAGTATTACAATTAACATATAAGTACATATATATACCGACAGTTCTCTCTTTAAAATTTTGTATTTCTGTGTAAATATTTGATATATAAATAAACAGCCTAATTTATTAATAGTTGAAGCTAAAACTTTGTACCTTTTTTTAAATATTGCGCGGACGGTGGAGTTTGTGATTTCGCACACCTATAGTTTATGTAGAGAAAGAAGGCAAATTGCATTTTTTAAAAGTTATGTACATAAAATTGGTTAAACAATAAAATTTATGGTAAATTTTATGGTCGAAATTCGACTGTGGGGCGATTACTAGTAAAAATTTAAAATGTTATATTTTAGTTTCCAAAATGGCATTCAAAGCAGAGATCGAAATGATGTCGGGGGTGTTATGTCTCAACGTGGTAGTGGTGCTGGTGAGCCGAGAGGGCGGTCACCGTTACCCGGCAGTACTGCTAGATCTCAAGTGCAACGCAACAGTTCAATGTCTAATGTCAGTTTTCAGAATTATCGTATAATACGCCTATTATTATATTATTTCTCTATTAATTGATAATAATTAAGTAAGTAATTAATATTTAGTTTATTTATAAAAGAACTAGAACGCTTCATACATTTTAATTCCATGTCTTTTGTGGAATAGAACAGAATCGAGAGCTACTGGCCCCTTATACACATTCTCTTTTATAATTCGTCGCATACATTCATGCTGGTTACAGGACATTTACTCTCTCTAATAATACATATTATATTCAATCATAGTCAATTTAAATATCTGCTCTACTTTTGGTAATTCAGTCTAAAGGGGATATTCTTATTACAGGAACTTAATTCAAAAATCTCTGGTGGATACAATCACCCTATACCCACATTTAGAACAACTCAAGGACCTATTATTAAAACAATAAACGATGCAAGGGTGAGTTATTGAATTATAATTGATTTTATTTGATAATATTTTAATATAGATATATAAGTACAGTTTTTATACAGAACTTCCTGATGAAATCCAGTATATATAAAGTAGGACGAGAAAGGCAACTGAATTCTTCAATAACAATAACTCCTCGATGTACATATCGAGCATCTGATTATGCAGAAAACTTTGTAACTGAACGCATATCCCATGTCACGCCTTCATCTTTCAGCACAGGTATTTATATAATGTATTTCTCAATACAATCGACGTATTATTTTTATTATTTTAAGAATCTTGAAAAATATTCGATATTAAAATTTAATTTTTTTTATTCGTGGTTAAACCCTATAATACCATGATAATTTGTGTGATCGTGAAACTAATTTTTTAAAGATTACTATTGCTGAGTTATAATGGAACAATATAAATATTTTATTAGTAACAAGAGGTCCTACTCAGCCTCAATGTCGACGTCGTCTTGGTCGAAGCCCAAGCCCGCCACAACGCTATGAACAAAGTCGTGCCACGAATACACCTACAACCGCTGAAAGGTTCCTTGCAAAAGATACTTCAAAGTCGGCGGCATTGAGAGAAGAATTATCTAGATTAAAATGTAAGTACACGTCAATACAATATGCAAATTAAAATATGGTAACAAAAACAGTACTACCTATTTTTTATTTAAAAAGTATTTACATTACTGTTTCAATTTTGATTGACATATTTTTAATAACTAATATATTTGTCTTAGTTTATTTTATATTAAAATATTTTTTTAATAACATTAATGATGCTTTTTTTCCGCTTCTTACTGCATAAACCAATTCCATGAAAATGTATAATGTAAGTAATGACACCTACATTATATATTCTCAATAATATTAATACAAAACTTACATAAAACTATACAAGTAGTAAAAATGAATATTAACCACCTATTTTCTTAATAATTTACATATAACAAATTTTAGTTATGGACTCACAAGATCTCAGTTCCAGAGCCATACAATAATCTGGTAAAAAAGTGTCCAACTGTCAAACTGTCATTGGAGTTTGTACAAAAAGAGTAAAAAATATAACCTTAAAAGTATTCAAAATATTTCCTATTTAAAAATAAATATGAGTGTTTTTAATATAACAATTCTCTTTTAATAATTGTAATTATACTAACGCCACCTGAGATGGGTGCTTTAGTGACAAAGGCCTTGCGACCAATAAAATCATTTAACATTGAAAATCGTGCACATCGTATTATTTCTAAGGAGAAACCAGTGCCAGCTCCTAAATATCCTGAAAATATTGAGGATTTAAAGCGATCTCTCAAATCCGACCCCAATTTAGATGAGAAACTTGATAAGAAAGACCCAAGCTTGGACGATAGACTTCGCGATGTTTATGTAACCTCTCTTGGCCGGCCTGAAGACGATATTACGCGGGAAAAGAGGATACAAAACCCTGACCGGCCGCTACCTCTAGACCGGAAGATGCCGGAAGAGTTTGAATATGGTTTTAAAGAACCAGAAAAATTGAAGTATGGGCATACGATCCTTCGCGACGTGTTAAATTTCATTTCGGCGCACCAGAGTAATCCTAACGAGGTTACAGCATCAAAAATAGCCTTCGAATACAAGATGAGAGAAGATGATGTAAAGACAATATTGAAATATTTTAAAACTTATGAAGTGTATGTACCAGAGACTAAACAGTCGCCAGCAATTTTTGCAGGACCAGCCAGTTTAAGAAAGCAACTTGAACCAAGTGATGTGAAAAAGATAAATAATACAGATAAAGTAATAAATAATATAGGAGAAAAACATGTTAAGAGTCCAACATAACATCTATGTAATTTCTACAGTAGACAAACTAATATTTTGTTATGCAAGATAACAAAAAATATTTATTACAAATGAATTAATTATAACTTGGGATGGATGATTGTAACCTACTCACAATATGAATTATCTTAATGTTTTTAATAACTATTCTAAATTAATTCCGTTACTATGTTTATATGTAGCACTTGTTGGCCAGCATTCATGTTTAGTACAAGCATAGATAAGAAATAATATATCAATAGACTGACTAAACATACATATGTTTCTTTGTCTGTAGTCATATCTCATCATATTTAATAATGCATTCAAATGGGCACAAAGTTACCTATCTATTATAATACAGTTCTACATACTATGTATCTAAAGGAATATGAAATGACACACATTAGCTTCACACCATGTTGTGAATTATCAAATGGGGCTACTTGGATACACATCCAGTCTCAAACATGTTTAATTTCAAAAGTTAAGCTGATAAGACATTTTTGCTAGAAATGTCAATTGCTGACAATATTATATTAACAGCAAATAAATATTAAATGGTCTCATTGTTATAGGTCTGTAACAGCCCTAAATGAATTTATTAAACTTAATAAATTTATTCCATTTAACAATTATTATATGCAACTATCTTTTGATATAAATGAAACAAAATGAAATTGATATTGTATTAAATTAATTTCAAATAGTATTCTAGAACATATCTCATGATTTAAATTCAGTTCATACAACTGTAATATTCTTTTAATTTACTATAATATATCTTGGTAACATAGACAGAAATTTAAAATTTTGTACTAAATAAAATTTACGAGATGGATACAATAATCGCTTCCTCATGACCTATCACATTAGTACTTGCATGTTATGTAGAATAAAAAGATTTATTTCATTAATAAAATGTCCTTATATTATTGGAAAATATTAATTTATGTTGTTAAAGGCATTTTATATTGTGCAGCTGTTTTTATTATTAATTCAACCATTTTGTATATAGTAAAAATGTGATTTAGATGTAGTACAATAAAATATATTTAGAGAATATAAATGTTATGTTTATAAAATTGCTATTATTTATGTAACCTATGTCTGGGGGAGGAAAGGATTGTAACTAATTGGGACCAGTAGAACTATTCTTTTATCTCCCATTGGTTCGGCAATTGTCTATAAAAAAATTATATGTCCCATTATTAACATGCAAAGGTACTATACACATGTAGCAGTGGAAAGGAGATTATTATTAATGGGAACTATCACAGCAATCTGATATTGAATTGACATCTACATGGTCCTTTTTGAAAATATCCTTGTAAGTAGGTACCCATGATAAATTAGCCCTGTTGGGCTGACTGACCCGACATCATCCACCACTGGTGCCCCGATAGCGCAATGCCCTTATTACTCATATACATCTGTATTTCAGATAACATGATAAGGTACGTAAACCACAGACTTGAATAATCAATATCTGTAACTTAACATATTGTCCTCAACTGCCTATTGTGATGTATTCCATTTTCTGTTGAATTATTTTAATAACGCTTGTTTGTAATAGGATAAGTCAATATTATCTGCATACGGTCGGCATGACTTAAGATTTAACAATTTACACATCTATTATATGTAAATAAATAAATGATCTTGGAAAACTCATGTAACATGAACAATTAGTTTGGTGTAAGTTGGTTTGGATGTAATAATTAGTAGTATGAATGTATAACACAGAGGGGATGGGGATTGTTAGTAATGTGGACTAATGACACCATTGCTAGCAATGTACCATGTCAGATCGACCTCCACGCAGTTCCCCCTGGAAACCATCGTGATACATTCCCGGTGAATTTGTCACGTTGGGCTAACTGATCTGACTTCATGTTCATCCTATCATCCTCCACTGGTGCCCCGCCAGCGTAAACCGTTAGCGCGGGTGGGTGCACCAAACCATTATCATCCTTTAAAAAAAAATATAACACATAGTCATAATACCAAACTAAGCAGAACTTGAATTATGAGATAGACTGAACAAAGTATGCGTAGATATTTATATAGTGTATACGTCGTTCGAATATCGTAAGGCGAGGGGGAAGGAAACTGTTAGTAATGTGGTATGATGCCCCCATTGCCACATTTAATTAGTTTTGTGATGAGCGGACCAAGCCAAAGTATCGGTGGGCAGTCTACTCCATGAGTGTATGTACCAGAATGGTGGCCAGTAGAAACAAATGGAGATCAATCTGAATCTCCATGCGATTCCCCCTGGAAATACTGATAAATTTCTGAAGAATTCACCACGATGGGATAACTGACCTGAGTTGACTCTCATCCTATAATCACTGGTGCCCCGCCAGCGTAAACTGTTGGCAGCGCAGACAGATGAACCATAGCATTATCATCTATTAAAAAATACCATAAGGCGAGACTTACGCTTGCCACATATACAAGTTTTAAATATTAATATTATATAAGCAGTATCGTGTCCACGCGATGGGTCCATCGGTGCGGCATCGTTGGGGGCTCGACGTGACGCCCCGGCCCCCAAACGAGCTCCCAGTGTCCGGTCGGACGAGCGCCCTCATGCAACACAAGGGGACTTGCTTAATAGCATTAAGGTATGGGTTTCAGCTGAATTACTGTAGGTCATAATTTCAACCTTCGGAGTTGAAGAATCTCCTCAACTCCTTCATCCTTATTCGTGGAATCATATTTAACAACTATTATGTGAAAATGTCATCTCCTTCAGCCTAGCTAATTCCTCCAGCCATGTTTACGGGGATTCTTAACACACAAACAGACGGATTCCACCTTGTCACTATTTTATATATAAAAAGATAAAGATAAAGATAAAGAAGCCTTTATTTCTGTACATACATTTTTTTTTTTTTTTTTATTTCTGTTCATTCATATTACTATATTATACTTTAAATTTATTATTATTATATGTATTTTTTACTATTATTTTTTGTTGAGTAGTTTAATTTTTTTTTTTTTTCTAATGTTTAATTATTAGTTCCATTTTCTATATTATATCCCGCAGTACAGAGTGCCTTATGGCAAAGGCCTCCTCTAATTCCTTCCAGTGTACTCTATTTTGGGCTGCTCTTCTCCAGTAGGGGCCTGCTGTCAGCTTGATTTCATCCTCCCAGCGTCTCTGTGGTCTACCTCTTTTTCTTTTTGTTTCCCTTGGATACCATTCAGTTACATAAGTACTCCATTTTTCAGGATCGAATCATGTGCCCAGTCCATCTCCATTTTTGTTGGTCTATCTGCACAAGAATGTCTGTCAAGTTAGTTTTTGCTCTTATATCCTCACATCTGTGTCTGTCTCTTCTATTTATCCCTAACATACTTCTCTCCATGGCTCTTTGACATCTTTGCAATTTCTCCCGCTGTTCTTTGTTTAAGGCCCATGTTTCGCATCCGTATGTCAGACACGGCAGAATGCAAGTATTAAATGTCTTTCTTTTTGTTGACAGTTGTATGTTCTTGTTTTTCATTATCTCTCTCAGAGACCAGTATCTCTTCCATCCACTGGCTATTCTTTTGTTTATTTCTTTATCTGTCTGATCTCTAAAAGACACCACTTGTCCCAGGTAAACATACTCTTCCACATACTCCAAGCACCCACCGTCCAAACTAACGTCAATCTCCATTGAGTTGGTCAGGATCTTGGTTTTTGCAGTATTCATTGACAGACCCACTGTTTTGCTTTCGTTTGACAGACTTTGAATCATAGTTTCAAGGTGTATAGGACTTTCTTCGAAGAGTACAATGTCGTCTGCAAAACGTAGGTGAGTCAAATAGGATCCATTTATATTGAGTCCAAAGCCTTCCCAGTTCAGTTTACGGCAAATGCTTTCCAACACAGCTGAAAATAGTTTGGGAGATAATGGGTCTCCCTGTCGTACTCCTTTATTTATTGGGAATGAACCACCCAAGGTTTCTAATTTTATTTTGGCTTTGCTTTCTGAATATATATTTAGTATTATTTGTATATAAGAGTAGTGTATGCCTTGTTGTTGTAGAGCTTTCCATATATAGCTATGTTTCAGACTATCAAATGCCTTTCTGTAATCAATAAAAGCGATATACAGAGGTTTGTTATATTCGTTGTATTTTTCTATTAGCTGTTTTATAGTGTAGATGTGGTCGATAGTAGAGAAATTCTTACGAAAACCTGCCTGTTCTATAGGCTGGTTTTCATCAAGCTGTTTTGATATTCTGTCTAAGATTATCTTTGCAAATACTTTGTACAGATTCGACATCAAACTTATAGGCCTATAGTTTTCTATGTCATCCTTTGTCCCTTTCTTGTGTATAAGGATTATGTGAGATTCGCTCCACTGAGATGGTATCATTTTTGTTTTTAGTATGTCATTAAAGATCAACATAAGTAAAGGTATTATTTCCTTCATGGCTGCCTTTATTACCTCATTTGGAATGTCATCGGGTCCAGGTGCTTTTTCTGGAGGTAGGCTTCTTATTGCCTTAGCTATTTCCGATGGTAGGATTGTGGGTACTTCACTTTCTGCCTCTCTTAATATTTCAGACTCCTTTTCTAGCACTGTATTTATTTTATCCTTATCGGAATATAATGTTGTATAGAATTCTGTAGCTATTTCTTTAATTAGTTTTCTGTCTCTTTCGCTTTTTCCCTTCTTTTTGAGGTTTGGTATCCATTCTTTACCATATTCTTTAAGTTCTTTGAGAGCTTTTTTTACTCCGCCTGTTTTTTTAATATGTTTTTCCAACGTTTCCCGTCTGCGTTTTCTTCTGTCCCGTCTCATATTTTCTCTAATTTTCTTACTTATCTCTGCTATCTTTCTTATTCTTTCTCTTTCCATTGTATATGTATCTTTACTTAGACTTTTACGTTCTGCTATTAGCTTGTAAGTTTCTTCGCTGAATTTGTTTCTGTTAGGAGTGGCTCTCCTTCTTCCAATTGATTGTTTAAGTTTTAGTTCCATTTTATTATATCTATCTAATAGGTTTAAGTCTTCATATCCTATTTGCGTTAGAGACATAAGAGTGGACTTGTGTGGTACTCCAGAAGTAGGTCGTTGGTTGCAGTATCTATTTATTTTATTTCTATTAAATTTAGGCCTGGGTATCCTGAGGCAACTTCTTACCATGCGGTGATTAGTGTTGAAGTTTAGGTTTTTTATTATTGTTGTATCACTAAAAGCTTTGGGATGGTTGCAACAGATGTAATCAATTTCATTTTTGTACTTTGCATCTGGGGAGATCCAAGTCCACTTGTTGTTTTTCTTCTTAAAGATTGTGTTTAGTATCGTAAGATTGTGCTCCAAAGTGAACTCTATTAGTTTTTGCCCATTGCAGCTCCTTTTTCCGTAGCCATATTTTCCAATTGTAAATTCTTCCTCTGTTTGTTTTTCTCCTACTTGAGCATTAAAATCTCCCATTACTACAATATGATTGTTAGAGTACATTCCAATTGTTTCTGAGAGGTCATTATAAAAGGAGTCTACTACTAACTGTTCGGCCTGTTCGGTAGGTGCATATACTTGTATTATTACCCATTCTTTCAAATATGTAGGAATTTTGAGGCGAACGACAGCTATTCTATCTGTGACACCAATAAATTCGATTATGTCTCTCTTATAATTATTTTTAATGAGAAATCCTACTCCCCTATGGCCACTGACTTCGCCTTTGTAGTACATGACATAATCTGAATTTTCTACTATTCCTTCCCCCACGCGTCGCATTTCACTGATACCCAATACATCCCAGTTGAGATCTTCTAATGCTAGTTCCAATTCTTGTAAGCTTTCTATTGTCCTCAAAGTTCTAGTGTTTAGAGTACATATGTTGAACTTTAAGCTACTTTGTTGAAGAATTAGAGGGTGTTGGTCGCACACCCCACGGTGACCAGCCGGAGTGGGGTTTTTGTATTTTTTATTTATTTTTATGTTTGTTTTATTTTGAAATCTTGCACTTTGGTAGGGATCTTTTACTAATTGCTATTGCTTGTTTTCTGATATTGATTTTGGTTTCTTGTTAAAATAATCCATGACTTTATTTATTTTTTGAGGATTATGGGAAATACTGGTAGATGGAGCATTTGGTGAGCATGATTCTGAACGTTTCCGCTTGTCTTTCTGTGTCTCGTGTACGACAAGTTTATCGTAAGATATATATATCTTTCCTTTGGCAATTTCTTCTTTCATTTTGATTTTTAACTCTTTACGTTTTAACAAGATATCCTTTGGGAAGTCTTCTGTTACATATATGTTTTTCGGGAACTTACTTTTATTTTTAAGAATTTCAGTTCTTCTCCATGTGAGGGTTAAGGTTATCAAGATAGGTCTAATTTTTGACTCCTTCTTTTTACCCAGCCTCTGTACTCTGCTTAGCTCCCACTTGTCCCATTCCTGTAGGGCCGTTTCTACGCTCAGCTTGTTAAGAGTTTCCACAACTAATTCTTGAAGCTCTGTATAGTTCTCTTCCTTTTCAGTAACGCCATGCAGTATTATATTGTTTTTTCTAGTTTGTTTTTCCATTTCAAGAATCTTCACCTTCAATGATTGTACCTCCTGCTTCAATTCTTTATTTTCTATTATCAATGGTTGTATTTTTTCATCAATTGTTTTTGATATTTCAGTGGTCTGTTTATGTAGTTCTTCTCTCAGTTGGTCTAATGTGATCACCGCGGTATTTTGGCTGGCCATTATGGATTTCTACTATTTGGTAGTTTAGCTTTTATGTTGGAAACACTATGACGTATTTCGGACTAATAGTTTGACGTTTAATGTCTCTTTCAATGTCAGTTGTCAGACTGGTCAGTGATCGTTTCCTTGTGATAGTTGTCAATTTATGAATTTTGGTCGTTAAATATTTTGTTTTCGTATATGTGTTGTTATATATATATTTAGTCGTCTTACTTGATTTTGAAGTTTTTTGCTTGGTCGCAGTGTTTATTCTTTTGTTTTAACCACAATAGAGTTGGAGTAGTTTCAAGCTTCTATTTTGCACCACAATAAACCACTAATTTACGCGATAAATCACTATATTTTAATTTTGATTGCGGAACAGTTTTGTGTACGTGATATTTTGACAGATCCCAAACATTTTATATATAATGAAAATTAATAAAAAGAAACTTAAAAGTCACTAGTATTACATTTTAGCTTTTGTGTATTACATTAATAATTATATATTTTTTGCAGTTCCAAAGAAGATTCCGTGATTCTTTTCATTCCGATAAATTGAATACTATTTATACTGATAAACTCAGGTAAATCGCTATTGTTCATTATATAGAAATAGTAGTTTTTTTCTTATGGATGATAATGGCATGGTGCACCCGCCTACGCTAACGGTTTACGCTGGCGGGGCACCAGTGCATGTTAAGATGAGCATGAGGTCACGCCAGTTAGCTCATCGTGGTATATTCATCATGAATTTATCCGATAGTTTCCAAGGGGAACCAAGTGGAGGTCAACATAACACAACCTGATTGGTATTACTAACAATCCCCTTCCGTGTCTATACTACATATAAATATAATATAAATTTCATCTATTACATACTGTAATAGGTGAAATTTATTTCGATTTACTGAATTTATATATTTTGTAATATTTTTAGCTCGCTAATTAAGGATAAAACTAGTATGAAGAATGCAAACTCTAGGAACAATATTGGGACCAGGCGCACCTTCAATCAGGAATTCTGGTATTTTTTATATTATTTAACAATTCTGGCAATCCTGTTTCATACTTCCGTTGAATATCTTAATATTTTGGTGTGGAACTTGTACAGGTTCTATACCTAACCTAAAGTAAATACACCTTATATAATTAGTTATATAAGGTGTATTTACTTTAGGTTAAAATAATCAGTAATTTTTACTTTTTCAACCGATTTAAAAATAAGTTTTAATGTGTATTAACTTAGAACTTTTTTCTAAGTTGTTTTTATTTAAAAGCTTCTGCTTTTCATGTAGTCTCATATGTATTTGAATGAGATCTGAGCAGTGGTTTTAGTGTTGTTTTTATTAATGAAATCAATCTCGGTTTTGTCGTCTCGTGAATATAGTACTATTTTTCGATCTTGTCTTAATCTTTCGATAAATTTTTCCATGTAAACTTTCGATATTACACAGTGCACCAAAAGAAAAATCTAGTACAGCTTCGAGAGACTTCGCTCCGCCTCGACCGAACTCGCCCAAAGGAAGACGGAACGCAAATAGCACTTTCCATTAATATCTACATGTGGCCATTGAAATTCTGTTGTGTTAATGAACAAATATATTTTTTATTATTTACACATTATTTAATTTTAACATTTGTTTAAAATTATGAGGAGCATTTTCCTCTATCAACTGGCAGATTTGTAATACATTATATCACATGCCTAACATTATAATTGACAAAGTAAAAACTGAAAACTGTGGTCTCTTTTTTAGTTCTTGTTGAATATGAAACTGATTGATAAATAAAATTTTAAAAAAATCAAAAAGTTTTACTTATATAAGCGATATAATAACAACGATTTTATATTAACAATCTGCCAGTTGTAACCTAAATTTTCGATATATTTACAAATACTCTACTTACAGACTAATATTTACAAGATGGCTAACTGCTTAAAAAGCCGACGTTAAACAGCAGCCGGTCGACTCTTCCTACATAAAATCATGTATGACATATTCGGCTACTTCCTTGTTTTACAATTTTAAAACCGACTTTAATGTGTTAGCATTAAAGTCGATTTCCTAAATATGTTTTTATATAATTAATATAGTTTTGACAATTTGTTTCTCTGCTTGTGGGAGAATGCCCTCAAATACAAAGTGCGCAAGAGTCATTGTGTTTGCGTTTTAAACATATCGCAAGTACAATATTAAGTAAAGTTGCACTTCATTTGCGCAAAGTTCAGTACCAAGTGTACTGTATGTGCATATATTAGGAAAGCATATTTATTTTTGTAAATTTAAGACGGCTCATTCTACACAATTGAAAAGGACGGGCCACCTGATATTTAAAGAGTATATTTTATGCATTTGAATATGTATACAAGCTGGCTGACTATTTGATGGTAAGTGGTAAAGGTCGCCGACATACATGAACAAACAGTGCAGTATCATGTGACGCCCGCTTTACCACTCATGCGGTACTATTCAGGAGGACTAAAATATACTGCCTCTTATTCTGTAATTTTAGGTTTGAGACCTTTTAACAAACTTGAAATTACAGGATAAGAGGCATGACTTCCTAGTCCTCTAGAATGTCTATGCATGAGTAATTTTGTTCAAGTATATAGGCGACGGTTATCTTACCATCATGTGAGCCGTCAACTTGTTTGCCATTCGAGCGATGTCTGGTGGGGTAATGCTGAGCAAGATTTGTTTCTACTATTGTTTATGGGTTGTTGGCGATGGTCAGGCTAGCCCGGCGTCGGGTGCTGGCGGCGCCATACAGTTGCCGTCCGGGTACCGCTTCTTGAATGCTGCTATAAGGTCTGGGTCCACTAATCTAACGCCGTCCACTTGATTGCCGAGTGTGATCCTATAACAGATGCATTAAAGTGCTATTACACTATCCTTGTGTCAATTGACAATAGTTTACAGTGTTAGTCCAGTGGTCAAATTTCGACCATAACTAAGTTAAATGATAATTTTGAACATTAATAAGGTTCTATTGTCAGACTTGCTCAATGTATTAATACACAGATTAATTTGATAAAAGCACAGAAAATAACCTCAATTCGCTGATTTGACAATTAACAATATTGACATTGACATTTTATATCAGTCATGTAATAAAATGGTAATGTTTTATTTATAGATGGCGCTGTATGGATTGTCCAGGGTAATTAATATTGTTATATAGGTCAGTATTGATGTGTTATGTCTCTGTACTCTGTAACTTCTCACCCTAGAAACCCGGATAGACCATAACAATCCATAAAAGGCTTAATAGAAAAAAATCGTATACTACTATTTAAACTGTCTCTAAGAAAAATAATTACCAATTAGGTTGAACATTGTGTGGTCTGCCGAAGAGTTCTATTTTCCTTGTACCAGGACTTAGTCTCTCTGCAAACAAATTGAAATATTTAAAATTATAGGATGCTAATGTTGATCTCAGATGTGTAAGATAGCACTAATCAATGATGACGATTAGGCTTTGAAGCCGGCTACCGCAAGGGAAACCTCAAGTAGCGCCCGTGACTTGTGACACGGGTTTAGGTTTAAAAGGCCCTTTTAGGATGCATTAACACTCACCTTCACTAATTGCAGCCTCCCCCCAGGCTCAATTAAGACTGGGATAAACCCATTATTTAATTTGTTTAAAACATAACCGGCACGCTCTGCGCACGTCGACTGAATACCGCGGCTCACCCAACGAAAGAGAATTATTCAATTTTTTTTTTTTTTCGGACTACTCTAATGCTTTTGGCCGTAGCTGGCCTTTACAGCTTCACCGGACGTTAGCGAATTATTCAACTACCAACCTCCGTATTTATAGACCGAAGTCAGTGTAGTAGGTCGGTCTATAAATACTAGATGGCGCTATTTACAATATTTGTAATAATCTTTATATTGGTACTTCATAGTACTAAACACATACTATCTACTTTTAATATGTTTTTAAATATCGAATTTTTCTACAATATTGATGTGAACTCTAACACATGCAATATTAGATTGAAGTAAACAATAATTATACTAATATATTTATTGCCGACCATGTTTCTTGTTATCTCTACTAGTAGAATTAGAAAATACCTAAATCCTATATAAACCCATCAAATGCGAGGTAAACTTTGTAAAAAATCGTTTGCGTGAATACCTCCGTTTACCTATTTCAATCGCCTAGCAGTTTTGAAATTACAGAATAAAAGGCATGATATCTTAGTCCTCTGACACGGGAGTCAAATGATAACGTGATGTTGTAGTACTGTTCATGTGTATATATCCAGCTCGAAGGACCACTGTCAAGGCCCTAAGGTATCTTCAATGAAATGGACTGTATGTTTAAATATAATGAATTGCGAATTTATAAATTAATCAACAAGAGAGTGACGACGCGCGTCCTTGAAGCCGCTCGTGATGGCATTGAAGAGTGATCGCCGACCGGCGTTGTATTATACAAATAAACTTTACTCTTGAAACTCTATCTATTGCTAAAAACTGCATTAAAATCCTTTGCGTAGTTTAAAAGATCTAAGCGAAAGACAGCGGAAGCGCCTTCATTTTATACTATGTAATAGTTATACAAAGTCTTAAATATAGGTTCAGTTATTTGCGAGTTCTACAATATATTCACCTATAATGCCGTATATTTCATCAGGTTTGTGAGAGGTGGCGCGCACTTCAGCCACTATGACGTCACAGTCCAATCCCCGATTCAGATTCTCAGGGTTTCCCTTCATGCCCACCTGCAACAAACATTTTAGATATTTTAAGGTTATATTCTAAAAAGTAACCGAAACAGAATTGAAGTTTAACGTTATAAATCAAGAATTAAAAAACCAATATTATAGTAGGTATATTTTATTTTAATTTTACTATCCGACCTATGGCTGGATACTTTCCGGTATCCATCCGGATAATGAAAACAAGGCCGGATACCGGATATCCGTTTCATATCTAATCATTATAAACAATATATTAGCATGTAGGGGCAGTAATAGAACGCCAATATAATCATACCAAACAGTGTTCCTTGCCGTGATTGAGCCAGTGTCCCGTGCGGCCGGTGCGTATGATTCGCTGCAGCTGGTTCGTCTTCACCCATATCAACTCGTCCACCCGCTCGTAGCCCCATAGCTTCAAACACTCTCGACCGAGCTCCATGGCCCTGTTTGTTTTTGTTTAAATAAATATCACTTTGTTAACACTTTGCTTTATTGACTGAAAGTATAAGTTTCTAGCCCTTTTTTTTACATGAATTTATGTAACGATATTTTCTGTGACGGGACTGTAATTAAATTTCTTTATATGATGACCCGAAATTATAGAACCATTAGTTATGGAACCATCAAATCAACAGGATTCAGTTTCTAGTTCTGAATATGATGATATTTCCATACAACCTTATTAAAAAATAACCTATGTCTTTTCTCGAGGTCTAGACTATCTGTGTACCAAATATCATTCAAATCGGTACAGTAGTTATGGCGTGAAAGCGCGATAAAGTTTCGTATTTATAAGAGCAGTTTTACTATGATATATTAAACATAATAATTAATTTAATATAGTATTTAATTAGTAAAACTATAAAAGATTATAAAGTGTACATGGTATTGTATATGGATGGTTTCCTTATGGTTGGTACCTGCCAGTAACCCAGAGGAAGATGAGTCCACTGTCTTGCAGCTCAGGGACACCCAGACATCGCATCTCGTCGTCCGACATCGTGCCATACGGCAGCTCCATGTGGATATCCCACGGGGGGTCCGCCATTATCACGGCGAACTTACCTGAGTAATGAAATGTCATCAAGAATTACCTATTCAATATTTCTCCTTGGTTTTGTTACTTATATAATAGATACATTGGTATAAAATGGGAGAGTTATTCAGACATACAAATTGGCAAAGATTTTATTTGTCGCCAAATTTCAACTCGTTGGTACGCTCTTGAGCGTAATTCAAGGTAGTAAATTATTGAGCCACGACGCTCTCAATCTATACAAATAAATTAAATTAAAGTGTCTGATTGTAATATGAAATTAACAGCATTTCACTAAATACATATTAAAGTATATACGGCACGTAATAAATAATATAAAAAATTGTCTGTCTGTTTGCTCTTGCTACTCTCTGATATAGCGGCATGGATTTTGACTGTACTTTCACTCGCAGATAGCAAAAAAATATTCTCTAGCTCAAGCCAAAATAAAAATAAAAGATTTTTTAATAAGTCTGGACTATGATCAATGTGAGAAATTGTTTCAAACCGAATTTTAATTACATAAAGCCTCAGTAGTACTTAATATGTGTATATCTATTGTATGTATTAATATATTTTATATTTATTACTATTTATAGATATTTATTTATTATATATATACTTTTTAATATAACGCCATAAGTGTTGCATAACCTAACATATCAATTATGTGTAATGATATCCTCTGAACCAACATATCAATTGCATGTCTAGTGTGTATCCTCTGAACCACACGATGTGTACTTGCATGTAAAAGTGTTTTATTGGCCAATAAAGTTTATTATTATTATTATTTTTATCCAAAAATTCTCATCTCCCCTTTTAAGGAGAGGAGATGGCAATTATTATTATTATTATAAATATAAGGAGTAACTTAAGTTACTTTTATTTTAGAAATGTTATTAATTTTAATAATAAAAATGATTCCTCGCGGACGAAGTCGCAGGTAGTTTAACCGCTAGTTTTTAATATAATATTTTTTTTTAAGCCACAATCATATAGAGGTCTCCACAATCGTATCATTTTCGTAAACAATATATGATTGTATGAACCTGGGTACTTTAATATAATGAAGAATAAACTCACCTAAAAACGTCATATCTAAGTAACGTAAATCACATTGTAACCATTGCGGCGGTGTAAGCGTCAGTACACCGTCTGGCTTAGGTGCTACACTTGCACCTACAAATTAACAAAACATATTCAATATATAGATAAACTCATTTTTTTATGAAAAAGTATTGCAAACATGCTTACGGCCTATATCAGTAACTTATACCTATAATACAAGGTTTAAAGAAAACTCGCTGTTTGTAAAGATCGATTAGAAAACGTCAATAGGTCCTTTATAGGTAATAGGTATAAAATTTTACAATAAGATGCCAAAGGATTCACTGGAATTACTTTTAAGTATTCTTTCTTACATGTATATAAAATATTTGTTAAATCATTATTATTGAGCAAACCCTAAAGTAAATATAAATTGACACACAAGTTTTTTTTCGATGTCGGCCAGATTAGATATCACGACCTCTTGGACATAATTCAGGGTAGTACACCGTCAAGCCACGATGGTACTATAGTCTAAGGTAATAAAATAGACGAAACAAAAATAACTTACCATTCTGCGAGCTCTTGCCTGCTGGCTCTAAGGATGATTTGTGGGCATTTGCATTAGGATCAGTATTGTCTACCTCGTAATGGACATATCTATGAAGAAAAGTATAAATTAATTTATATATTTGATTAAATAACATACTTAAATAGTACGGTCCGAACTTGAATATTTCTTTTGTTTTATTCATTTTATTATAAAGAATCTAACTGGCAGCTTCATGTGAATTTTTTATACATCATTTCTGTCATTATATTCTTTTTATTTTTATTCATTTTTATTTAAAACTTCAGTTGGGTTTGATTATTAATTATTTTCTGCATCATATTTCTATCTTTCTACTCTTAGATATGGACCTATTTTATGGGGAAAATCCGTATTAATAAAGCAACTTTTCATAATTCTGAAGAAATGTATATTATGTGTTATTTGTGGAGGAGGAACTTTACCTTCAATGTACATATTTGAGATATAAGTATTCATGAAAAAATATGTACACTTGTTCAAAAATAAATTATTTAAATATCTTATCTTAAATTAGTTGCAGTAGTTAACCTGCTGCAAAAAATTTAAGGGAAGTTAACCTTAATGGTTTTCAGGGTGAAATGCGTCGATGACACCCTAACAGGGTACATTACTAGCTATGACACCACTATTCCCTATTACTAAAACTATTTAGATAGAGAAAGTTGCATGACATACTTGCAGCTGTCCATATGGAAGCAAGTGTTGAGAAAGGAACAGTCTCCTAATGACTCGTCGGTGTGACCCTGTATGATCTTCTTGAAGTGCAACTTTTTGCAGGTGTAGTGTGACGCTGGTCCTGATGCACGCATACACTCCGCGCGGGTGCCGTGTGGACAAAACTCCATTACTTGCGCACCTGACAAATACATGCATACAATAAAATCAAGAGTTTACTCTTGATTTTATTAAAACTAGTGATCGCCCAGTAATCGACATTTTATCATGCTCAAAAGGAGTCTTCAACAACTGTAGAATGTAATTGTAAAATGGTGTTATCTAAATAAAGAATTTTGAATTTTTTGAATCATAATTAATTTAACATTCAGTAAGACTTTAGAGAAATAATTTTAAAGACAAACAATATTATAAAAATATATGTAGAGTGTATAATGCTTTTTTTATTGATTTAACGTATTTTTATATATAATACATAAATAAAATATATAGTAAACACTTTAAATACCCAGAACAACAACAAACATACTCATCACAAACAATCATACTCATGAATACAAATGTTTGTATCGTGTGAGGAATCGAACCTGCAACCATCGGAATTAAAGCAATAAACATGTTTCTTCTTTGTCGATTCCTCAAGGCTGACGGTCGTGACCACCAGGAATGCTTCTTCCAAATATTCTTGTTATACCTAGTTCTTCCAATATAGATGCATTAGTACGGCGCTCCGTCCATGAAATACCTAACAATTTGCGCCAACACTACCTCTCCAAAGCTATAATTATGTAACAAGTACCATAATTACTTTTCCTTACCTCCTTGGCTTTTGAATTTGTCCGCAAGTGATTTCTCCTTGGCAGTGGGCTTGCTGAGTAGATCCATGATCTCCTCGCCCACCCTTTTGACTGCCTTTTCTCTACTAGACGGCATTGCTAATAATGACTGTAACAACATTTATAAACAACATTAATAAACAATTTTTTATATTATTGGAATGACTAACCCCTTATTCTAGGTGGTGCTACCTACAAATATGAATTATACCACAGACAAAACATCATTATCTGACTCCCATAGTACCAATATCTCACCCTAGAACCGAAACACGGCTTACAAAGCAAGTAGCTTGGCCATTGAAATAGAATACTGCTTTTTTGCAATTAGGTCACTCTTAAATTATGAATAAACGGGAAAAACAGATGACCGAAGAGGTGGGAGGATGTACTTGTTAGGGACATATTAGAGAGTGAGGTCTCTGACTGAGGACTATGTAAGGACAGGATAAAGTGGCGGAGAAGAAGAAGGAAAGCTGAGCTCCATATGGGATATATAGCTAGGAAGAGAGAGAGAGAGAATGGTAAGGCACAATGCCTTTTAAATTGTGATGATAGGATAACAAATATATCCTATATACCCACCATTATATCAGTGTCACTCTTCCCTGTTTTTTTCTCCTCAATGGTTGTTTTTGTTATTTTGACCTTTGTACTATCATCAGTAACACTGCTTCCTAGAAAAAGTACAAGAGTTTTATAATTACAATAATTTATTCATAAAAAAAGCTCATGCAGCATAATATTTAGTCAATATTTAATCAATATATTTCCAATATATTATAGTCTTTTATGTATTGACTATTAAATAACTAGACATCACAGTTTTTTAAATTAATTTAATAGAATAAGTTTAGAAACTTATATAATAAATTTAATATTCTTCCTTTGCTCATGACACCTGGAACCAGGGACCTGGGGGCCCCATGAGACTTTGCCTGCTCCAGTTTATTACTGTTAACTAACCAAACTACAGGTAACACACATAGAAAAATATAGAGGAATGAAGTACCTGCTATTTGAAATTCAAAATATCTTTATTCATGTAGGTCCATTACAGACAATTATGACAAGTCTAATTAAACTATGGTCTATATATATGATAGTGTAATCATTACATCTATTACTTGGGGGATACTCTAATATAATAGCTAATACATCTAGGAACAAATCTTAAGTCTAATCTTACATGACAAAGACATCAAATGAAATAGTGGCAGACCATGCTTCATCATGATACCTCATTCTAATATACTAGTCATTTCTACTACATAGTTCATAAGTAGTAAAATAAGTCCTCCATACCTTTCCTCTTTGTGGTTGCAGATTGTTCTTCCATGAGAGCAGCAAGCACAGCTGCCAATCTCACACATTCTGCACTCACCACCTCAATATCTCCATCCAATGTGCTCTCAGAACGCTCCTTTATTCTATTTACATAAAAACAAGACTTCATAACAATCTATACTAATATTACAAAGAGATAAAGTTTGTGAGTTTCTGAGGTTGTAGACTGTAAACTTTGGATCTACTGAACTGATTTTGGAAATTATTTTATTGATAGAAAACCACTTTATTTGTGTAATGAATATAATTTAACTTGGTAGTCAGATTTGCAAAGTCGAAGAAAACATTGTCCCACAGAAATGTTTCTTACAAATGCTGCTTTTTACTATGAATTATATATGAGTATGATTAAGTTCATTGTTAGGGTAGATGGCTGCACCATGCTATTTTTATTACAATTCATATAAATTTAGAATAAAAAATACACAAAACAAAGTATACAACTAATACCTGGCAATTTTATCACTTCCACAATGAACTAACTGACATGACTCTGTCCTCCAAAAGTACCTTGTAAATGCCTAGTACGGATATGTAAACCTTTCTATCATCATAACAAAAAGATTAACTATCCTCATGAAAACCATACTAATAATTGTTTGTTGTAGCTCAAGCGTTGTGCTGTCCTTAATTATAATATACCAAACTCGAATGAAATTGTCAAACTTTACCGAGCAAACTGAAATAAGTCACATCTACAAATTACACTGTGTCTCTCAAACTATGACATTGGCAAAATCACTGATCAAATTGGAGGCGGCCACTCAAAATAAAGAAGAAGAACATGATCAGTATCAGTAAGTAATCATAATTATGTAATATCTATATCAGTTATTACAACTTACATTATAAGTTTCTGGGTGGCAAATTTCTGGAGCAAACTGGCCACTATTCCTGTATCCACATCCCCCAGTCCAGGCATCAGGGCACTGGCAGTAGATGGCAATTGTAGCTGCATGTCTGATAACACTTGTAGCAACCGCACTTCTAATGATGCTGACGGAATTTGTTTAGGTTTCTCTGTTCTTTGAGGAGCTGAAATTAGAAATGTAGTTAGATAATTTAAAAAAGGTTTATTTAGTTTCGTTCTTTAATTAAATTTACTGATTTCAATTCCTTTACCAACTTTTGTTTATGTAAATTTAATAGGTGTTTAATGGGATAAAATCCTTTAACCAAGTACCACATGATATTGACCTGTTTTGTTCCAGCACTGCCTCAGTTAGGAAACTCATATGTAACCAATTCTTTAACGGTACATAGCCATACTTTATTTGTGTGTTCTGTGGATACATCATTACTTGTGGGTATGTTAGTATATTTACTTGTGCTGTATAACTACAACTGAAACACTATCACATGATTACTTCGATATGTTAAAATTGAATAATGAAAAATTTAATCTGGTAATACTATTGGTGAAGATTATTAATTGGCATAGGACCATTTGATATGACAAGTAACATGTAAAATGACACTGTTAATCTTCCTAAATAAATAGTTTTGGATCTACATAGCTTTACTAGATTAATTATAGTCTATTATACCATAAACAATTTGGGAGATGACCTTGTATTTCATTAGTTATCAAGATGAGGGATTTCAATATTTTGAATATATTAGACATATAATAATAATAATACCCCTGGACAATTCACACAATGCCATCTAGTCCCAAGGCAAGCCCAGCATATGTTATGGGTACTACACAACTGAAATAAGTTACTTATATAATTCTTTTTGTAAATACATACATAATATATTTAGAAAACATCCAGACAGATAAAAACATCATAATTATGAATACAAATATTAGTAACATGCAAGAAATAGAACCTGTAACCATCTGAGCTTAAGAGGGACTGCCACTAGAGAATCTAGGCCATGACATACACTACTTAAATACTGTTATTTATTTAAAAGGTATAACTGCTTTAAAATTAACAAAAAAATGTACCAGTTGACTTTCTTGCCAGCTCTGCTCGAATGAAATGGCTAGCCCAACTGGATGGTAGGGATAGTGATATAGTGCATAAGATCTGAAACATTTCCTGAATGTTTGTTTTGAAAAATTATTAACCATATATCTTACGTTCATTTTTCGGTGGCGCCGGGCTATGTACAGCTCGATCTTTTCCGCTCGGCGATCCTTCACTTTTTTCAGGCGGCACTAAGTTGGCGCCCAAAATATTTTGCCGTTCCTTCTTTCGTTTCTCAAGCTTTTCTCTTAAACTGTTCCTCTTACTTTTCACTGCTTGAATCGCTTCCCAAGCGTCAGACATGATGGTGTTTGAATTTCAGATATATTACCATGCAAAGAAAGCCGGTTGGTTTATTTATATGCGATATTTAGTTACAGTTGGTAGTCTCAGTGTTTCTAAAACGATATAATCATTATTACATATTTGATGACTTGTTATATTTAACTGTTGTTATATTTTAAATATTATAATTTTATTTAAAAATTATATGTATAATAATATTATTAATTAAAAACAAAATTCAACATAGTGAAATGAAAAATGAAGCCACATATAATTGACACTGATAGATGGTGTCAGCTACAGGTGAAATGGATATGACATTTGACTGACATTGACATTAGAGGTAACGCTTAAATGCATGCCTGTATGGGCGCAGTTCCCTTTGCCTTTCCGTTAAATTCTTGTACAGGAAGGCTACTATGACCGAATAATAAACACTTCTTATGCAGGGCAGTAGAGAAGGCTCAATAGCCTGAGTACTTTAGGCGTCACGAGTGCAGAAAATGCGAGTATATACAAAAATGGCATGGTGGTATTCTATATTAATAGTATGAAAAGATATATAAAAAGATATATGTAACAGATAGTTATGACATAAAATATTAAGAACTAATGTTTAAATATATCTCTTATAAACCTAATCTCTCTTGTTACGTAAGTATTATATCATTATTATATTAAATTTCATAGCTGTTTTTAATTTATATTGTTAAATTGTATGCAAAAGATATTACTTTTACGCGTGTAACTAAAGTAAAGGTGTGAACAAGGAATTACTATGTTTAATCTATAATGTAAATTCCAATAGTTCTCTTGGTGATCTGTGGATTCTAAAATAAAAAAGTAATAAAATACGGATTGTCATTTTCTATTTCCGACTTCCGTCAAAACAAAAAGTAAAACATAAAACCATATGACAATATGATATTAAAACTTAAATTGAAATCATTAAAATAAACTAAAACAATATTTACTGTTATTGATAATCAGTTTTCCATGGAATAGAAAAGTAATAAAATAAAGTATAGTACTATGTGACTATTTGTTTAGTTTATACTAACAATTTGAATTGTATTATAATAATCCAAATATTTTTATAGTGGTCATTATGCGTATAGTGTCGTAATTACTATTCTTTAAAACTTATTTCGCGAAGACAAACTATATAATAACAAAACTTATTAATATAAAATAACCTATACAAATGGCTGAGGAGGTGCGGAAAAGCGGTAACCAAGCAATGACAGATGACGAGAGACTTGCCTTGTGTCAGAAATTGGACAAAGAACTTGACGAGTTCATTGATAGTTTGGAGAAGAAGAGGTATACAGAAGGATGGCCAGAGGACCGATGGGAGGTAATGGATATATTTAAATTATAATTTATATATATTTTACTTTCATTTCAGTTAAAGGGAGGTGGATGACATGAGGTTGGAAGAGTCCCAAACTGTAGGTAAAAAAAAATATAAAATTTAAAAGGTGTTCCCTGGGAAAGCCCTTAAATTATATTGATATCACATACATTTCAATTTGAGTATTACTACCAGAATTTTTAATTATTACAATGTTACTAGCTCTGACAGAGCAGGCAGAGGGTAAAATTACTCTAATTTGTGTCACATTATTTAATCTAAATTTTAATTTATATGAAAACAAGTCTTTCCGGGTTCTCACTTATAATGAAGAAATATATAATATACACTTGAAGTAATGTATTTAGTAAAACTAGAACTATAATTAACTAGCTACCCTCCTGGCTTCGCACAGGTGTAAATGTATTATAGATATAAATTATATTATAAATATAAACCTTCCTCTAGAATCAATCTATCTATTGCTAAAAAGTGCATTAAAATGTATTACATAGTGTAAAAGATTTAAGCGTACAGACAGCAGAAGCGACTTTGTTTCATACTGTGTAAAGATACTGTCTAGAATTTCAGTTAAATAATGAAAAACATTTATAATGTAATTGTGTAATATAAACAAAGTCACCCAGAAATTTATTTTCTGTCATTTTTGTAAATGAATTAATCTCTATTTCCAGGAGGAGATGGAGAAGCATCCTTTCTTCATGAAGACAGCACCCGATAATGGTGATATGTCCCCACTAGCTGAAGGTCTAGCTAAATTGAAGTATGACCCTGATGAGAACACTCCACTGGAGCTTGCAACCAATTACAAAGAAGATGGAAACTTCAATTTCAAACACAAGAATTATAGGCTGGCTATTATAGGGTAATTATTATATTCAAATTTTCTCTCCTTGTTCGATAACTTGTTTCTTACATGTCGTACAATTTTGTTTATTAGAAATCTTAAAAAATATTAATGTATTATAAAAGTAGCAATTTGAAAACATTCCTACTCAATTAAATAGATTTGAATGGTATTTAGTATGCTAGTTGGTATTGTTATTATTGACTATGAAAAAATATGTCAATTTATTTTGCAGTTACACAGAAGGACTGAAAGTGAAATGCAATGATCCAGAAATTAATGCCAGTTTGTATAATAATAGAGGAGCATCACATTGGCACTTGAAAAACTATAGGTCTTCACTATATGATAGTGAGAAAGCCTTATCAATTAACCCAAATCATGTCAAAGCAAGATTAAGAGCGGCAAAATCAGCTTTAGAGATTGCTAAGTATGACTTATGCATAAAACATTGCCAGGAATATTTAGCTAGTCAACCGAAAGACAAAGAAATTATAGACCTTATGAATGCAGCTAAAAAGAAAAAAATAATACAAGAAAGGGATCAGAGAAAGAGAGAGAGGTTAGAAACAAAGAATAGTGAACAAAAGGATGCGGTAATAAAAGTCATAATTGAAAGAGGTATAAAGATATCAAATTGTGAAGATGAGGATGACATTGAGTTGTCAAAGTTGGAACCGACATTGCCTGGTGCTCAAGATGCCGTGGTCCACATTGAAGATGGTATATTAAAATGGCCAGTGTTGTTCTTGTATCCAGAATATCAAATGACAGATTTTATCAAAGCTTGCCCTGAGAATGTGCCGTTAATCAATCAGCTTGAACAGCTGTTTCCAGCGCCATGGGACCAGGAAGATAAATACAGTTGTGATAAGGTTAATGTATACTTTGAGGGTTATGATAAAATGCCACATATAATCAAACCATCTAAGAATTTAGGGGACATATTAGTAACTAAGTATTTTGAGGTTAAAGCTGGAACACCTGCATTTTTCATATTGCCTCGTGGCAGTAATATTGAGAGTAGGTTTTTGGAGAGTTTTCTTTAGTACATAATATATGTGTAGTTTGTTAATATTGTTTTATATTGATCAATTTTTATTTATTACATATGATCTATAATAATATATAATATATGCTAACTACTAACATAATATATGAATAATAGATATAAACACCTTCTATACTACTACTCTACTAGTATGAGATTTATGCGAGCCTGCAATTTCTGTCTGGACACCTTCATCCCCTGTTTTGCCACTTTCCAAATTATCTTTGAGATAAACTTTTGAGATTTAACCTCTTAGAATCGTCATATGTTTTATCATACATATATGTTATTTACATATATTTTTATTATACATATATGTTATATATGTACAAATATATTATTCAGTATAAGGATTTGCATTTGTTGAATAAACAGCACTTTATTTTACAAACTAGTTTATTATTAAATTACTTATTGTCCTCTTCATAATCATAGCCTTTCTGATGTGGATAGAATGAGCCTGGTGATTCGAAGTTGTCCTTCTGGTCTACTATAGAAGGGTATGGATGGTGTGGCATAGCTCCCATCCATTGTGGGTACCAGTACAGACCCTGATAAAACAAAATATTCTTTATTAAAATAAAATGTACATGTAATTAATAATTGAATAATTTGGCTTTTTAATACAAACCAGTGGTTGCCCAGTGGTTGCCCAGTGGTCGAAATTTGACGATAGTATCTAAAGTTAACATTCAGTATAGACAAATAATACTAAGGACAGTATTATCTGTGGTATCATTAATCTATTTGACCATAGACTTTAAACGAAAGAGTATAGTTACCTGTGTGTCAAATACATGGCAGTTTTTAATGTTTTTTTCTATTGATGTAATGTATTTTTTATTTAATATTATTAACGCGAAAGTTTGTAAGTATGGATGTTTGTTACTCTTTCAGGCAAAAACTACTGAACGGATTTTGATTAAACTTTACAGTAATATATCTGATGCATAACCACAAATGCGAAACCGCAGGCACAGCTATTTAATATTATAAACGTGAAAGTTTGTAAGTATGGATGGATGTTTGTTATACCAGCATATGCAATAGCATACGCTGAATGACCACCAGCATATGCAATAGCATATACTGGTGGTCACACTATTCTCCCAAATTTGAATTTAAAAATGTTATTGTATACATGTACAACATTTAATTGAAAAGAATACGACCTGAGTTTCTTCTCAGTTCTTCAGTAGAATCATATCATATATCATAAGAGTCTGTAATAGATCTACATGAGTAAAGATATTTTGAATTGAAATGAAATCGTGCAAGACCTTATTGCCACCTCCCGCGTTACAAGTGAACCTGTCGTCGTGTAGGTCCACAGAATCCAGGTAACTCTTCCCAGCGATGGAGCCGTAATTCGGAGGGTACATGAACAAACATCCTTCCAGTATATCTGTAATAAATGTATATATATCCTGAGTCTAAAGTTCATGTCATTGGATAAGAAATATCTGAATGGTACATTTTGATCCTGGGTCGTTAAGTTTGTGTATAGTAACCGGTTTCAAAAAGTTCAAAATATATACCTATATAATATTATGTTATCTGTGCCTATACACAGTATAAAACAAAGCTGCCGCTGTGTGTACGCTTAGATCTTTTAATCTACGCAACGAATTTTAATGCAATTTTCAGGAATAGATAGAGTTTCAAGAGGAATATTTATATGAAATATATTTATAATAATCATATTATTTTTTAAGCTGTGGTTCGGTATGAATGTTAACATGACATGACATTGAGAGAGTCCTTCAGAATTGGATGAGGTGAGCATAACTCTTGACGGGTGTCACGGGCCTCTTATATCGTGTTTGACACTTTCTGTTCCATAAATACAAAAAATATAGTTACATGGTACGGTGATGTTATCTTCGTTGTCAGGCTCGTCCGGCTTCGGGGTAGATTCAATGTAGGGCGGCACAGGGTCTATGCCGCTTCCAGGATCACCAGGTATTAAGAATGGGCCTAATTTATTAAAAAACAACAAATATTATACATATATGTGTAATTAATAGATTTACTTGTAACTTGCTTCGTTTGCACAAACTTTCATATTCTTCACCTCTATTTCACTTCCTTCCAGTTCTTTTTTTGATATAAAAGATATCATATATACGTCCCAATCGTTGACGTTGCAATCTTCATGTTAAATTTTATTTTCGCCTTCGGTAATCTAGTGTCTAAAGTTTAGATTTACTTCCAATGTTCGCCGTTTCGATTCCTCGCACAACATTAATGATTACATCGGTCTGGATGTTTTCTACGTATTGTGTATTTCCAAAAAATATATTCTATCAGTTGTCTAGTACCCATAACTTAGCTTTGCCTCCAAATAAAAGTTAAAAAAAATATATAATAAAGTACAGTTTAAAAAAAATAAAAAGTACAATCAAAGAGGTCTCACCCTAGGCAGTACCTATACTATAGCGCTAGGTCCCAGAGGTAGTCAATTAATGAAAAGAGGTTGATGATTGTATAAATATTTTGTCACAATTGGTAGTCTGTTTTTTTTTCTGTAGCTCAAAAAAATCTTACTGCTTACCGCCATAATGGTTGGTGTAATTCCACTCGCAGACATGGTGGTCACAGACAAGCGGCGTCTGAGGTTCCTTCGTGTAGTACGTGTGTCCGTTAGGTGTTGTCTGTAGATCATTGTTTTTTATTCCCAAAAGTTTTTTTTAAACCGTTTGAGACGTTTTTCAGGGCATCGTTTTAGCCACCGAGTAGGTCATATCGGAGGCTACTAGAACACCCAGCATCTCAGTATCGCTGTAACCGTCATATGGTCTCCAAACATAAGGCGGGACATATCCTTACGGCATAAACATTTATATTCATGAGTATGATTGGGTCGGTCTGGTTGTTTTCTATGTATAATATGTGTAAAATGAAAAAAACAAATATTAACTATGTATTTGTATCAGTTATTTAGTACCCATAACATAAGCTTTAGCTAGTTTAACCTGGGTCTAGATGGCGATGTGTGAATTGTCCTTAGATTATTATTTTTATTATACACAGGAGATAATATTTACCAGTAGGTAATCGTGGTGTCTATACCGCAACCCTTGTATGTTGAAGTCGAGGATAAAAGATCCCGACGTGATGATGCAGGAGACGGCGGTCAATGGAGGCAGTTTGTACATCACCAGTCCACACTTTACAATTGCTTTGGGGAGCGTAGACACATCTCTTTCTCTTTGCAATATTTTTTTGAAGGGAAACCTTTAAATAGAATACAGATATGATAATATTACACGTACAGATACCTCCTCCAATACAAGAAAATGGTTCCTTCCTAACTCGGACTATTTTATTTCGCCAGCGTAGGTGCTAAAAGTCATTAGATCTGAAGCAGTTCGTAATGCTCGTGATGCTTAGTAATAAAGCATGGAAAAAATGAAAATGAAGACATTAAAATATTCTTCCTATATAGATAGATATAGTTGCTAAAGGATTATAGTTTTTTGCTTTCAAAAAAGTGTGCAATTGTGTCTAATCTTAATAAATATTAATCAGAAGCTACATTCTATTGTGTCATGAGTGTGTGTGTATCATGAGGATGATTATATAGATTACGATGAATATTTACTAGGTTTGTTACCAGTTTGTTGTTTACACACCAAGTCACATGTTAAGCGGAGCGCGTAAAATATGTAGGTCCGACAGTCGACCTTCGATGAAATTTTGATCTCGATCGGTCAAGCCGTTTCGGAGGAGTATCGTGACAAAGAGTGCAAATCTTATCACTAAGATAGCTCCGCGTTTCGCGTTCCGCTCAAAAATAACTGAAGACGCAACAGCTAGTAAAAAGAAATGAAAGCTTACCTGAATATACAAATACCCGTATGACACTCCAATCCGTGCAGATAATTGTCAGTTGGGAATGAAATGTTGGGATCGTCGACGAGGTAGTACTTCTGTTCATCGTGGTAGTGTAAGAAGCCAAGGAAGATGAACGAGCGGTCCTTACAGTATGGCGCCACACCCCGCCCCATGTTGTAAATATCACTGTACAGTTCTGACATGAATATGTAGACGTTTTTGCCGCAGTAAAACTCTGTAATAATGCGTCAAGATATGATTTGTTCCTTTATATACTTATTTACTGATGGCTATATATGGCCGGTGTTCTAGCATGCTTTACTTCTCGCGGGTTCTATCCTAGCGTGATCAAAACATTTAGATTTATGATTACGATTTGCATTCATTTAGATATTTTCTATGTGTGAAGAATTAGATATCTCTAATGATAAACAACGTTTGCTGTCCCAGCAAACGTTGTTTATCATTAAAATAATCTTATATAAAAAATGTCACAGTTTTCGGTGGACTACCCCTAACATTTTTGAGCGTAGGATTAAAATAGATGTTGGCCGATTCTCAGACCTACTCAATACGCTCACAAAATTTCATGAGAATCGGTCAAGCCGTTTCGGAGGAGTATGGGAACGAAAACTGTGACACGAGAATTTTATATATAAGATTTTTTATGTATATTATGGATGCTTTAAGGATTCATATCATGAATTTAACGCTCATTGTTACAACAAGTTCTATTTAGCATAACGCTGATAATTTTTTTTATAGTAAGGGGCCAAACGAACTTGCTGCTCATCTGATAGTAAGTGATTACAGCGAATATGATTTTTTTACCGAAAAATTATTTTTTGGCAAAGCCTAAACATGGGTTAATAAATATTTAATCGATAAATACTAAGTAGACTTTACATTAGCAGCTTTTACCTCGACTCATGTAAAATTCCATGGGTACCGGCCCTCCCGTGTATGTGGCCTTCCTCTCTGCTGCCACCGAGTTATGGTTCTCATACATCGTTAGCATATTATCTAATACATCATCCAACGTTATGAGGAGCACCTATGGAAATAATTATTTACTAAAGTATATTTATTAATACAGTGTGGATATAGTAAACACGAATGAAGAGAATATTTTAAAGAAGGTGTTGTAATAATTATTTACTGAATAAAATGATTTTGAACAATGTAAGAGAATATTTAGTTTTAATACAATGTTATGTACATTTAACAAAAAAAATGTAAGTATAAACGCATTTCCAGTTCGTTAGTACAAGCTTTACAATCAATATCACAAATAGTTTATTCCTGTACATTTTAGCCGCTTATGAACTTCAAATGTTTTGTATCATAATTTTTCCGTACTACGGTAGGGAAAAATTATTAAAAATTGTTTTTATAAATTATATTAATTATATAGTAAATTTGGGACTATGTGGTTCTGTGCAAATGAGGACAAGGGTTATTATTTTATGGCGTTATATTATTCACCTTTAATTCTTGTATGTGTAGCTTTATAAACCGACCAAGATGGTCAGTAGCAATATGCACTCGCTCGTTTATTATGTACTGCAACAAAAATTAGACTTTATTATAAGTAATAGGACTGTTAATGAATGAGGAAAGTAAAAATTTCACCTGATCTTCAGCCGTCTTGATCCTCAGCATCTCGTTCTGGTATAGCCACAAATTATCCAGTTTATCAGTCGGATCGTGGCCGTAGATCTCAAATGCGTCTATGATCATTGCTAGAGTCAGGTTCTCGTTCGGTTCTAAGCAACATGGATGACTCCGAATATTGTACGCCTATAGGTAAAAATTACAGAAAACAGACAAGGATGAAAGTAGTTTTAGTCCCTACATTTTATTAAAAACCCTGTAGTATCTATTACTATAGTATTATTAATATTATAGAAGTTTTGTTTACAGTTCTATATAATAAGGTAACATGTATAAAATTAAGATAAACAATTGCTTGAGCAATTACATTTTTATTTATTTTGTTCGCTATAATAGTTTTACGAGTAGTCAATTTTAGTATTTTTGAATGAAAATCGATATTTTGGACCACTTTGTAAATAAATTCAGAGAAAGAGAGAGATAAGTTGACAATTTGAGCACACCAAATATTGAGTGTCACTTTATATTTCTGACTGACTCAACAAACCAAATGAATTCTAGAAATGGCGGTTGGTTCGCCTGTACCTTTTTGAATTAAAATATAGACAAATATCTCAAGTGTATTGATTATCACGACGTTACCACACGGTTAATACCTCTCATTACTCTCTGGAATACCAGTCATGAAGGTTTATTCTTTATTAATTATTAAGTAATTTCATACCGTTATGTGAACCCAACTGATACATGACATGAACAGCACGCTTGCACGAATATAGGCGTCCATTTTGGCAACATGGCTGCTACTGAACTTAGCGCGGTAAAATTAATTATTTTAATTGGAATTTTTATTGCGACCTTATCCTAGACATTAATATTGTGTAGAGTTTTAAGGTTTATGCACACGAAATGAAGTCAATTAATTTCCTTAGCTTCTGTATCTGCAGAGACACTTTTAGTATCTAAAAGTGTATTACCGACTCGTCTCGGCTTTGCACGGATGAATTACAAATCTTTGAATTTCTCGGCTTCTTCTATGCCATAATACACATGTGTTATAAATATAACCTTCCTCTTGAATCACTCTATCTATTGCTGGAAACTTCTATTAAAATCCGTTGCCTAATTGGAAAGATAAAAGTGAACAGACAGCGGCGACCACTTTGTTTTATACTATGTGAATATAAAAAATGATTCAGTCTAGAATATGATAGTCTCTCGTTTCGATCAGGTTTTTACACGCACAGTGCTTGTTAATCTTAAGTTAGGCATTGCCATTATTAGTGTCGTTGGTTATTTACATTTGTACTGTAAAATCGATTACATAATAATTTAAAATATCGAGTACGAATCGTAGCTGTCTTCGAATACTGGCAACTGGTAAGATTAAAATAGTATTTAAAAAAAGAGAGAAATCGACCCTAACTCGAATACCAAATCTTACGAGTATACATGTCAAAAATTATTGTTGCACACACATTTCTTCACATTTCAAAAAATTATATTTTTTGTACGTTTCTTTCATACATTTCATCATGTCAAAAATTATCTTTTAATGTAGGTACACACATTTCTTTCATACATTTCATACATGTCAAAAATTATCTTTTAAAGTAGGTACATACATTTCTTACATAACATTTCTATACAAAAATGAACTTTTTATGTAGGTACATACATTTCTTTCATACATCTCATACATTTAAAAAATTATATTTTAATTACATGTCAAAAATTATACATTCAAAAAAGGTACATACATTACTTTTACTAAATTTTGAATCGAAGATTGTTAAAAAAAACATTACGATATAGCAAATTTTAGAAGTAAGCATGTAATCACTATGTTGCAATAGATATTTTAAAATCAGTAATATATGCATCAATATCGTATAAGTACTAATATTATAAAAAGAGCAAGAGTCTGATGGTTGGCTGGGTTTTATTTTATATCCTTGATGGTAAACAAGCAGATAACCAACATCTGTGGTGAATGGCTGTTAACTATTAAACTAAACTAAACGTTACTAAAGTAAACGTTGACGTTTGTACCAAGAGAGCCTAACTTGGTTCTCTTTGTTAAATGATCTTCAGCTAAGCTTCAGCTAAGATCTCAGAAAGTTACAGGATAACTTGCACCTTAGAGATACTAAGGCAGTATTCAAACAATGCCTATATATTTTCTACCTATTTAAAATTTTATATGTAGGTACTGTACACTTACAGAAATGAGTTGAGTTACTCTAATAATAATCGAACCTTATTAAAAAATTTTTGATTATATTCACAAATCCTATTTAAGTTACTAAATTCTTTCTTTTTTTCTTTCTATCTTTCTAAAACAACTATTTTGTCCGTAGCTATTTTTCAGCAAATATTATTTAACACTAGCTGACCCGCGCAATTTCGTCTGTATCACACTTACTTGACATTTATCGTTATATTGCGCCCAATATACATAATATCTTTTTAAATTATAGCCTATGTGTTATTCTAATGTATAAGCTATATTACTGTAAAGTTTCATCTAAATCCGTTCAGTAGTTTTTGTGTGAGAGTGTAACAAACATCCATCCATAGTTATACAAACTTTCGCATTTATAATATTAGTAAAATATTGGTGTTTATTACTGAAGTTTGGTAACCACTCGATTTTCTAATATTTCTTTCAGTGTATCAGTTCGATAAAATGTTAAGTAGGTGAGAGGGTAGATAAACAAAAAGGAAATAAAACATAAATGTCCCATAACACTTTATATTATTTAAAATACACACATAGAATTCATTTCATCACTTTACATGTATTTTAAGTATAATTTTATACAACATTATTGCACTTGGATACATTTCTAAATATTTCTGGTAAGCTTATATATTGTCTTTTTCAAATGGAAGTTCTATGGATACCTACCTACGTAATTTTTTTTAATCCATTTTATACTTATTTTAATAAATATTTTTTTATTATGCCAACTTTTGGAAGCCCTTTAATTTTTGTCTTTAGATATACAGATGACCAGCTACTATTAAGTATATAACGGATGTTAGAAAGTAATATTATTAAATTTATAGTTTAGTGTCCAAAGCTTTACGCCTAACAGCTACCAAAGCGAATAAACTTCATAATCAATGTCATTTTGATACGATTTATTATATGCAGTTTTTGTTATTTAGAAAAGATTTGATAGATGTGTTTGCATACGCAAATGGCATCTAACAATTATTCTGAAAAGAATAAAGTATATGAAGTTAATAGTTGATTTTTGTTGTTTTTAAAGATATGTCATATATCGCATTATATGTCATATATTGATATGTAGGCATAAAACTATATACTACGACGGCTTCTGGTACTATCTATAGTTTAAATAATTTCTCATCAATTTCAAATAAGGTTTCATTCCGGTACATTAATTGTTCTCATTACTTCTATATGTAAGTATTTAAGGCTGTATAACTAGGGCTGTGATATATGTACTATATAAGAAATCGATTTAATATTGAAAAATAATATTTTTACCTTAATCGATTATTATTTTTTCCACAATAAAATTTTTGTGAATATGTTAAAAACATGTAGAAAAAACCAACACCTTTGTTTTTTAGGGCATCAGTTGCTCTTGTATTCTTAAGAACACTTGGATGAAAAACATCGGATGCAATAATTATTAGAAAAACAAGCTAGTCGGTATCTAGATGTAACATTTTATTCTCTAGTAAACAACAGCCACTAAATATCTATAACTTTTTCTTTTCCTGTATATTGACATTACAAACCTAAATAATTATCGCGTGTGATAAAGGTGAAGTTTTTGGCATATTAATTTACTTTCTTATAATCGAGTATTTTTCACATCCCTAGTATAAATATATTATTATTTGTTATGTGTAAATGAATAATTGCATATAAAGTGTATATCTATATCAACTGTATATCTAAGATTACAATTAGATATGCGTTAGAACCGTTATTGTCATTACACGTTACCTCGCATTCTCATAAATCACTATTATATTACTAATCTAAGTAACATGTATTATACATGTACAATTACTAATTATTATATTCAACAACAATAATTAGGTTCGAAATTGAATACACAGTAATATTTTCTATACGTGTAACATTATTTCTTGTTATTATATTAATTTCGGTAAATACTTGTAATACATAAAATCTCATTTGTATATTGTTATTATAGGAATATAAAATAATTTATATTAACAGAAATACCTGAAATATTACTAAAATTTTAATTATTTTAAGAACTGTTTTTATTTATTAATTATAAACTAAAACCAACAATCAATGAGATCAGTATTATTATAAATCTACAATAAATGCCTAGCATTATTTAATAAGTATGTAAAGATATTCCAAACATTATGCGTAGTTAACATTTTTACAAGCAAAGTAAAATACTTGTATGGTTTAGTGATATAAGTGTCATTATGGAAGACTTCGTTGATATATTTATAATTTATATAACATCAAAAACATAAATTATTAGATACTATTCTGGAAGACCATTGATTACATTATATTTTATTGTATAGGTAAATACATATTTATAATAATCAGTAAAATGTCACAATAAATTTGTATACATATATCTCTAACATTTTAATTGTAATAACGTCAAAAAAGGTTTTGTTGCACTAAGTTAGAACATTTCCTTTTGAAATCAACTCAAACACGTAAGTTTGCATATATCTAAAAATAGTTCAACAATTGTCTAAAACTACAGCAGTAAATTAGAAAGGTAAGCCTATTTTGAAAGCTTTTATGAGAGCTGAACCAGAGTCATACATGCCTATAACACCAAACAGAACACCTAGGCCTATAATGAAGTAATCGTAAGCAATAGTGGTACTCTCTAACTGATTGCCTTTCAATTTAAGATGAAAGTATGCAGGCCAGATAAAACTCAACATTGTGCCAGTAAAACTGCCGATGAAACCCATTAAGATAGCAAAATGTGGTATGAATATAGCCATCAATATAGTGAACATTATCACACCTAATCTCCAAGCAAGACCCCAAACTTTCAGTTCGCCATCCAAAGCATAAATTACAGGGAAGAATGTTTTCGGTTTACCTCTGAAGAGGGCACGTTCTAACAAGTCACAAGCTGCGTAATACGGCAATGGGTAGCTTAACACAGCTTTGATGACCAAAAAGAAATTAACAAGCCCTTTAAATCCTGCAGAACGGAGGTTATTCGTGATAACTTGTTGAGTATCGTTTTGAAAGGTGAGGAAGCATAAATATCCAAATATAGATTTGAAAGCGGCAGCTGCAATATGGGACCAGTTCAACATCCATTCAAATCGGGATCTATCTTCCATATTACCTTCCAATGTCGGTAGAAAAATCTGAGAAGTGTATGAGAACACGATAACTCCTAAGCTAATTGGAAAATTTTCGAAATCCAAACTCCACTTGACTTTAGACCATCCCCAATCTCCAATATAAAGAATGCAATAACCGAGAACAATTGCGTTTATGATTAAATGGCTCATGGTACACCAAAAAGATAGCATACTGACGCTTTTGAGTGACTTCAAGAAGGCTAGAGGTAAGAGAAATATTCCCGTCAGCATCATCCAAGATCGAGTATCAATAGAGCCATCAGGGAATGTGCCTATCATTAAATCACCGCAGACCACTACGTAAAGGATACAGGTCATTAGCAATTCAATGATTTGGGCGATATTGACTATTCTAGCACCGTATTTTCTGCCGAAGCATTCTTTAGCAATGCTGACATAAGAGTCACGAACTCTTACTCGCTGGCCAGATACAGGGTCATCTTCGTAGAGGCATTCAACGAGAATTTTACCAGTGTAACAGCAGATGTGCGCGATGCCTATCATTGCAGCGATGGCCCAATAACCGCCTTGTAGTACAGCAAACGGGAGCGAAACTACGAACATGCCCTGTAATAAAGTTAAGTATTTTTAAAAATACTGTACATTTATCTTTAATAATGTTTTTGTTAATAAAATAGATGCAAAACTGTACCTGGATAGCGTTAGTAACGTTCCAAGCGGCTTGGAATTCATTAATTTTGGCACCAGGCTTACCACCACCTTCTTCGAAACCGCCTTCCTCTGAAGATGCATAGAAATCAACACTTTGCATGCTTTGAGTTCTGAAATAATATTAATAATGTATATTAATTTTTTTTCGTCTTATTTACCTAAATGATGCAGGTATATCTTATATGCTTTAAAATACCCTAATTCTATCTACTAGTGGTGGCTACAGACTAAAGTCGTGTCCATCAGGCATAAGTTGGCCTTTAGCCGCTCCATAAGTCCTTTTTGGAGTGTCATCTGTATTCACCCCATATCGTTCGGTGAAGCTGTAAAGGCTAGCTGCAGCTAAAAGCATTAGAATAGTTCGAAAAAAGTACTTATATTTCTTTAGCTTATGGCACACAGACACACACATTCATATTTTAATGTCTTATTTCCATACCTTGGTGCTTGGCCATCTTGTTGGGGGTACGTATTTTGGTAACTGGTAAATGTGTCCTCAGCCTGCAGGTTGCCGCTCAGGAACGGGTTTGTTGGGTTGGTGGATTGATACGTCGGCGATGTGGTTTCGTTCATAGTGGACAGCTCACAGCTCTCACCCATGTCTAAATTAAAAATTACAAATATTTTTTAAATATAAATAGAAAAATAAAGGTATGTTCTTTTCTATGTAATTACATTAAGTACTAGCTGTACCCGCGACTTCATTAGCGTAAAATAGTGACCTTGACCAGATGATGAAATAATATTTAATGAAATACTAACCCAATAAAAGCCAAACAAAAAAGTTTCATCGTCCTAGCTTCAAAAATAACGATTCTTCCATACAACCTTTCATCTCTCCATTCAACAACTTACCCTTTTTGCGCATTAAAAAGTAGCCTATGTCTTTTCTCAGGGTAGACTTTCTAGGATAGACATTCTGTGTACTAAATTTCATTTAAATCGGTCCAGTAGTTTTGGCGTGTAAGCGAGATAGACAGACAGAGTTACTTTCGCATTTATAATATTAGTAACGAAGGTAGTAAAGATTTTTTACTAGAATAGAATGCCAAAGCTGGCGGCCATTTAAAGGAACTGCCCGTTGCCTTTATATATGAACAGCACCATGGTATCTACTCCTCATATGATGATATACCTGAGGATTGATTGCCTCTATACACCGTAATTATTCTGAATTACTATATATAATTATATTCAAGGATTATTTTTATATAGGTATATATTAGTGAACTACTTTTTGAAAAGCTATCTATACTCGCTAGACATTTTTTTATATACAATTACTGAAGATTGTCAAGAGAGAATTACCAACCCCGTATTGTATAAGTATTAGAAATACATACAATTATCCTTTTTTCTTTAAGTATTTATTGATTTCATTTTTAACCATTACTTATAAAACAAACAAGCAATAATCAAATCATTCCTCTCTACAATATTCATGATAGAGAGAAGAAAATTGATTTCGTTATGTAATTGTCAAAACATCTAATTGTATAGCATAGATATACATGTATACGACTGACCTAGTTGATAACTACTTTCATTTGATAATTTCGTTAAAATGTAATTAAAGCTATAATTACATCTTCATTACAGTTTACATTCAAATGTAATAAAATGATTCTAGGGGGAGGTGATTATTAGTAATGGGGACTAGGACCTCATTGCTAGCAAAGTTCCATATCAAGTTTACCTCCACGAGGTCCCCCTTGGAAACCATCGAGGTAATTCCTGGTGACTTTATGATGGACAGACTGACTTGACCTCATACTCATCCTATTATCCTCCACTGGTGCCCCGCCAGCGTATACCATTAGCGCAGGCAGGTGCAAAATCCATTAACGTCTATTGAAAAATAAAAATAAAATGATTCTTACCTAGATTGGCAAATCTAACATTTTGTGGTGGTCGGGGCGGTGGGCCCGGTTTGTCAGGCATCTGCTGCCTGACGGTCTGCATTGCCACGTCCAGAGCATTCTTTAGCGGTGGTAATTTGAATCGACCCAAGTTTATCATTTTGCTGATATTTCCAAAATTTTTTCAATAAATTTAAAACGACCTTGATCGCGATTTATATATATATATTCCTTTTTCTTTATATTATTGTCGATATATTAAAATTTGTTTTCAATAATAGTAATTATATGAATATAATATATTAATAATTGTAACTTATCACTTCAAAATTGACGTTTACGGGAAGACATCGATTTTTTGTAACTCTATATAATTTACATATATATAACTATTTCTAATTATATTAAATTTTACACTAATTTGGAAGACTTCTTTACACTATACTATGTTTTTTTAAATATTACATTATTGTAATAATTTGCCTAGAGGCTTTACAGCAGCCATTTTCAGGGCTTCATTTAATCCTTCATTTTTGAAAATTTTCAAAGTATTGCGTTTTATTTTTTGTATTAACACTTTCACAATTCACTAAACTATGTGTATTACTGTTTACGTTTGTATTTTGTGGGATTTTAACATTTTATTGGATTTTCTTTTGTGCGATTGCTATTCGGGTCAGTTTTGTGCTCGGCGGGGGTGGGTGGATCGACGCGGGGAGGATGCGCGGAGCCACGATCGATATAATGGGATTCTGAGGATGTCTTACTCACTCCCGAGAGCTGAGACAGCATACTCACCGATTTATGATTTTCAATTATTATAAATCTCTTTAATTTTAAATTTAATTTACTGTTAATGAAAGAACGAGAGTCATTTCTTTAGCAAATCAAATAATACCAATTATTGTAATGGTTCTACATGATTGCGTTGCGTCGTTCATTATTTATTAATATATTTTTAATGTAATTTACAAAAAATCTTGTAATTTGAATATTACTGATTTAATAACGAAATTAGAATAAAATACAATGTGTTTATTGTACTTTTATAAATAAAAACGTAATACTTTTAAATATTTCTGTAGCTTTAAAGTTTTATTTGCTAATTATACTAAATATACCTATTATAATAAAATAAGTAGCAATTAATGTATATAAAATATATATAATAATTTAATTTTAATACATGAATAATAATTTAGTAATAAAAGCTAGTACTATTATTGCAGACGAATGTACTCAGTATTTTTTATTACCTCAAGAGATTGTTAACTTCTATGCATATATAGCTAATAAAACTGGTAACTGGTGACGATAAAATTAATTATTATACTATTTCATAGTAATTGGTCGTAAACAAGCAGGTATGCAGTAGGTATGGTTATGGGGTAACTACAACAGCCAACTTGCAGATATGTCTTGCAGTGACTGTCGACTAACTTCATTATATTTATTTGTAACATGTTTTTATGGATTAACAGTAAGTGTTGTGTCAGCATAGCATACATTTTTATTGAACGATGACCCATCCTTATATTACGTCATCTGAATTTCATGATTCTACCACTCGGAGGCGTTGTTGTCACAGCTGGTCACATTTGAGACTTTCTCCTCCTAGTCTGACGTGACATATTTTGAAAATTTTTACTAGTTTATCGGGTATAAAATTGTCAACAAACTAATTGAAACTTTATTCTGATACAGATGAAATAAGTTGTTCGTTAAAACTTTGTATTTTATTACGTACTTGATTGAATAGAACTTGAACTGTCATGCCGTGAAATGTCGGATGCTTCCTCCCTCCTTGTCCTCAAAATGTGACGTAAATTGTGGATGACTCCCTATTATAACATGATAGATTCTACGCTAACGGGGCACCAGTGGAGTGTAAAGATGATATCAGCTCCGTAAGTTAAAATAATAAAAGGACAGAGGAGAAAATAATAATGTTGATGCTTACTTATAGAATGCCTATATGGTAAAAAACCATCCATGTTGCCAAGAGCCAAGCGAAAACCTGACACTAGCAATGGTGATTGACGCCTTTGAGATATATGGACATGACCCCACCGACAAGTTGGATCATTTGGCCCACTACCAAATTGAAATGATGAAGATCAAGCGAGCGCCAGATCAAGTATTGTATTTTTTTTTTAATTTGTATGTACCTACCTGGAGTGGAGATCAATCTGCGGTCCACTTCACATATATGAACCGGGCATGTATTACTTTGTTATTTTTATATGAAATTCCTATATGTTGCCATTCTTGGGGTCTACAGTGTCCCTTGTGGGTACTCTTTAATTTCACTGTTACATCAACCGAAACAGCATTATCTTTTGTCATGGACATTGGAAATTTCCTTTTGGGATTCATCTTGATTTATTTTTGTTGGTATTTATGGATTAAAATGTTTAAAAACTAAAAATATTCCATCAGTCTATATACGATATTTATAGACAGGTTGGGCCTATGCAGTCCAGAAGCCAAAAGGCTTTTGTCTATTATACCTAGCCACAATGAGGGTAAATAATTAGAATAATTCAGAGAAAGAATGCAGTCAGATGTGAGTACATAATGAATTATATTGTGAACACATAAAAACTGACAAAATACATGTTATACTTCACATTCCCGTAAAGTTATTATTGAGCGGAGCACGAAACGCGGAGCGATCTTGAAGATCAGATTTGCACTCCTTGTAACTTGTAAAGATACTTCTCCAAAAGTTCTTGACCAGTTGAGACCAAAACTTCATCGACCTTCGTTTATCACTCAAAAAAATTCCGGTCGTTCAAGGTTGACTTTTTAAAAATAAACGCGTTCTGCTCCAATTGTGGCCTGGTGAGTAAAGAACACACCGGTAACAAACCTAGTTATTATTTATACCGTACCGTCGAAATAAAAATATTGTTTCAGTACATCATAAACGAACACGTTCATATAGCAACAGATCATCTGGGAAGGTTCATCAACATGCATATTAAGGAACTCAAGGTTTGTGATACATCTATTAACATGGGATTCGAAACAAAGTCAAAGTAAAGTTTTTTTACCTGCCAGACTTACTGCTTACAGTCTAATAGTCATTTTATCATAATTAATATTATAAATTAAAAGACTGTGAAAGATGGGTTAATGAACTTTACAGTAATGTAGATTATACATCAGAATAACACATACCTGCAGTGTTGATTCGTACAGGTAAAATACTGATATTCTAGATTACTAAACGTATAATAATTTTTAAAATTGATATTGTATATTTTGAGACAAAATCAAAAAATACTAATTATATAAAAATCAAAATGTAACGTATAATTTTTATCTAACTCTACTATTAAAAAAATAACGATTATTATTTTCATTGGTTTTCGAATGACTTGTAAAAGATCTTTTTTATGTAACTGGAAGAGCTAATCACTCACCCCATTATATTTCTACATGAATAACACTATGGACCACGTCATCATCACATGTCCGTGGTACCTCACATGTATGATGTCATACCGGAGAAATAATATGTTAAAACTCTAATTTGTTTATTTTGTACAAAGTCTCCCTTGACAAGAGCACAGTAATAGTTAAATTGATTATACATGTTGCAGGTATTGCTGATATCATTAGAGGATGCCATAGACAACATGCTGACTATGTACGACAATCATAACGCTATAAAAACAGAAAGGGTGGCTACGTACAACGCCGCTGGTGGCGGTGCCGTGCCATCAGAGTTCTATCTTAGCCAAGGTCTAAATTATTATCTAAATATTAGCTCACCCGGAAGCATTGTTTCTCTATAAAAATAATGACTGAAAAATTATTATCCTACTCATATTTGCAACTATATAGTCTTAGGAAAATAAGCCTCTACCGTTCAGGCAGAAACTTACGCTTTAATAAATGTCTGGAAGTGTCTGGATGTCGATTAGAATATATACATTTATTCGGACAGTCAAGCTGCTCTTCTAGTATTTCACTCGTACGAAATCCGATCTAAAGTCATTAGAAACTATATCTTGCTTCTAAATAAAGGAGGAAGCAGAAATAGTATTGTACTGAGACAGGGGCGGATCTACCTAAGGGCTTTTTGGGCTGCAGCCCAGGGCCCCGAGGATAAAAAAGGCCCCCAGTCCTCACTGAACCGATAATTAGAATATAAAAAATATCTAGAAAATTAAAAAACCTATCATAAGGTTTGCAATCCTGAGATCAATCAACCCAGGCAAATGCGCGACTATCGAAAGGAACGGGGAATTTCTGGTCGCTTCGTTTTTGGTCGGTGTATTTTTTTAGTCAAGTAATATAATTACGTAGGCCCCTAAGTAGATTTAGCCCAGGGCCCCACAAATTCACGATCCGCCCCTGTACCGAGATACATACTATATACCATACAGATATAATATTGTATGGGCACTTAAACATTGAAGATAATGAAAATGTCGACCAACGAAGGTTAAAACAATAGCCTACAACTAAATATGCACCAAAAATTTCATAAAATATCGGTAAATACGACGATAGAGGAGTTTAACAGACACGGTCACGAGTTTTTTATGTATTAAAATAATTTTGAATAAAAAACTTAATATTTTTCAATCTCATAATCTAACTAATAAGGATTACGATTTGCCTACACACGAAATGTCTACTTAGGAAGCGATTAAGGTCGCTCCTTACCGTTTCGATTTGAAAGTCGTGTGTAATCGCTTCACTAGTTTTTTTTTTACAGAATACTATTGCGGCAGGAATGTTTACATTTTCTTGTCAGAGTTATACAGTGATATTTACAACATGGGGCGAGGGCCGGCCCCCTACTGCAAGGGTCGGGCCTTCCACTTTATAGGCTTTGTCCACTTAATGGACGACAAGCATTACTTCTTGGAAGAGGATCCTAATATAGTATTTCAGATGGACAACTTTTTACATGGACTGGAGTGTCATCTAGGAATATGTATATTCAGGTACTTGCCTATTATTATACATCAGTATGTTTTAATATGTGGTCTGCCCCTGGAGCCCGCGAGTATATATTTTTTAAGGGATGATAATAGTGTATGTACTTGCCTATGCCAACGGTATATGCTGGCGGGGCACCAGTGGAGAATTATAAGATGAATATGCAGTCAGGTCAATTTACCAGAAATTTAATAAGATGGTTTCCAGAGAAAATCGCATTCAGGTCAATCTGACCTGGTACATTGTTAGCAATTAATCCACATTACTAACAATCTAGTATATGTTTGGGGTTCTGCCGTCTTATCTATAGACATTTTTTAATTGTGCTTGTTTTCTAAGGGTCGTGTCGACTGTAAAAGTTTAAGAACAGTTGATATAATTTTTGGTGTAGGTTAGTTTGTAGTAGTTGTTTTTAGTAGTATATATAATAAGTATTTAAATCACTAGATAGATAAATAATATACAGACGATAGTTTTATAGTGGTTGAAGCACTGTTAGATAAGTATATTTTTATACTTCAGGGAAAAAATAAATTTAGTATTATTTTACAGATTTCCGTTTAAGAAGAATTTGCAGCATATCCGCGATGTATCCACTTTACCTAAAGCTATTGTGAAATGTGGTACGGATATGTATAAGTTGCCACCTTTAACAGCTGCATCCTGCATCATCACATCAGGATCCTTTATTCTCGACTTTAATATACAGGGTATAAGGTTCAGGCATTATGACTATTTACTAGTAAGTGTATAATAAACTTATTTATTCTCTGATTGTCTATATGTGTTTAAATAAAATAAAGTCGGTTTTCGAGTCCACTTATAACTGAAAATCGGTTGGGAATATTTTTGTGATTTGTCTCTTTTCAGAATAGCGGAATAACTATTATAAAATTAAAAAAATATATTTTATTGTATATTTTGTATAATTAATTTACTAAACAAATAATAGCATTTACAAAGCAAGCTATCTCACTACTAGGTCCCTTACAGGACACTGCAAATTATGTGTGCCCAAATGAATCTGCAGATTTTGCCAAACTGAAGACGAAACGTCACTACACATCGTATGTCGTTGTAGACCACGCATGCATAAACGAAATATATTCTTTGGAAAGTTTACACTCTATCCTGAGGTGATCATGGCTCCAAAGAATATCGTTCCATTCTTGTCCCTGGGCCTGGGTAGTGAACTCTGAAGAAGGGCGAGCAGAGGTCTATGTAGGTCGCAGTGCTATATGTAGGTTCAAGCACCTGACAATAGCCCAAATCACCCAATAAAAAAGCTACCTCTCTACCATACATAACTTACTATTACTACTAGATGTCAGGTAGTAAATTACTTCCAATAACATAATACCAAACAAAAGCTATGATTATATTATGTCTTTTGTTAATGAATGTTGTAAGTAGCATTAAATTTTCAGACTATACCTAATGGACACACATTTTATACCAAAGAGAGTAATTCTCCATTAGTTTGCGATCACCATGTCTGCGAGTGGAATAACACAAACTTCTATGGAGGTATGTTCATTTAATACTGTTACGCTGGCGGACTATAAAATTGGACACGGTTAAAGTTTATATAGCGACTTTATTTTTTATTTAAGTACATAATTTCTAAAATAAAAGTAACTTAAGTTACTCTTTATAAAATTAACTATCTGCGAGTGAAAGTCGCGATAAAATCGGTCCAGCCATTTCAAAGATTGAATGATGAACAAACAGACGGTTACAGTTAGTCTGACAGACATTTTTTTTCAAATTCTTCGATGCAAAAAGCATTTATTGAAAAGCTGTCAATTTGAAATTAGACAATTGAATATTATGTATTTGTACAGATGGTGTATTATTTTTTTGATGATGGTGTGATATTTATTTAATAATAATTAAAAAAAAAAACTTTATTTTTTTAATAAAAAATAATTACACACACTATCTTACGTTTGATACACGCACACACACTCACACACATGAGAGGTGACCACTGTTTAATAAGTAGGTACTTAGATTATTTTTTATTTCGAACAGGTCCTTTCATAATACCGGGAGACCCAGGAACTGGACTATCTCCTATTCCACCATTCCTGGAGCAAACGACAGAGACGCCATTCACCACTACAGAGCCAGGGACTATAGAATCAAACGTTACATGTAAGTTGTAATTTTTTTTTTTTAATATTTTTATTGACACCAATTTAAGTAGTTACAGTTATTCTCCTTATAAACTATTACATTTTTGTGTAAATTGTTTTTGTGACGTAATTTGAACTAAGCACTTACATACTATACATATGTGTGATAAAGTTTGAAATAATTTAAAGTTATGTCCACTGGCATCTAATCAATCATGATTAATACTTGATATTGATAACCATTTTTACGAATATTGCGCTGACGGAGGTGTATGAAATTTCGCACACTTATAGTTTATATAGAGGAGTGCAGAATACTAATATACTTTTAAAATTAGGTATATAAAATACATGAAGTCAATACAAAAATACATTTCACATACTACCATGTATTTGATACACATCTTATGTTCAAATTTATAATTTAAATAAATTATGGTAGATTTTAGACCATTGGCCGACTACTAGTTTAATTAAATTTTTTGTGTAGATACTTTGGATGGCTGCTGGTTTATGTTCCCTCCGAACTATGGATCAATCGCAGGGGTCAGTTATTTGGACCCACTTACTGTCAACGAATATAGATTCACCTGCCAAGGGTCCGGGAATAAGGTACAGTATCGTTTCAATTAATTGTTTATACAAGATTTTTTCGTAGCATTCTGTGGATCTACCGTACGAATGCCGTTTCCATGGAGTGGCAGGAACTTTTTTTTTTTTATTTAATTGGATGATGCCCACGTGATGGCCAGTGGTAACCGTCGCCGATATACAGCACTACAGACATCACATTATCATGTGAAACCCGTAATACTTCTTATCTTGCCATTCCAGAGGAATCAGAAGACATGCTTCTTATTAAAAATTAACTGCCTAATCTGTACTTTTTAATTATAGTCTATGAGTGATGTATAAGCTATGTTCTGTAAAGTTTCATCAAAATCCATTCAGTAGTTATTGCGTGAAAGAGTAACAAACATGCGTACATACTCACAAACTTTCGAATTTATAATTTTTAGTAAGAAGGAAGATGTGACATTTTTTTCAAATTCGCTAACTGTGATCCTCAGGGTCTTTACTGGTACCCGCAATGGATGGGCGTGCCACCTCACCATCCGTACCCACAGTCTGGAGACGTCCCCAGCGACATCCAGCAGGTGGCGCCTGGTATCTTCTATCCTCACCAGCAAGGCCAGATACCGCCCAAGATGATGATGCCAGATCCATCGAAACACGCTTAATTCTAATAGCAATTTATTTGTACATTATATGACTTTAGTCCTTAGTATTTATAGAAAAAGTTTAATATTCCAATTATTGTCTTTAATTCTTTGAGACTGCTTCGATTGCCATTTCGTTATACCCCACGGGATAGACATAAATTGGGTCATAAAAAAATTAAATAATATATCACAACTACATAAGTAAATTAATATAATAATATCATTAGACAATTAACACAACACCAACTAGTTTCAAGCTATAAGAGCTCGTGTCATGGGTACTAAATAACTGATATAACTACTTAGATTTTTTTTTATTAAATAACATACATAATAAACATCCAACCAATACTACCAGCGTATGGTCATGAATACAAATATTTGTACCGTGCTAAAATTCGAACCAGCGACCATAGGAAGTAAGGCGATGTGCTAAACCGTAGACCACCTAGACTGTCAATACTTTGAGGTAGCCACTATTGTCATAGGATTAACATATACCACATGACATAGAGGTAGAGAATAGTTAGTTAGTCAAAAAACTAAAGACAACTAATTTATCTACTTATGTGCGTTAATTAGTAATAGAAAAGCTTGTACACATTATATAAACAAGATACGATAGAGCTTCCGATATCCCGACGCTGTTGTAAACGTCCTAATCGACTCCGGATATAGTGATTTCCTAATTATTATCATCGTAAATATGTATAATGTGTACAATTGTTAACAACAGTGAAAATAACATCACCTTAGTTGTAAATTGCTGGTAACAATTGCAAAGAAAGAATTATCCTTTTTATGAAATGGAATTGCAAAGGTGAAGATGTTGTACCCACTGTGTGTTGCCATTCCAGACGAAGTGGATGCGTCGATACCTTTATACATACTCCATATCTTACCCTGTAACCGAAACAATCCAAGTTGGCATTTGTAATAAGTGGAGTAGAAGTGCACGCGCAGATGATCGGTTATAAGCCTCTATACTTACGTCATTACGATGGCCTGAGCCGAGGTTCGAACCCTTAGCGATGCCCTCTCATAATTTTTTCCGTGGGTTTGGAATGCCATTTGCATTCACCCCATATCATCCGGTGAAGCTGTAAAGGCCAGCTGCGACCAACAGCATTAGTATAGAGTAGTCCGAAAAAAAGAAAACTTCGAACAAAGTGAGAGATATACTCAGTTTCTATAATTAAAAATTGGATATACTTTAATTTACCTCCTGGAATGAAGTACCTACTGTATTCTTGTAGTGTAAGTTGAGTATACTCATAAAAATGTACCATAGGCTAAGAATAAAAAAAGCCAGAACTACAATTTTTAATAACTTTTATTCATATTAATAATAATTATAATTTACACAAACATAACGAAACCTAATGTCAACTTGATACAAACAACTTGACCGATCATATAACCTATATAATATTTAAAGTAAAATACAAAATTTGCAAGGTAAATATAATCGCCTAAAATCAAACTGAAATCAATAACAAAGTTATTATAAAAATAGGATACACAATAATGTATCAATTTATATATATAATAATAATAATAACTAGCTACAAGTTCTTGTTTCGCAAGGGTGCACAGAGTGTAACTATTTGCATCTTCCATCGCCTCATTTTGAATTAAACACCCAATTAACTTTAAATTCGACTTAACCTAAATGTTTATAGTAGACAATAAATTTTATTACTTTCTAAATCAAACGCTACATTTTAAATTAACATAAAATAATTTGTTATTTATACCGGACATCCATTAACTTTGTTATTGACTCCACAGTTGCAATACATTTTATTGCACTAAATGTATTTCTTACAAATATAACTGAACATTATACTTAAACATTTTCCAACGTCGCTGCAGCTATGCATGATAGAAAGCTGAAAAATTTAACTATACTCTACTTATATGGGTATATCGAAAAATAAAACTATCTTATACATATCACACTTTACAAGTTATTGTACCTCATCGCCGTTTCATATTTATAGTGTTATAACATAATAGATAAATCATTATTTAATGTGAAGAATATTCAGTTCTAACAGTCGCTTTTATTGCGATAAAGAAAATTACATTAATAAAATTTACTACAGGTTTAAGAAAGAATTAACATCTCAAGAAGTATACAATAGTTATAAATACTTGGTAGACAAGTACCTAAATAGGTTGGACATTAATTTTATATAAAATAAATATAACATACAAGTTAATATTTAGGATTTGGGTAAAAATAGTGTAATATTAGGGTTATACCAACGCAAGTAGAATATTACTCGCTGAACCACTTTTAGTAAAAAAAAAGTGATAAACTGAAAATAAACTGTGAATTCTTGTGTAGGTTCGTTGATACCTGTTTTATCTAAGAGTATGTATGACAGTTTTAAGTAGGTTTGTTCTATTTTGTCGATTTATTGCCATTTTGGTACAGTATGTAGCACCAATCGACGACAAAATCGTAAAATTTTTATTTTTTGTAAATAATTGGCTTGGTACTACTCAACTTACGGTTAACCCTGAATATTAATTAATAATTTTGTTTTGTTTTTACTTCAAAATACAATCTCAATATATAACAATCAATCTTTGACATGGAAAAATAAATGCATTAAACGAGAAGGGTTTTTTTAATCAAATGAACCAGCTGTACATGTGCACTTATGCTATGTTACATGTAATTTGCATATATCAACAACACGTCAGTCGTCACGCTATATATTTCTATACAGTATAAAATATAATTGTTGGTAAGAAAGAGACGGCTATAAATATTTATAGTATTATTTCTCTCATTTATTGTATTCAGGGTACATATAAAAACATTATTATGTGTCGACATGTAACTTTGATAAAATTAAAATTCAACGACTTATGTTGTCCTATCTCGCTATGAATGAGTCCAACAGTCAAATCCACTAATCTTAAAATAATCGTTACATTTTCTGAGATTATCCAATATTTTAAATAATTCGTGACGTCATAACCTTTTTACGAACTATTAGAAAACAATAAAAATTAAATCTAATTTAACTATTAAAAATGTTTTGTCACATTCTTACAAATAAAGAAAATAAGTCGAAAATAAAAGACATGAAAATTCAATAGCATAATCTGTTTCTTAATATTACGAACAACTACAGTACCTTTTATATTATTTTAATAAAATTATAATACTACAAATTTCGAATACCCTACTCGAGTTCTCTTTCTTACCAACTTTAATATTCAGATGCTATGCAGTTAGCCAATATTAATCTTGCGCTATTAGGACAAAGCCGGAATTACATTACTGTAAGCGACATTTATAAATATATAATAATAATAATAATAATAATAATAATAATCTAATAATAGGGCTATCCCTACATTATTATCTACAGAGTTAGCCGTAAATTGTATACATGTAATATGTTTATATATATACATAAAAATATAAGCATTTGTACAAATACAACAAATTTAAAACAATGTTTATATTATCAGTTTATCAGTTATAAAAGAAATGAGTCAATTTTGTAACAGTGCAGTCTTGTATAGTTTTTATACAATATATTATATTTATTTATTTATATAATCAATACATATAACACATATTATAATAAATGTTCTATATCATTTGAAACAACTAACAAGTCAAAACAAGTCATTCGGTCCTAGACAGCCGTGATCAACAAATTAACATGACATTAATCTTGGTCGGATATCCAAGTTTATTGCTAGAACAATGTAAATACTATGCATACTATGAAAACTGTCTGTGTTAAGGGTTATGTGAATATGGGTGGAGGAATTATAATGAAATTTTCTCGGAATGTTTAGTTAAATATGAGACAACATAAAGTATAAGTTAGTATTGCTATCTTTATTATATGAAATCTATAATTTTATAAGTTAATTAATAAATTAAATAATAAAAAAATAATGGCGTTGTCCAGATTTTTTGTTGTTGTTTGATGGCGATGTAGAAATGAATTCTTAATAAAAATTATAAAATAATATGGGATGAAATGTCCATCGCAGTTTAGATAAAATAAATACAAGTGATATTTCTCTAAACGTCCCTCCCCTTGTGATTAATGAACCCTCAGTTTGTAGTACATTAATATTATGGAATGGCAACAAAAATAACATAGTATTTTGGCAGTGGTGTATATGTTTATGCTAAAATAAAAAATAAAATGAATTCAGCTGATGGTACAAGGTGTACATGTAGCAAATAATACAAGAATCAAAGGACAAATACTACAAGGACCAGGAGCATATAAAGGTTTAAAATAAATTTAAATACACATTAGCAGTTTGCACACTGCATTTAAGTAACAATTGTAAAAAGAACTTTAAAGAATGAACATTAAAGTCAAACTTTCAATATTTATCTATGAGTTAATATATTTTCAAGCTATTAATGTTACAGATCTACAGAATATAACCCCGGCTTTATAGACGATGCTATTATGTTTACGATTTAGTAACTTTAAATGTTTGAGAACTGTGGTTATATATAGTTAAATTTATAATGTCTATTTATTGATATTTTAAACATGGACGTCATATAAGAAAAATATAATTTTACTCATAGACACTTAGGTTTAATATAAAGCTAATAGGCAGAACTCTAACTGGACATTAAGTCCGTACAGTAGGTTTTTTTTTAAAACTGCATTAATTTAAAAGTTTCTTGTGTGATTTGTTTTTACGTAATAAATTGCATTAAATAGAAAGGAACTAAAACGACTTCAAATAATAAAAGTTAAAGTTGATTTTGTAATTTTTAACATGTAATATCTTTCTGATTATGTTAAAAGGGACGGAAGTCTGTAATGGGATGCATCGTTTGATTCGACGAATGACGCATAGGGCTGTATATATATTTGTTATATATTTTAATGCAGTTAATTTTTATGCAGATGATTTCCTTAAATAAAGAAAACAGTCCAAAAGGTTTGGACAGAGTACTTAGACACCTAATTTAGTTTTACATATATTCTTAACAATTTAAAGTTACTAAAACAAACATACTAAATGTATAATAAGTGTATGATAACGTAGCTATAATTTCATACATCAGTTAATTAGTGGCGTGGCCGACGTTATTAATAATTCGAAATTCATTTATAATACTTTTAGTATACTTTTGTTCGCCATTACGCCATTTTAATCTCGCGAATAAATGTATAGAATATAAGTAAATTTAATAAATATATATAAATTTGGAAAAAATGCGTAGTTATACATTATAGCTAAGTCTTACAATAAGGTTATATATAATCCGATCTCAAATTGTTACCAGTCCAAATAATTAGTAATATAGCAGGATATGGACTTTGAAATGGCGTCAATGTCGTTCAAAAGATTATCTATGGCCGGAAATGGACGTTCAGGCTTTTTGTTCAACGTCCTCGATTTCAAACTCTTTTTCCCAACTTTCGTCTGAATTCGCGCTAGCGTCGTCCTTTACTTCTTTATCCCCGAAATAATCTTCTACTATATTATTACCACAATCATCAGCTTTATTTTTCTTAGGCGAGCCGCCATTTTTCTTATTTATAACTTGTTTATTGTTCATTTTGTCTCTGGCTTGAGTCTTTGTTTTCTTCCCTGCATTGTTATTGGTTATATCGCGTGGAGATGTCTGTTTAATTGTCTTTTTGGATGAAATCTCCTTTTCATATTCCTCTAGAAGTAATGTCTGTTGCTCCTCTGTCAGTTCTACGTCGTTTGCGAAATCTTCTGCGGAGAGAAGATCACTCTTTTTTTACTGTTTTAGAAATGACAACTAATAATAATTTGATATAATAGTAATTTTGTCAACTACTAAAATGTTTGATGTTGATCGTTTAATTTCCGGCCAAGTTATTTGTCTATTCTTCTTGGTTTCACATATTGTTTCTGCATTCCGAATGCGGTTGTATACAAATTATTATTCAAAAGTTTATTTAACTAAACATTACTTCAGTTCTATATATAGATCTTAATTATACTGTAGTCAACGTATTGTGAATTTGAGAGGGTTTTACTTACCATCCTCCCAGGTGACCCCATTGTCCGCATCGGCACCCTCGCAGACAGTCTCGTTGTCTAGACCCGATAGTACCTTTTTTGGACCCCTAGAAAATTAAGTAATTACCAATTATGACATGATTCTGTTATTGAATACCACAACAGTGGCAAATAAACACGTCGACATATAGAAGTACACGGTTTAATATACATTAGGTACTAGCTAACCCTGTTTTGCCATATAACTTAACATCACTATTAAAAATGAGGATTGGTGATATAATAGGTGAAAATTTAGAGTTGTAAGTATTTAATAAAAAATAAATTAATGACATATTATAAAAAAATGAAAATAGGGCGGACAACTCTTATCATTTAGGGATATGAAAAATAGATAGTAGCGGATTCTTAGACCTACTGTTAGATATATCAACTTTATGTACTAGTAAAAGTATGTGTTATAATAAAATAACATTAATTTAACTATGTCTCTAACACAATTCACTTTAGCAATTAAAATACAACCAGCACATCCTGTGCTCAAGGACCGAATGCCGCGGCTCACAAAAACCCTCCCTTTCATACAGAGAAGACACGAGTGGGGGCCATATGCAACCAGTTTAACGATACCGAGCAATAATGAAACCACCCTCCTCTAATATAAAATATCAGATTTTTCGAAATTATCCATGCGAACCCTAACACTACTCAATATGCATATAAAATTTAATAAAAATCAGTTAAACCGTTTCGGAGGAGTATGGTAACAATATTGGGACACGAGAATTTTATATACGAGATTTATATTCTTAACACCAATAATTTTGTGATCAATAAAGATATTTCATAGCGAATTTTTCAAGTCAAGTCAGAAGTAGTTCCAGAGATTAGCGCGGTCAAACAAACAAACTATTCAGGTTTATAATATTAGTATAGAAATGCATTTTTAGAAAGAATATAGGTATACAGTGTATACTCACTGTTGTATGGGAGTTTGTAGGGGTAGATGGGCCAGCACAGGGTCCGCTGTGGGCTCCTCAATGGGCTGCTTGCGAGCCGCCGCCGCCAGCCGGTCCTGAAGTAAGGCCACCCGGAACAGGTACCTGCATTTTTTTCATATATTATACTCTAATAGATTAGTGTTATTATTGTTTCCTTTATTGGAGAGTCAGTGGAATAATAATTAACATATAAACTTTTGTTTCAATTAATAGACCTTTGTAACCTGTACTTTACAAATAAAAGATTTTAATAAAAACAAAAAATGAATTTACAAAATATAGTATCGCCCAGATTTGAATCACGACCTTTTGAGAACAATTCAGGATAGTAAACCACTAGGCTACAACGCTCTCCATTCTGGCTGGTTGTAAAATATAAAAATTCAATGTAATAACAAATACCTCTCCCAGAACTCATCGTGTGTGACCGCATCTGGTACGAGCTTCTCGTACTGTGACTTGAGTACGGGGCTGCTTTCGAGACGTCGCACTGCTGTCGCATTGGATATGACCCCGTACTCCGTGTTCTCGAGGCTGGATCGCCACGCCTCGAACTCGGGAGTACATGCTGGAACTATGAACGTCGCGTCCACCCGTTGGAGAGCTTCTAATTCTTTCTGTAGACGAAATTATTAATGTTAGGTAAAGGATGTCCTTTATCTCCGCTTACTGTTTTTACCTGATTTTCTGTTTAGCTGCTAGAGAATGCTGTATGGCATTAAGCTCGCCATTTATAGAATTTTGTAAATAATAATAATGTATATATGAATATAAATTGACACACAAGGATTATTTTGAGTAGATCCATACATTTGATGTACTAAATCGTGGAGGATTATATTCTTTAGGATTTATAGAGTATTAGATAATATTCAGAAAGTAAAATATGCGACCTATTACAAGGGATGTCAATGTAGGTAAAGGAGGATATAAATTACCTTGTATGTTGTGAGCATTGTTGTGTCTCCAGAGGACAGGATGACCTCTGTATCATCGTCATCATCTGGTTCTGGATTTAACACTGTGCTCACTTGACCTGAATGTTAACGGATTATTAGTACCTATAATTGTACGGTTGAGCCTCGCTATCACACAAACACGACAGGGTCCTCATCGATGAAGACAGTGACCTCAACTATAATTTTCAGCACAATTAACCGCCCTGGATCGATTAATACCCTGTTCCATTATAGCGGGGATACAAGTTATGACGGCTAGGGCTGAGGTTCCAACTCCTAACGCTAACAGACTAAAGATGCTTCAGGTAGAAGTTGGCCGCCGCTTCACAAGAGGATTTGGGGTACCTTGTGTACCCATGGTGGATATTTTAGTCTCGTAAAATTGTGAAGTATCCACGCCAGTAGTATTACAATAGTTAAAAAAATTCTGTCATAGTAAGTAGAAATAAAATTCGTTAAACAAGTTTGCTGGGTCGTTTTTAGAATACGATTACTGCATAGAGATGTATTAAATAGACCTCCTTTCCTGAAAACTGAGGTGGACTTTGAACAAAGTCATCTATGCTTTCACTCACCTCTTTGAACTACCAACCAGCTAACTTCATATAATGTGCTTAGGTTAAAAGGTGAGATATGGCAGTGAAATTACAAGGTAAGGTATATGCAAGCAGAAAACTTTATACAAAGTATATCACTGATAAACAGTATAAGTTGATTATATATTGAACCTTTGTAAACTTACCAATAAAAGTGCTAAAGCTTTTCTTCATCACATTTGCTGGCGATTCAGGTACATCCAACTTTAAACAAAAATATTAATACATGACAATACTGTAGTGTCAGTATAGGTATCTATATCATTAATATAACACTCGCCCTTCTCGCCTTTCCCTTCGCTATGCCTAACGTCAGATTTTCTTCTATTACATAAAATAATTTTGTTGAAGAAAGAGATACGCATCATTTTCTCCGCGACAAGTAAGGTCTTGGTGGTGGCAAGCAACGGATTACTATTTCCAAAATTAAATTTGTATATACACAGTTTTTAACCAAAAGTAAATGCAATAAAGATATATAATTCTTTACCTAAATTTATTCTAGACAAAGAAAAGGAAAACAAATTTGTGGTTATTGTAAAGAAATAATCATCTATTATTTTTTGTTTAATTCTAAACACTATGATTATAATTTATTTGGTTTAGTATAAGCATTGTAATTTATTTAAAGTATATCACTTGTTTTTCGGTTGGAGGACCTGGTGATCTGTATTACAGAATGTAACCTATTTCAGACACCAGCTCCTCACAACAATTGATTGTAATGATAAATTTATGCAATGTATTATCTAAAATACTACATGTATCTGTTCCCAATGTGTACAATATTTGTGAGGAGAAATAAATAAAAAAATATTACATTATATTATTATCATCTGCTTCTTCCTTATCCCATTTAATTGTATATAATTAGTTATATTGTTTGATATCCATAATTTTAAAATACTCGTTTAATATTTTATGTATATGTATCATTTACATCATATAAATTATTACTAATATTGTAGTGCCCTTGCAGGGTAGATGAGAGAAATTGATTGTATTTCCCTAACATCATGACCATTAAGTAATAAAACATTTTGAATGTAAATTAATGTCATACCTTGAATGTTTTCCCAATGACATTAGATGTGGTACTGAAGACGTGATTGGCTTCACTCTTCACCGCGCTGCCAATTTCGTCCAGATCTTTTTTCACCATAGTGTACACTTCGGCTATATAAAAACTGTTAATATGATAATATACTTATTATTATTATTTATAATACTGTTCGTTGAATAACTTTTTTCCTAAAATAAAAGCAGCCTAAGTTACTCGTTATTACATTAGCTACCTGTCAAAAAAAGCCAAAAAATATCCCGTCAAAATCGGTCGAGCCATTTCAGAGATTAGCCGGAACAAACAGACCGACAGACAGACAGACAGACAGACAGACAAAAATTATAAAAAATGTTATTGTGGTATATGTATCGTATATATATTCATATGCATGTAGTACAAAACGGTTATTTCAATATTATAAACAGACACTCCAATTTTATTTATATGTATGTATAGATGTATAGATAATAATCTCAGGACAATTCACACAGCGCCATGTATACCCAAGTTAAGTTAGCTAAAGCATATGTTTTGGATATTAGATAACTGATACAAATACATAGATATTTTTTTCGTAAATACATATTATACATACAAAACACCAAGACCGATCGATACAAACGATCATACTCATGAATAGAAATGTTTGTGTCGTGCCAGTAATCAAACCCGCGACCATCGGAAGTAAGACGGAGTAAATGGCAAACAACCAGACAATTCACCTGTAGAAACGCTATCTTAACCTATGGACAGCATAACGGATATTTTAGTATTTCATACTTATAATTCAAGCATAACGTATGAGTTTAGCAACGTATTTCTGAGGCCCAAGGTCTTGATATCTCTGTATCCTATAATTCTCACCCTTCAAAATAAAACAAACAGAAAGCAAGCTGCATGGAGGTAAAATTAAAGTGTAGATAGAGATATCAATGCGAATTCTATCTTAGTGCTTCCATATACTACCATATATCTATTAAACTTTGTTGAGTATATAATCTATGCTATCTATATATTAATACGCGAAGCAAAAACTTGTACCTCTTCTTACGAATTTGCGCGGATGGATGAGTATGAAATTTCACAAACTTAGTTTATAAAGAGATCGAGCGCAGAATGCTAATATTTTCTTTAAATTATTCTTAACTAGCTACCCACCCCGGCTTCGCACGGGTGTGCATGTATAATACATATAAACCTTCCCCTTGAATCACTCTATCTATAAAAAAACCGCTTCAAAATCAGTTGCGTAGTTTTAAAGATTTAAGCATACATAGGGACGGACAGACAGCGACAGCGACTTTGTTCTGTACTATGTAATGAAGATACCTTAAATCAATAAAAAATCATTACACACACTATTATATATTTAACACACACCTGCATAGACTTTAACAATAAACAAAAAAAAATGTATGTGCCTAATAAATACTCTTTTGTTTATTATCAAAGCCTGTGGTCAAATTGAGAATAGATTAATATTGTTTGATTTGAATATTATTTATCTATAGTGTTACTGAATGTTCAATTAACTATGGTCGAATTTCGACCATTGGGCGACCACAAGTTTTTAAAAAGAGGTAAAGTTTGTAAGTTTCGATGTTCAGGGTAATCTGTAGTATTATCGATCCGATTTTGAAAGTTCTAAAGTAAAATGTGTGATCTAGACGAAATTGCGTGGGTCAGTTAGTATATAAATACAATGTTATTAATCATATGTGTACATTGACAGTTGTATATAATTAGGTTTATGTAGATATGGATTTCGTGTCACCACAGGGCATTGCTATCTGTTAAATAATTGGTACGCTTATCAAATTAATATATTCACAAGTTTTTTATAGGTACTACGATGCAATCTTATCTATAAAAAAATACGCATGCGAATATATTGTTTCTTTAATTTGGGGGCCCAAACATGTTAGCTATGGACAATATTTATCAGCATTACTATACAAAGTTCGCGAGTTCAAATTTGGCCGACATAAAACTTTTGCATTGATTTATACTTCTGACTCATTCTACGCTGCTAGAAACACCGATATCAAATCAAATAAATCTGAGAGACGGCGCTAGATTCGCTCAACGGCCATAATGCATTCACCTCGGCGCGGCGTCAACACTAGACAATGCCTCCTGCCTCCTCCACATTACTAGCAATCCCCTTCAACACATTCCTGTTGACTCCACTGTAACATGTCAGGTTGACCTCCACGTGGTTTCCCCTGGAAACCATCTTACAAATTCCTAGAGAATTTGTAACGATGGGCTAACTAACATAACCTCATGTTTGTTTACCATCCTCCACTGGTGCCCCACTAGCGTAAAATTGTAGCGTAGACGAGTGCACCTTTCCATTATCACATCCATTAAAAAATACCCCATTAGGGACAAAAGTTGTGATATATGGAATCAGTAAAATAAAAAAGTATTTTATATACATATTAACGATTTCAGATATGTGTAATATTGTTTTTAATATTAATAAATAATTCTGGACAATTAACACACACACATACAACACATCTAGTCCCCGGTCAGCCGAGCTTGTGTTAGGGGTACTAGACAAGTTATATAAATACTTAGATACTTTTTTTTTAAATACATATAAAATATCGATACAAATAATCATACTCATGAATACAAATGTTTGCACCGTGCGAATTGACCCATCGGAAGTAAAGCGTTGTGCTAAACAGTTAGGCCACTTACCACTTAGGCCGTCAAATATTGTAGTGAATTTCTTTGTATGACTGTGTCAGAAGCTATTAAAATATAGTCTGTGACTGTGTAAATAATGAAGGCTGTATTTGCAAAAATAATACCACATATGAGTCAGATACCAGTGATCTGGGTTATTGACCTACATCAATATAAGTAGAACTGTAATACAGGTGCTATGCGCAATGTAATGATAGAGATAAGATATAAATGTATCCTGTAAATCACAATAAAGCTGAAAAATAAATGAAACCCACTTATTTTCGCAGTTATAAATCAATTTGGTATTATTTTTCAATTTATGTATGTTATATAAGTAATATGGAAATTTCTTATATTTATAAAACAAAATAACAGCTGAAGCGCTAAAACTGTGCTATATGAATAATAATAAAATAAATACAATTCTCTGGACAATTCACACAACGTCATCTAATACCATGGTAAGCAGCGCTTGTGTTATGAGTACTGTACAACTCTCATAAATATTTTTTTTAACAACAAGAGTATTACAAACTTTACTTTACATATAAATATTACTATATTTATTGAAAACAGCCTGACTATTACCAACTCATGAATATAAAATATTTATATGGTGAGAGCAATCAAACTCAGAACCGTTGTCAATAGGGAGTGACCACAGAGGCCATCATTATGGGCATCTATCATTTAGGAATAGAACTGGTAAGAAATGGATATTTTATAATTTACTACTAGTTTGTTTATTACAAAAGAGTCGACAATTGGTTACAGTTTTAATATTATGTATGAATATGGACTTATAATCTACTTACTCTCCTGTACATTTAATTATTTGTTTATTTTGAAGCATATAAGTGTAATGAAACTTTACAAATGAATTATTTAGTGATCCATATGTTAATCAGCCAAGATAAAAGTATCTGATAACATTGTAGGTAAATTAAATATTAAAATTTGTTTATTCTTTCTGGTATATTCAGAACTATTTTTGTTTGAAAACTATTTGGAATAAAGAAACATAAAAAAGATTTAAAAGAAGGTTAGCACAATCTTATTAATATTATAAACGCGAATATTTGTGAGGATGTTTGTTACTCTTTTATGCAAAAAACTACTAAACGTATTTTGATGAAACTTTACAGTGATATAGCTTATACATCAGAATAACATATAGGCTTTAAATTTTGCGCGGGTGAAACCGCAAGCACAGCTAGTATATAATAAAAACCATATCAAAACTGGTTAGGCCATTTCTGAGATTAACAAGCACAAACACATAGATAAACAGACAAAAATTCTAACAATCATTATTTTAAGTTCTTATGTGTTGATAAAATCAGCCAATAATGGTTTTATATGTATATTTGTTGCACCTACAGATAGCATCAGTTACATTTTTATATAGATATATATATTTATGTATAGATAAGTGAAGATGCAAGTCATGTCTGTTTATGACTGATAATATTTTTACCTGCACATTTAAATATATGTTTTGTGCAGATTGCATACTAAGAGATAGAATAACCTTGATTAGCAAAGTACCACTATAATACTAATGAAACTGAAATGAATGCTTAAAAATAAACAGAACTAACATAAACATTACACTTTTTCCGAAAGCTACTTTAAAATGAAAATTGTGAAGTACATTTCCCAAAATTTTATTGTTTGAGTTAATGCACTTTGTTTTTTAGGCATGATAATGGAATGCTGTCCTCGCCTACGTTGACAGTACATGCTGGCGGGGCACCATTAAAGGATGATAGGATCAGCATGATGATTTCAGTCAGTTTGCCAATCGTTATGAATTTACCAGAAATTGACCATGATGGTTTCCAGGGGGAGCCGCCACATGGAGGTAAATGTACATGATGCATTGCTAGTATTATGGTTATGAGTCCACATTACTAACACTGTTCACTACACTAGTGACATACACTGGCTTTGCACATATGAACTTAATATGAATCCAAGATCACTCAAGAATAATGTACCTTCTGACTGTGAAATAAGAGCATGAGGTCAGGTCAGTTAGCCCATAGTGGCTATCATCCTCCACTGGTGCCCCGCCAGTGTAAACTGTTACCGCAGGTGAGGGACCATTCCTTTAAAAAATATATATAAAAACTCACAGCTGCTGTTTTTATTTACCTTGGTCTTTGCAGATGTAATCCAGCTGTCCCACCAGTTGCCCGATGGTCTCTCCTCACATTTTGGTGTGTTAGCCTCACTGGGACTTGCCTCAGCAGACCTGGAATATTTTTATTTAGTGTGATTACTTACCATTATTAATTTCCTATATTTAATAATACATGTTGTTTTAACTTCATTTGTTCTTTAAGATGCAATACAGACTATTTATTATAGATAAATAACCTCTATATTAAAATTAAATTTCATTGAGATTTGTTCAACCTTGAAAAGGCAATAAATATACAGACAGTTGTAGAAAAATCAACAAACTTTTTCATTTTTAGTATTAGTATACATATATAGGACACTTTATATAATAACATGTATATAGTACATTTTATATAACAACAAACATATATCCTAGCAGTTTACAAAGGTTATTTTATATAACCTTGAATTATTAAAGCATTATATAAAATTTTCATTCCCTATTTATTCAAGTCTGGAGTAAAAAAATAAAAGAAAAACAATTATAAAGACATTCCAAGACAAAATCTCTTATTAAAAAAAATGATTGAATATCTAATAAACCTATTTTGTTTATTGAACTATCTCTCAAGCTATATTCTTAATTTAAAATAATGTGACAAAGGAATGCAGTGCTTAAATTGGTTTGTTTTAATTACAGTTTATGGAACATGTTAACTTGTTTATACCTAAAGAATTAGTATAATATTATCCAGGCACCTAAGTAGTTATAATTATTAGAAAATAATGATCATTGGAAGTAAACGGAAGGAGGAAATTATTGTTATGATTAACCACAATTTGACTTTTGCGTGCAGTTATCTCAACCTCATGTTTATTATTTAGTTACGCTAGAGTTCCATAAACAATTTATTATGAATGCGGATCTATTTATTGGAGCGATGCAACATTGAATATATATTGACCTTAATGTCATAACAACTGAAAATACTGTAATATCTACAATTAAATGGCTTCAAATTGTTGTAAAAGCTTAGTAAATTTAACAACACAATTCTTTGACATGAACTCGTTTAGATAAGGAGTCTGTGATTCCAGGTATGTGATATTAGATATTTTACAAATTACTACTCACTTTTCAGCCATCGCGTTTATATTCACTGTATCACGATATAAAAAGAGTTCATGGATAACTGTTAAATTTGCTCAATGAATTGTTGTTGTTTTTACAAGAAATTTAGTATTAATTTTGACATAGTTTTGTTTGCGTTGACATAAGGTTCTACACGTTTCGTTGTACGGTATATGAACTCGTATCACGTTAAGATAATGAAAATTCGCAATTTACTCTCTTTACAAATACTATTTACCTACTAAGTTATACATTGTAATATATAAGTATATGATATACTATTAAAATATATATATGTAAATTATAAATTTATTTAAAAGTGTATTGAAATATCTTGCTTGTAAACATACAGTATGGGTACGGTTCCCGTTACTTATAGTACTGTTAAATTGGGTATAATGGAACGTAGTTATAAGTTGAATTTCTAGTAACGTTACCTAGATGGCAGCATACTACCATAATAATGTAAAATGATGAAACCAACTTGAAAAATAGGTTCTGAAATAGATTGATTATCAGATAGCTACTGATTATTATATTCTTTTTTCGTATAATGTTCGTTCATTATATATTTATAATATCCTTCACTTTACTTACCCTTTTCAGCAAACTCTTGTAGTTTAATACATTTGTGAAATTTTATTCGCAATTATGGATTAAAGGTATAATTTTGAGATTGCCAAATCACCTTCTTTGTATATTTCCGTGACTAACTTGAGCTAGGTAGGATTTCAAAGAGCTCGTCGTCGTTACCTCGTCATAGAATTATTTTCTGACTTGATTTTAATATTTTGTTCAATCAGTATCTGGATTTGGATTCTATTCCGAAATACAAGTCTGCTCAAGACCACGGCTTGCAGTTTTATCAAAATGTGAGGTAAGTAAATGTTTTGTAGCTATACCTACCATTTAGACATGATTTTTTTATGTAGGTACTTATTTGGAATTGTAAACGAGCTGACGATCCAACTGGTGGAACTACTCGTCTTCTAAATGTACCTACGTACATAAGTAGCAGTTGCGTTCCTGGAGACTAAGTTATTAAACCACTATAATAATAGGTCTAATGGAATCCGTGGTATGTTTACCATTTCGTATCGGTTGAATAGTTACTTAGTCGGCGAAGACGACGACCTTAAACACACAATATCGCGCATTCAACAGGGCGCCTGCGCTCCACACCGGTCCACATTTTTACACACAAACCCGACACCGTCCTCGCCGGCGAAGACGACGACCTCAAACATACCGATCGATCCCCCGTCAAATTCAAACGGGGATCGAAATTACGACGGCCTGAGCCGAGGCTCGAACTCCTAGTGGTGCCCTCAGACTAAAGTCGCATCCGTCAGGCAGGAGTTGGCCTTCAGCCGCTCCATAAGTCCTTCCGCGGGTTTGGAGTGCCATCTGCACTTGCCCCCTAACGTCCGGTGAAGCTGTAAAGGCCAGCTGCGGCCAACAGCATTAGAGTAGTCCGAAAAAAAAAGCGTAGCCTAGTGTGGGGTCTTAATGTTACTTAAATTTTCGGAAATAAAAGTTATTATATTCTAACATGCCCAAATTTCACTGGGGACACTTGAATTAAATGTAACAGGAGTCTACCATCATTCCTAGGATAAATTGGTTTCATATCGGTGTTTCCGATGCAATAGTGCAATAGCCCACCAGTGGAATGTTATTATTATGCTAAAAGAGGAATTGTTTTAACTATATCATCATTGTCGTACAATTGGTATACAGTCACAAAGTTTTCATAAAAATAAGTTTCTTATAAAGTTTTCCCATGCCTAAATAATTAAAAACAAACAACTACACCCCACAATTACGGCTAATTATATTAATTCGCCATGCAAATATTAATTTGTGTGGGGAGAAAGGGCATATCGTTATCATCTCCCGCCCGTGGATTATTCAATAAGGTATTGAACGTTTTTATAAATAAATCCACGCTTAGCGCACCGCAGTTGAGAAAGATGTCGATACGTGGTGTTTGTTTAAAGTGAACCTGCGGGTGAATGCAGGCAAATAGGACCATGGGTTTAAATTATTTTAATAATTATTACTTTTTTTTATTCTTAGATTTATTTAGGGACTTTTATCATAGTATGATAATGCCAGTCCAATCGTATCTTATTACTAATCTATTTATTTATTTTTTAATAATATTTGTCTTTACAGTAATTTATTCTCTATTGTTATTTTTTACCACATGGCTTATGGGCAAAGTATACAAATATTGACCACGATTGACCGGGTACCTACATGATTTATATAAAAAGAACCTATGTTTTCCATTGCAAATTCTACATACATGCCAAATTGCATGATGTATTATTAAATCAAATAAAAACTCATTTATTCATGTAGCACATTTTAGCGGCCTATACCGTATCTTTTTATATTAATATTTTTTTCTTACCGTCCAATTCCTTATATAGATTCAATTGATAAGAGCTGGCCTACGTAACTGATTAAGAGGCTCAAGCATAATAAACAGATGAATAATTCCGCATTTATAATATATAGTCAAGAATTATGAATTGTGATATCTAGATTGTAATGGAAAGAATAGAAAATTAAGAGACATTAGTCAAGCAGAGGACATCTGGAGTTTGAGGGTATAGGGTAGGGTCACGGTAAAAACGGGAATAGCAAAATTTCAAGTGTATTTTGAGTATATTCCGATTTAACCGCATACACCCGCCGCCCTCTTTCGATCAGATTTGGTTGGCTTTCATATTATTAATAAGTGCTTGCGAACGATGCCGTAATAGCCAGGTCTACCCGAATACAGGCTGTTGTAATTTATTAATGTTTTGTAAATCTTTGAAGACTATATTCGCGTACGTGAATAGAAAGAGTCTCTGCTCTATATTGTAGAAATTAGAAAACTAATTTCTATTGGCACTGATTTCGGAATTTTAATCGGCTCCAATAATGGTTTACTGTCTAGTCTTTCACAAGGTTTTTCCACAGATAACCAATTAGAAGAGATTTTAGAAGTGTAGGCATGTAGTATGTGATAATGAAGAATTAATATATCTACTTGTATACATACAAAGGTATATTAAAAGTGATTAGTGTATTTTTGGATACTATAAAAAAAGACGGGTGGGTTTTTATTTGTAAGAGTACTGATTGGATACGAGTACTGTCATTTTAATTTGTACAATATAAAATGTAGGTAAAAATGAAACAAAATGAAAACACCCTGTTTACCAAAATCTGAATGGATAATCCTCGCAGAAACTGTAATAATAATACAACGAGTGATCGACGCGAGTCTTCAAAGTTCATCGCTCAATCGAGGTGCGCTCGCGGCGGTGACGTCATCGCTCGTGACGCGCTCCGCCTCGCCCAGAGATGGCGCTGTACGATGGCAACAGATTCAAACCCTCACGGTTCGCCGTGTGTGGTATGGTTCAAGTTTGTGTTTAGGGGTTGATGAACTTTTACTGTTGAAATTATTAAAATTTGCTGACATCTTTAGTGGTGCAAAACCACCAATGATTCCATCATCAGCCACCGCTGGCCCATTAGATGGTCAGCGGTAACCGCCTACGTGTACATGAACAGCACTGCAAACAGATGTTTGTCTTCAGACTCCCGTGGTATAAGGCGTGATTTTTTTTCGAACTATTCTAATGCTGTTGGCCGCAACTGGCCTTTACAGCTTCACTGAAAAATAGGGGGCGATGGAATGCTGCATATGCTGCAGATGGAACTCGAAACCCGAGTAAGACTCATGGAACATTGAGCTTTTGATTGACGGTTGCGACTTTAGTCTTAGGGCACTGTAGGCGTTCCAAACCTCAGCACAGGCCGTAATAATTTCGATCCTCATTTGAATTGGACGGGGGATCGATTAGAGGAGTATTTGAGTTGCCATTCCGACTAAATCTTATGCCTCCACACACTGCAATTTCACTTCTTATCTCATCCTTCAACCTAATACATCTTATAACGCTAGCTTCTTGGCGACTGAAATACGTAAAACAGAGGTACTTACGCAGAGGACTTTGTATAAAGTCCTCGGTTGCTTGCAGATAGTGAGCTTAGCTACCTTACAATATAAACTTTTTGTAAAGAATTAGTAGTTATTAAGTAGTATTTAGGAGGGTCTTCTGTATTAATTCGTCTGTTTCACCTATTTGCTTTGTTTGACAAGATGTGATTGTCTTTTGAGATATTTAGCCTTCTGGAACATATAAGATGTACCACTGGCGTTTATCCCATGTTATTTCGTTTGTTATGTTCTTTATGTATAGAGGCAATGGTCATGATTATCACTTTTCAGTAGGTAAATAATACTATACCAATGACATAAGTGTTTACTACTTCACATTTTTTTTAATTATTAACACTTTTTGATCCTTTCAACACATCCTATGCCATGCTGTATTAGGTTGATTGGAAGAGATCTCTTTTAGATACAAGTCCCGCTTTGTTAACATTATTTCTAACTAGCTGTGTCCGCGATTTCACCGGTATGAAGTTTATAGCCCATTATATATATTTACATTACCGTATCATATATACATTAAGTATCATCAAAATCCGTTCAATAGTGTTTTCATTCACCTATCCATCCGTGAGTATGTATGGATAGATGAATGTTTATGTATATGTTTATGTTTAAACTGTCACGTTTATAATATTAGTGAGAAGTAAGATGAACATATTTAAATGATGTATTCAAAGTGCAATGAGGAATTTAATAGTAATTTTAATATCATTGTTTCATTGCAATAAATTACAAAATTAAGGAACTTATAATTAGTGCCATTCTTGAGATCGCAGCTATTAAGTAGGTAGATCTATACTATTATATTAACTTTATGGATAATGACGAGTATAACATTTCAAGAAATAACTGCTTGCAATAGTTGGAATGAACGATTGTTTCGTTGGCCGCGATCACTTTATTGATTGCTTGGAAAAATCGTGGTTATAAGTACTTAGAACTGGGGTGGATGTTATAACAGAAAATATATGGACAAATTTAAATACACCAATTAGTATTAATATGTAGATACTCGTGTAACAGAACGTTGGATAAACATTTAAATCTATTAATATCGGGCTCATTAGTTACTTTTTTTACGTGTGAAAAAGATTCTAAACAATGTTTGATTTTTTTT